AATTTATAACCATTCGTTGTGTCTTATTTCCAAATATTTTCAAATTAAACAAATCTTCCACAGCAGCAAAAAGACCTCTCGCCGCATGCTTCTTTTTAAAGAAGCAAACTTGTATTTTATTCTATCCGGGGTCGAATGCCGGATGTTCCCGGATCATCTCGGATGTTGCCGGCAGAGTTACGGATGTACTCCGGTTGTTCCCGGTCGTACCCCGGTTGTTCCCGGATCACCACGGATGTCTACCGGGACTCTGCCGGGATGTTAGTGAGACTGTAGCTTTAATTGACAACATCTTACCGTGTCACTTTAACTTAACTTTTTCATGTGTTGAAAAACGAATATCACAGAGTCATAACGTGCCATCTTTTACCACTCTTTATTGCATATGCCACATATGTGTTATTAAATAGAGGATATTTGTTTGTTTGTGTGTTAGATGAAATTTTATTTCATTGAGTGGGCTTTAAAAACAGTATTCTCACGAGAGGCGTAGACGGCATGGACGGTTACTTGCACTTTTCAGTACCGTCCATGAACAGGCTAAATCAAACTGAGCCTGCTACATTGTTAATTTTGCCGTGTTGGACTTTCTTTAGGGCTATTGTTTTCCCTATTTTATTATGTCTCATCAGTGTTATTTTTGCCGTGTGGCCGCTGTAAAATGTCTCCCGGTACATTTAAACAAACAACTTATATTTTCGATCCTTTAAGATCGTTCAGCACAGCATAATTGTTTTGTATACATGTTATGTTATATTTTTAGTTTTTTTTTTATTTGGCCTCTTTTAACTTGGGTGGTTCCAGTATTCCTACATGAATATTGTATAATCACCCTTATGATATGTTGCCTGCTTTTTAAATTTGCTTTTTGACGACTTGTTTATGATATACGGGCTTCAAAAACCCTTTCAATATTCCATTTTATTTAGTTCCGCCTATTTGCCGTTTTGGGCTTTCTTTGCGGCTTCTGTTTTTCTCTATTTTACTATACTCTGTTGTAAAGTTATATATTTCGTTCTTATGAAAAATATAGATGTTTTCTTCAAATTGCTACGCGCCAGACTTGATTGCAGAACATGTGATTGCATGTGATTGTAACTAATGATTACACTTTAATCAAGGGGCATTAATTTTCAATGTCACAATCAGCTTCTTTTATAATGATTAATCGGTTACTTCCTATAATTAGAATGCGCAACTGCTAGGTGGCGAAATATGGAACGCCTCGAATTTACAAATTAGTATGCCGCAAAATATTTGCTATTATCGGTTATGGTTTTTGTTCAGTTTCGGTTGTTTAGAATGTAGCTAGGATCGTAGAAGAATATAAAGCGTCAATTATTGACTTGTTCACATCTACTTAGTGAAACTGTAAATTTTAGTGACATTCTTCTTTTCCTTTGACAATATGTGGAAATTTGTAAATATCAGCAAACTTTATACACAGAGAGGAATATCCTCTATATCGGTGGAATAGCAAGTTATGCTATAATATATTAAACATGCCATTATCATTTAAGTTGTTGTTAATGCAATATGTGTTCACAGGTTTTAAGACAAACAGATAAACATTAACACATCACTATTAGTGTTTTAGGGAGTAAACTGCTTTGGTTATGATGACAATGATTGAACTATTTTGCAACCGGATATAACTTGAACAAACTGGTTAAAATGTAATTCCTGTTTTGCAACAGTTTAATGAGTCGTTGTTTAGTTTTTTTATAATCCGGGTCCGCCGGCAGTAACATGTCCACAAACAAGATCAATCTAATTGTATTTGCATCATGTAAAAAATAATGCCGTGTAAGATGGCTTCCTTTAATTAAAAAAAAAACAAACAACACTCCATATTAAATAAACATTAATAACATAATTGTAAGTTTTCTGTATAGCTTTACTCTATGATGACCTTTACCAAGCTCTTCTTATTTGCATAGCTGTTTATATGCTGCTATTTGTTGCGATGATATTTATTAATATACGTATAAATAGATTACACAGAAAACATCATTTGTAGAGTTTTATCCAATAGTTTATGCAACAGTTTTTAATTCCTAGCTTAAAATAGTTCTCTTGTATTAAATATTACCGTTGTCAATATTATTTGCTTTGTTGGATTTTAATTTAAGACACGCTGACTATGTAAAAGTCATTTGGCAATGTTCCAGCTCTGTCTCTTTCTTGTACGGGTTGGCACATGAGTAAAACCATCGGCCTTCCGTATGCTATTTGGTGAGCTATAAAATATCTGACTGATTTCGGACCCACATTGGTGAGGGGCAAGCGATTTTAGGTCAATCAACTTAATCTTTCAGCCAGGGTTATAGGTTGATAATGTCTATCTCTTTATGTATTAAAATCTCTCTTTTTCGCTTGCATGCAACTGGAAAAGTGACATTCTGTCATAACAACATACTAACAATATTCTAACACATACAGCACACTTTTTTTAATATGAGGAGAAGTTTGAAAGAACAATATTAATAAAAAGAGATCAAATAATATCTGAAAACACGGATTTCAACTAGGGCTGAAAATTTGAAATATAGAAACGGATATTATTTAGTGAATTTTAACGTTGTCATACATACCTGAGACTATTCCTATTTATCGAATGTTAGAAAATTCAACACAGCGTTAACATATAGATAACACAGATGTGGGTTCGTATCCCGTTAGGGACTTTGATTTATTTCATATTAAGATGCTTTCAAGCTCGAATCGGTAATTCTACTCTGATGCCCGCTTGTGCCTGAAGTAATGCACGAAGTAACACCTACGGTCTTCCTCTACCTGTAAAGCTTGAAAGTCCATGCATGATCTTTACAATGTCGACATAACTTGAAATATAAAAAACAACAAAAACAAAAAAAATAGATAAGAAAATCATCGAGTAAACTATTCCAAAAAGTATTTTACGTGTTTTATAGTGATTCTTTAAGTAAGATAGTATTTTAAAAAGAACATATTTCTTCCTGATTATTTTTAAGAAAGCTTATAATACATATTGCACAATTTCGTATGTACAATTATGCCCCATTCACTTATTACCCCCGCCTAAAATCATTTGAAGCTATTCGTCTCTGTTATGAACATTTATAGCATATCTTAATATGCACTAAATGTCCCCCAATTGCATTGTATTGAGTAATAAAATCAATCGATATCAGTAGATGTCTCGTAAAGTCATCTCATACACTAATATATCCTTTCATTAACGAATAGAAATATACTTTTTCTTGCTTTTTTGGATATAACTTTAAATTTTTTACCACTATCACTGCTGTCATGTTTGCCCTATGTTTATACTGTTTTACCAAATTCAGAAATAACTTTTCGTTTACTTGCTCGGGCAGGCATAAGAAGTAGTTACAAATAGATTGCAAAGGCGAATTACTTTTTAATGGTTGCGACACTACATTTTGGTTTATTATGGTTAACACATGCAATGTTTAGAAAAACAGTTCGAATATATTTATTCAGCACATTCTGCTAATGAATAACTTTTCCTGCAGGTGTTGACAAAAAATCGACCCGACTATTTAAATGTATGATTTTTGTCTCTTAAAAATGTTTGATATTTTCTTATGAATAAAAAATTCTGAATTAGAATGGCAACAAATGTTATATTATGTTTTTCATTCATATTTACATAACAGCTAACTTTTATGTAGCAATCATATCCGGTTGTTAAAACAGTTACGTGACTAGTTTCTTGAGTGTAATTGAAAACACATAATGTCCTTATCCGAATAAATGATGGTGACATAATTAAAAAGTCTGATTTCGGAAGCAACGACAATCAGTAAATGTCATATTAATACGGATTTAGTACTTAAAATGTCCGACATGAATTTAAAGCAAAGAAGAGTGTTTCAGTATGCAACAATATTACTGACGACGTTTGTTGGTACATTTTTGAACGATATTTCAACAAAGCAATAAATTGCCAGTGCTTAACGAAATATTTCACACAGCAAATACATGTACATGTAGTTGTTGGTTATTTTAAAAGCTATTGAATGAGACTCATTACAATATGACCAGTTTTTCGGCTTGATATATTTTGATCAATCTACAATTGCAATATATATAAATATATGAGCATGCTCATTACGAAAATTCTTACATTTCTCACAATACTGACAAATTTCTCATCACAGCGGTATTTTGTCATTTCATACCATTGCTTAAAAGTGACTTAATTTAAATATACGTTAACAGAGCGCACATTAGTTTTCCAATAAGTTTTTAACGGTTTCTTCACTTTAAGGTATAAAATTATTAATTATTTCAATTACAGTAATTAAATATTTTAGTAATTATTTAAACCAAAAACAATTGTAAAATATAACCAATATGATTGTAATAGTATCTCCGAATTATACCCATCAAACAGCAACAGATGCGACATCATCGTTAACTAAAGAAGCGAAAATAATGATTTTTTATTTTACACATCACTACATAATAATAAACTTATCTTTACCAATTTTTTACACTTTGCACAAACACTTTTTGAGGACTACAAGTACATGAAAAATGAGGGCAATTTAAGGATTGTGAATTATCTGTGGTAATCAAATTGTCAAATTCTATGGTAAGAATATCTAAAACGAGATAGGTTCTCAGTTTATTTTGCCTGAAATATTTCTGTTTTCATAATCTAAGATCATGAAAAGTTTAGATAAATTTTATTATGCATATGTTTATACGTTTTTGAAGCATGCGCGTTTCAGTCTCATCAATGCTGAAAATGTCACTTGCCGACTTTCTAACTTTAGTAAAGGGGAACACTTCAGACTGACGCCCCTATATTACATTATCTATAGAACCACGGTCACCACCCGCGTTCCATAAGTAAGTTGCATCGCTTTCTCAGATGAAGAACCCGATGTCCCTGGCGAAATTAAAGGAGCAAGTGGCCGAATGTCAATAACGTAAATACTAGGTCACGGACACCGCTATATCGGAAATAAGGATTACTAAATAAAAACTACATACATGACAGTTTAATTTAAAAAATCTTACGAAATAAGACAAACAAGACAAATCGTCACAAGACATCGCACACATATTAGCGGCCATAAATAGAATAAAATATTAATGGAGTATGTACATCTGAAGAAAGAAAACGGAATAGAAGACTAGCTAAAATAGCATTTTCATGTGAGCAATTATAAAAGTTTCTTTAGTTGCTATAATGTAACATAATGTTATGATCCCCCGTCAATTTTATTTCTCTCCTTTTCAACGTTAGCTTCACCACCGGGGATATTTAAATCAATATTTACAATATTGTCAACAGGGGTTATTTTAGCAATGCTCATCCCTCCCCCGAAGCGACCTCCTTGTGGTTGCGAAATACGGGTCGTTCTAGATGTTACAATATTAAATAACATATCCGGATTTACAATTAAATCAGTTGTAGAGTCCGTCATCATGTTTGCTTCTGTTGTTTGCTGTTTACTACTTTGCAATGATTCAGTGGTTCCTGTTGATTCAGAGTTGTTATTAATTTTTTGCGACGGTGTTGTATTTTTTGTCTTATCTTCATGAACAGTTGCTGACGCATTTGCACTGCTGTCAAAAATGTTCGAATTGTTGGAGTTAGAGGCGGGTGATATTGCATCAATTAACTCATCTGAAGTAATGTTTTCTAGTTTAGAAATAGCATTTAGTAAATCTACAAGTGATAAACTACTTGTGGAGCTTTTTGGTGTGCTAGTACTTGTGACTATGTTTCCGGTTACAAACGGTTGTCGTGATTGATCAGACAGCGTGGTTGAAGATGTGTCAACGGTAACTGATGGTACAGTGGACGATGATTCTGTTAATTGGTTACTTGCTGTTACCTCACTGTTTATATTATTTTTTGTATCTTGCAATTTTGGTAGAAGTTCTGTTGACCGTACTAAAGGCTTAACTGTTTGTTCGTTAGAACTAGAATCGGTTTGTCCTTCAATGCTAACTGCGTTTGTTGTATCAACAGTTATTTGTGTTCTCGTTGTATTCTCTATCAAAGGTCTCATTGTTATTTCTATTGGTGTGATAGTTGCATCGGATTTAACCACAGTCATCATCTCATTTTTTACTGCTCCATTGGCAGCAGTTGTGAAGTCTATGGGTACATGCGTCGACGATGAATCGTGCTGTCTATCTGATGTATCTTTGGGGACAATGGTTTGAGTTGTTGTCGCTGACCTTTCTTGATGTCAAGCTGCGAAGTTGCTTTATCGTCGATTCTAATAGATTGTGTTGTTTGCCAATCAATCGAACTTCTGATGGAAGTGCTTCTTCCTGAATTAGTCATATCCGATATAATACTGCTTGCCGTATCCTGCTCTACCGGTGAGTTTGTTGCGGCATTTTCCTTTATGCTTGATGTTGTGTTTAGGTTTTCAGTTATTTGTACTGTTGTTTCTGCTACTGGAACATTAGATGCGCTATCGACCGTCACAATCACACTAGATGAAGTCGTTGTATCATTTTGAAATTTTACCGCATTAGTTTGTGCTTCTGCAGTTTGTGTTTCAGCTTGATTAACGGGAGAAATTGTAGTCGTCATTGTATCAATGCGTTCTGTAGTTTGCTGCTGAACTGTATTTGCTGGTGTGGAACTGGATGCTGTTTGATCTGTTTTCGCTGCGTCGGTTTGTACTAAAGGCAAATTTGTCGAAGTCTCTGTTACTGCCTTATCAGAGGAAGCCATAGTGGTTGTTTGATCGACAACACCTGAAGTAGATTGTTTGATATGTTCTGTAGATTGTCTCTGCTCTGGTTCTGGCTGTGGTGTTGATTCCGTGATTACAGAATCTTCTGGTTCGGGTTGAACAGTCGGTATTTCAGTTGTTGATTCAGGTATAACAGATTGCGACGTTGTACTTTTTATCGTCAGTGTAGAATTCATGGCTAATGACGCAGTAGATGTGATGTCAGGCATATTTGATGTTGATGTTTCATTTGTTGTTACTGTTGTTTGTTCTTGTGTTGATGTTGTCTGTTCTTGTATTAGAGGTGTTGTTGTTGTTTGTTCTTGTGATGCTGTTGTCTGTTCTTGCATTGGTGGTGTTGTTGTTTGTTCTTGTGATGCTGTTGTCTGTTCTTGTATTGGCGTAGTTGGTGTTTGATCAAGTGCTGCTGTTGTTTGTTCTGGTAGTGATGTTGTTCTTTGTTCTTTAGTTGATGTTTCAGCTTCTGTTGTTGTTGTTGTCATTACTTTATGAGTTGTTGATTCGACTGGTTCTTGAGAAGTAGTCATGACTGATTCTGTTGTTGTTGTCTTTTGTTGCTCTGTTGTTGGTTCTTGAGTTGTTGTTGTGACTACCGGCGTTGTTGTTGTTTGAATATGTGTTGTTGTTGTTGTCATTACTGCGAGTGGTTCTTCGGTTGTTGTAGTGACTGCTGGTGTAGTAGTTGTTGTTGCAGCTTTTGTTGTCGTAGTCTTTTGTGTTGTTGTTGAAGTTGTAGACTTTGGCCTCACTGGTCTATTATCAATAGTTTTGCCGCCGTTGATCACGTGTTCAGGTAGAATAGCAATGTCAGCACAGTTATAGATCTCGGGCTGTTCTCCACATCCTTTTCCCCATTGCCCATTCCTGCAGATACCGTAATTGTTTGCTGCAATGAAAACATAACTAGTATTATCTGACAAGCCAGACAGTTAACAACTACAAACAATTTTTTGTAATTTAATCAAAATGCTTTTATGTCTAAAATAAAACCTATGTTAAACATAATAGTATAACATCAGTTAAACATATGTCATAATATTATATACGCCTTACTTAACTTGAGAAAACAATATGATAAACAAGGGATGGATCGAAAGTTTTTATCGTATTACAATATATATATTTGTACTGTTTGTAATTCAACTATTATATAGTTAATGAATTAAGTTTAACATTTTTGAAAATACTTTAAGCATGCATGCCCTATTGAGTATACAAGGCTCTTTAATACCACCAAAGTTTGTTGAAAGTACTTGTTAAGTTGTTTAAAATGTTTTGAATGAGTGCATATTTTGGCGCAGAAGAAAAAATTTCTAAATATGTAGGTTAGCATAATATGATATGTTTAAAAAGTTTAATGGTAAAGGTTCATTGAAATGTTTATATTCATTCTGTATTGTAATTAACTATATCTATCATGTTTGATTGTTCTTTTCTTATCTGTACTTACGCAATTATATATTGATTTACATAAGTATGAGTTAAGCACAGGATATTAGTGATTACAAATATTTAAATTTAAGGGCGGGAGATGCTGAATGAGTACATTTTTTACATTTAATGAGTTACGTAACAAGTGTCTCTCATCTCTGTCTACATCTACACTGATTCTACTGACAGTTACTGTTAGAGAAGCTTTAAAAATCACTCGAAACTTACTTTTATAATGCGAATAGGGCATTAAATATGACAAAATATATAAGAGGCAGGTTGCGGAGTGTTTTTTAATAATGCTACAATTTTACAATATGCAAAATCATAAAACTAATCTGATGAGACAAGTAACATTAAGTATAAAGCATAATGATTTATGACAATATGTAGCGCCCTCTGAATATTTATTCAACCCCCACGGAATACATTAGAAGGGTAAAATAAATGCTTGTTAGGTGAAACAATAATGATGGTGATAGACAATCATTCAGTGCATTGGTTGACACTTTTATTTCCGTGTTACAAGAGTCTTTAAACCATATGGATAAGACATAATTTATGTAGCTTGATTGCAATGTAAACTTAGTGATTATCTGAACTACTCTCGAGACTACTTTCTGGAACTAACAATTAGAGGTTATATTTGAGGAAACCGTGGCCACGGAAGAACTCTACCTCACGGTCCTTTTGTTCCTAGGCAGACATCTTAACCGCAAGTCAATCTGACATATCTATATACTTGTCACGCGATGTCCTTATATCTTATGTCCGAATATAAATTTGTAAGGTATTTGATGAATGATTTTTATGCTACGTCAGTGTGAATGGAAAGCTGCTCTAAAAAATACATCTTTAAAAGTGATGATCATCAATTCATTTTAGACTGTATCAAGTATTTATCAATTCTGAGTTCGACCAATGTTGAGTTCTGCTTAAGCAAGAGCATAGCATGGATAGTAACCTTCATTTCCACTTCTGTTCATGAACAGGCTCATTTAAACCGATCCTGCAATATTTTCAATTTTATCGTTTTGGGTGTTCTTTAAGGTTTCCATGTTTGACCATTTATGGCGAACTAGATAACAAGGGCTGCTGTCACATGATTTTTTTTTCTTCAAAATATGGACAAACATTGTGTGTTATTATAGTGAATAATTAAATATTATTTGTTATTTTTTGGCTTTCTCACAGACATTGTTCTTGGACAAATAATCTATATCATTCTTCAAGTATACAAGCCTGTAATTGGCCATGGAAATATAATTTAAATGTAGTCACATTAAGTGACAAAGAAATAATTAAGTATGGTAATCACTCCGAATGACCTTATTATTTTAGTGTGTGTAATAAAAGCAAGATAAATTTATTCATTTATCTGGTGATTGAAATCTGCTTTTACTACTTAATAACGTGTGGTTTCTTTTAATTTACATTACTTTATATGCTTTGAAAATCTTAACTATCTTGTACTAGTACTTATTTTGCGTGTATAATGTACGAATAATAAATATGAAAATGAATTAATTAGAGGCCATGCGACTAGTTTCATAATACAGGGAGGGGGCTGAATGGCAAAATCAGGTGGGCAATTTAAATTCTAGTCAGTAAACAATTGTCCTAACTAACATTAGAAACACAGTTTGTGTTCAGCACAGATCAATTATGACTGGTTGGCATATTAAAGGGACTCCACTGAGGGTTTTTTGACAAGGCGGGACAGAAAATAAGTTTTCGAGATTAATGTTCCATTTGGTGTAGGTTCAGGCCCAAAATTTCAGATCATTCGCTTTCCCCGTATTTCGAGAAAAATTGTGAAAAATGACAAAAATAAAATGAACGCTTTTCACTCGAATCGGGTTCAGAATAGCTCAATTTATTTCCGAGTAAATTTCCTTACAATCCTTCGTGTATTTTCTTCTGAGTTAAAGGCCCAAGCTGATTTTATAAGAAATTCAAATTTTATGTTTTGGGCTAAAAAAAGTTCAATTTAGTTCCTTTTAACTAGCGCACATTTTGAAATCCCAAAATTGATTTACAGGAAACAGTTTGGAAGAAAACTTAACTACTGTCTGTGTATTTCACAATTCATTTATTTTTATTTAAATCGTCTTGAAGGGGTTTTTACTTTAAACATGAAAATATGTTACTATGCTATTTACCTCCATGCCATCTCCATCGTAGAACACATTGTTTGCATTCAAGTCCCTCTGGTATTTCTAAAGATAGTTCAACGATCCCAGCTTGCCCCGCCTTAATGTCCGGCGAGTATCGTCTACCATACGACGTGGATCGATCCTTGCTCAAGATGCGTAATGGAAACTGATCCAGACATTCTGCCTTTACTGTTTGTTTGACGTCATCGTTGGGGCAAATGTTAAACTCGAAATACCCAGACATCGATGAAGTCACTTGAACGATGGTATCAATGAATCGCTTATCGGTGGAATACGTGCGGCCGATAATACCACGAGCGTACATTCCACCTGCCTCATTTGGGCGTGGCTGTTCGTCGTCCCACGCATCACCACACACGCCGCATCTTCCATCGTTCTCGTGCATTTTCTGAAATAAATTAAATTTTTATATTTAAGGATGAATGTTGTCATCTGCAAACATGTAATTGATATGTATTTGTGGATTTTTATCGTTTTTAAGTACATGGACAATATAACATGACTGAATAGGTTAAGTTTTTATGAGATGTCCCTATAAAGTTTTAATCCTACGAGACCTCAAAAACTTAAAGGTATATAATTATATCGAACTAAAAAAAAAATATGTAAGACCGAAAATAAATTTCTCGAATTTCTATCGGTTGACGTGGTTTTCTAATCGTATTCGCATGGGGTCGTATTGAGTCGGCAACAAACTATACGACTAAAAATCTTTCATGACGTATAAAAACCATTAAAAACATTTGCTGTCTTGGGCAATTTTCACGCCAACCTATGGAGAAAGCTATCTTAATCCTTAGGCTGGAAAAAACAATGAAAACGAGTGCTTTATTACAGACTTTTTAACATCAAATCTTTATCAATCATTAACCATATTTCTTAAAGTACCGTTAATTCAGAGTGAAATGAGTACGTGTGTTTTTGCAGTGAATGAATGATAAAATACATTTATTGAAACATGTGCACAGTAAGCAATGTAACATAATGATATTTTGTAAAATCTATCCATGCTTTCAGAATTTCAATGTTAGATATGGTTTATATTTAAACAAATAATATATATCATTTAGTTGTGTTTTACAAAACACGAAACGCGTATGCGCAAGTGGAACTCGTGCGCAGCTGTTTTAAACAAATTGTTTTACAAATTAATGAGGTTTCATGTTCTAAATCAATTAAAATTAAGACATGCTTTATGTAATTCATCAAAAGAAATATTCAAATGAACATTCTAGGAATTCAAATCAAATTTAATGTTAAATATATAATTAGGAAAAAGGGATATTTTAGTACTGTTATAAGAGTACAGGATTTCTAATGCTTTCAATTGAAAAAAAAAACGTTTTTCACTTGACAGTATTTTCTAGTTTTATTTCAGGTCCTCAAAAACATTCTTTTATTCTCAAATACTCTAATGTACCACAATGCGTTGTTAAAACATGCTATTCCATTATCAAAAATAAAATGTTAAACTTTTACTTGTACGAGCCGACTTTTCAGGTTAAAACATTAAAAAACATGTAATTTTTGTGTACTTCTTGTTATAATTTATGATACGAGAATGTAACGTTATTTTTTGGCCACTTATCTGTCAGAGAAGTTGTCTTTAGATATTAGTTAAATAATTAACTTGTCCATGTATTTTCAAAATAACTGTCACTTATTACCAGTATCCAACTTCCTGAATAAAGTGCGTGTTACATTTAGATTGTTACAAGATTTGTATTTCCTTTAATTTCGTTACTTTTTTACAAACTATCATTATACAATAATAAATCGTATCAAAAAGAACATTGTTAGTTTTTATATTGATGTTGTTTTATTTCGCTATAATGTTGAAACAGATACTAATAACATTTTTATTTTAAGCGTAACTATTTAAGATTTAAAAATACAACCGCTGAACAGAATTTCGTTTTAAAATATTTTGATATATTAATTATTTATAAACTAAGCTGTATTGAAAAAAATGTATTTCCGTTTAAAAAGATTTTTTTTAAGAAATGCATTTTAATTTTAGCCTTATCACTTTGCGGCTGTTTTGTTTGAAAATACAGCATTACTCAAGTTTTGTATGAATAATTGGTAAAAAATATTTCCTTTTCGTTCTTGATTTGATCCTGAATTTTGTTATGTAGAATTTCTCTTCAAATTTAGATGAACGCATAATAAATATAACTATTAGCTAATCAAAAGTTGCTTTAAAGGGACGAATATAATTTATCCGAAGAAAAATGCAACATTTTTTCTGTTTAAAAAATCTAATGAATTTTCAAGAAACGTACGAAATGAAAAAAGTGACATTTGTACTTCTTCACATCATGTAATAAGATTAAAAGTCTTGCATTATGTTTTAACTTACCCAGAATCCACCACAGTCAAGAGTATGATCGTCATAATTTTTGACGACGTAACGGTTTCTGTAGAATAATGGATCCCTCCAAAGACTGGACCTTTGCGGTGGAACTAGAAGTCGACCATTACCGGAAACACTGTTTAAACACGCTAGAAAAACGGTGCCTAGAAATAATGTCCACATTTTCCCACTCATTTTATTATAATAATTGTATTTTTAAGAAGTCACACGCACTGATATGTGTCTATTAATTTTCGTCTGGTGTTTCAACTATCAAAACGTCAGAAATCCCCTGACTTGTTGCTCTGTTCACCTGAATACCTTCTTTTGTAATTAAAAATTTAAAAAATAATAATAAAACTCTTGCAGGCGGTCATGCAAAATAATAATAAAATAAACCTATTTGTTCCTTCTTATTCATGCAATCTATTTTTTATAAAAATCGTGTCTTTTTAAGCACTGAAAATAATAAAAAGAACCGAGGCGTATGTCGTAAAATGTCAAAAAGTGGCGTAAAAATACAACAAATTAAATTAAAGAAAGCATGCTACTTCATAACACCAGCACTTTGAAATCGTAAATTCATGCTATCATTTGATAACAGAGTGCTTTTATACGGCAAAACGGACTGATCCGTTGATATGACGTTTACTGCCGTCATCCATGCGTTACGTTACCGTTAATGCGTGGTTTACGTAAAAATAAAGGGCGTATATTGATTCTAATATCACAAGATATTGTTTTACAATTTTTAAGTGTTGAAAGGATCACTAGGATTGTCATTTTAAGTATCCTGTTTTGGTTAATTTGATGAATTAGTGTTCAAATTCGGATTGCCGTTTTTTTTTTAACGTATGAGGGTTATAACGTTACAACGTATGATTCAGATGAGAGGGCAAATTAAGATTTAAATATAGAACGCTTTAGATACGTTGTGGTTTTGTTTTGTATCAATTACGGGGGAGTTAATATCGCAACTTTGGTGAACCGCGTCGAAGTACAATTTGAATGGCCGGTGTTTACTTATGTTTTTTATATTTACTTTTACTAAAAACAAGAAAAAAATCTTTAGTTTTTATGTCATACAAGATTTTTATAACAAAAAAAATATTTATTTTTTGTCTTAAAAATGTTTTATGTTTGAATAACAAATTCCGTACTTAACATGCGTTTGATATTTAAACGATTACGTATCATTTGTCATTTTGATGATGTAATTTATCAAATTAGTAGCTGGACATTTCAGCCCGGTGATGTAAACTCAAGTATATTTCTTGCAAGTAATCCGGTTGATTTGCGGACATTTGTTAAACACAAATAAGTTTTTAATTTATCCTAGCGTTTCACTGGGGTTCATCGTAAAGAAAACATCATCATATACTTTTTTTATTTATTTGTTACAATTTCACATACTAAACTATAATTAAAGAGAAGAAGAAAATTGTACTCAATATACTATGCTTCTGCGGTCAAACATAATTCAGATACAGTGAAATAAAAGTTTGATATATATTCTTTCAGTATGAATTTATATAGATAAAAATAATACATATGTATATACAATATATTCAAGTTTTACCTATAAATACAGGATTTATTAGCATAGAGTGGTATGAAAATAAATATTTCATGAGTGTCGAGTGAAATATGATAATTTTCAAACCGCAAGATGAAAATAAATCCTGTATCTAAAGAAAAAAAAACTTAAATTTTCTGTTTATTATATATATTTTTCTCTTTTTTGACATTACAATTTGAGAGACCTTCCCTTAAAGCAGCACGCCTCCAATACACGCTAATTTTTATGAAAGTTTTGAAAATGTATTCTACTGTATAATATCGTGAAATAACCAAAAGGAAGCAGTTTGCACATTATCAATGGCACTTTCAACCTACGTAAATTACAAAAAAGTTGTCAAAATATGCATAAATAGCTCTTACTGCGTTAGTAACGCAGTAGAAATATAGTTGTAAATATTGAAAAATCAGTCATTAACCGCACATAACATGTAAAATATTACTTGAATCTCGAATCATTTTACTTTTCCTAAAATCGTAGTACATATTTCTCAAGTTTGATTTTATTGAAATATTTTGACTCATCTGGAGGCATGTAGCTTTAAATTTTGTGTACTGGTAAAATTTAGAAAAAAGTAGTCCGGCAAGACACCAGTGAAAATACGGAAAATATGTTTCACTGCAGTAAAAAATAATTTTTTACAGTGAAAATACGAAAAATGAAAAGACGCATTTTTTTCAACAATATTCTCAATATTTCATTTATAAGTATTTGGTAAACGAGTTGTATTTCTGCATCCTAATTAAATGCATTATAGTATGACCTACAAAGATTATTTGTGACTTTATTTGCAAAATAATTAATAATATCATCATGTATTTTAAGAGTAATAATGATACACTGCTGCATACTTGGTACGCAAAATAACTAATCTATGAACGCTCGTGCGCTAGCTATAGAATTACTGTCGTCTGCGCTCACTGTGCGACTTCAAGTGCATGGCGTAACGTCAGAACGTAACCTGTAAATAACGCGACGCTATTATTGTCAATAGACTGTAACTTTGACATGGAAGACAGACAAAGTTCTACAACATTTATGCACATACCACTGTGTTTTATTGCAAACTGATGACTGATCCAAACATATTTACTGATAAAAAAAATGACCTAATGTGGCAATTCCATTTCTTTGACAAAAATATCATATAACAGGCTAAATTGCTATTGATGTTTATGAAAATAACATACATGTATACTAAGTAATAGATTTTGATATATTTTATCTAAATTTAAAAGTGTAAGTTATTAGAAGATGTGTAATTAAAGTGTTGTGGTCGATTTAACCAAACAATTAATAAAACTTGATCGATCTTTATATCATTTCCATCGGATGTAGAAATCGGAAGAGTTCGTCATCAAATTGTACTGATAAAATGAATTAGGTTGGTGTTATAGAGCATGTAATCTTGCTCTGTCAGTTTGTATTGTCAGAAAAAAGTCCAGACTATTTTTTTCATTCTGCATTTGTCCAACGATGAAGGTATACAATTATTTAGTTAAACAATATTTAATTATATTACTATAAACACAATTTACAATTTTTAAATACAATTTTACATAAAAACAATAAATTCAATTATTTTCAATGTTAAGTAATTTATGTCAGGAATAATGAAAAATTATTGAATTTAGTAAAAAAAATCTTAAAAAGATGGAGACTACTTAACAGCAATGAAAACAAAGCTGACAGTTGCAGACTCGATTTGATTGAGTATTTTTATTGGAGATCATGTAATGTACAACATATTGCATGCCCCCAGCATCGGCTTAAGCGTGTTTTTTAATGTTTTTTATTATTGTTTATTATTATTATTATTATTATTATTATTATTATTATTATTATTATTATTATTATTATTATCTTCATCAACATCATCATTATTTCAATATTATTTTATTATTATTTACGAAAAATTTCTTTAAAATCAAATGTCGTTTTGTGGTCATTAAAAACAACACTTAATTGAAAGCTAACGCCTGTTCGGAGAACTCACTCAAATCACTTGTTGATTTTAAAATCCATAATCATGAGTAATTCATTAACCAATATATATATATTTTCATAGATGTAATCCATCATGTCAATTACACCCATATCATTCATTTTCTATATAATTGTTAAATGTGTTAAACCGATAAAATTGAGCCGTGTCACGACAAAACCAACATAATGGGTTTGCGACCAGCATGGATCCAGACCAGCCTGCGCATCCGCGCAGTCTGATCAGGATCCATGCTGTTCGCTATCAGTTTCTCTACTTGTTAAAGAGTTTGTAAGCGAACAGCATGGATCCTGATCAGACTGCGCGGATGCGCAGGCTGGTCTGGATCCATGCTGGTCGCAAACCCATTATGTTGGTTTTGTCGTGACACGGCTCAAATATTTCTTTCTTTTTTTTCTGTATAACATATTGGATATGATAAATTGTGCTTGTGAAAATAGCAACAACTACAGTGTAACAGTACATTACTACATCGTCTTTTTTACTATGACTAAAATAACGTAACAATTTAACAAAACAAAAGGCTGTAATAATATACAATTATTGACTAGTGAGCCATTGAATATGATGTGATATTCACCGGCAGATGACATATTGACCGAGGCGATAGCCGAGGTCAATATGACTTTCTGCCGGTGAATATCACATCATATTCAATGGGTCACTAGTCAATAATTGTTTTATTATATGAATATGCTAAGAATTGAAAAAAAAAATCACGAAAAAGTACATCCTTATATACATGTACAAATTTTGCCTCGTTGAAGTGCGGGAAAAAAGACGCACGTGTAAGGCGTGCAACGACTACGCGAACGCTGCGCATACAAAAGTAATTCAAGTTTATACTCATCAATGCGGTTTAGTATTTAAGTATAACAGTAAAGTAATGATATTTCAATCGAGAAATATGCCATAAAGAACAAAACGCAACAATTATTTTTTTAATTAACACACGTAATTAACAGTCTACGGTGTATGGTCATTGAATATGAGTCTCAATCTATTTTTAGATTTGAAAATACAATTCAGCCAGTTAATATGATACTACACCCAGTGAATATGATTTTATAAAAAGTTCTGTTGACTACAGTTTGGACCAATAAGATTGCAGCTATTTTTAGATCATATAATAATTGAGCACATATGTTCATTACTTTAACTGCTGTAAGTGTAAACTTTTTTTATATTCCTGGATTTTTGTATTAACATCAGGTGCAATGTACTATGTGGCGGTTGTAAAAAGTCGCCCAGTACTTCATTACAGTGTTGTGATATCCTTTTAAATGATATTTTATAGGACATTTGGTGTCACTGATTTAAAAACATTTAGTTGAGCATTTATTAATGCTTAAATCGGTGCTAGGGGGCGTGGGAGAGGTTGCATTTTCCATATCTGTATATATCTGTCATAAAAACGCTCAGTCAATTTTTCACCTATATTTACACTTGGGTTATTGATTGACTAAGTGCAAATTAATTGTTAAAATGAGTTATGTAAATGGGTAGAACATCACTTCTTAACGAAATTCACAAGGGGAAAACTGAGCACTGTTAAAGTAACCCTTGTTGCCAATATTCTTGAATATTGAACGAAATATCTCTTTCGGTGAAGGTAACAAATATTATTTATAGGATACCATAACACGGAGTTCTATAATAATTGCTCACACGAAAGGTCATGGTCATTCTAATTGCACTAATGTTTAATTTTTACCACAATTTTATTATAAATCTTAAAAGTCAAATAAAATATATAAGAGTGTGTCAGGCCGATAAATTATTACAACATGACAGAGAGCCATCCTCCTCGGACCTATGACTGTGTAAATAAACAATCATTAACACAATCATGCAATTGACACTTTGACAAAAAGTATAGATAATTTCTATGTCCGGAAAAGAAAACAGTATGTTGATAGTGACACATCGTGCTTACATGTTAATCCTTGACAACGTATTAATTGTGTAAAGTAACCAAACACAAAAAATCAAAAGAAAACCCACTAACAACAAAATTATTTAAAAGGAGGATAAACAAACAAGGCAAAAAACGAAAAGTACTGTTTCTTTCACATGCACATCAACAATGATATAGACAGATTTGTATACAAAGGTTTCTTCGGGAGTGGCACTGGGAGTCTCGTAGTGGGGTCGATTTTTTTTTAATTCGTTTTATTTATTATTATTATTATTATTATTATTATTATTATTATTATTATTATTATTATTAGATGTGGGGTTGTTTATTGTATTTTTGTCAGTGGGTTGGGGATCAGAATTTTTTATAAAATGAATAACGGACATGTGCACGTTGTTTAAGTCATCAATTCACAAATAAATAACCCGCTCTTTTCTCCGACATAATCCGAGTGAATAGCAGCGTCATACTCTCTCGCACACAATCACGCATTCAGGAAATGTATGTTTTAATGGCATAAGATATATGATTGTTGGCAAACAATATTGACCAAATTACGGATGCCACGATCCTTTGCAATGATATATATACAGGATGTCCGTTAATACACCTATTACCTATTTATCAACAATATACTTTTCATTAAAGAAAAACACGTAGTCCAATCAACGGCCGTAAATATGGTATAAAAAATAGCATGGCAAAATAAGTTCACCACGCCGTAAATCTGAATTATGTTTGACATACATTAAGTGGAGACAAATGGTGTCAACGTTTAATGATGTGTGCGCATTTATTACATAATAAAACATGGTTGATCCTTATATATTTTTATGATACAAGATATGTATAGTTCGTGATTTTTAATTTAGATATTGGGCGATATACGTATTAAATATTTTGAATATAGTCATTGCAATACAAATTATAAAGTAGTATTATAATACAACATAAACGGTTCCTAATATTCATTCAACATAGCAGTGTTCACATCATATATTTAACCAAATCGCGTACTTTATTTGTATAAGTCATCTGATAATGACCAAAGCAAAAACGAAACACAAAAAATGTGTATTGCCGAATGAATATTCGCTCGTCTGCATTTAATGTATGTTTAACCAAAGCTCGGTTTTATATTGCCTCAGCCATTATTTTGTTTAACTAGAGGATATCTTGCATTATAAAAGTAATATCAGTATTTCAGCCAATAAATTTTCTGTAAAAACAAAAATAACAAAGTCATATCTCTTGGGCTAGTTGTTAATTTCTAAAATATGTCGACACCTTTTTGTGTTTAGAATAGAGAAAATAAGAATTCCAAATCCTCAAATGTTTATGATGATTCTGCTTACCTTAGCGCTATACCTACTGAATGAGCCCATCTTTGAATAAGGACCAGTCAATTAAAAGTTTAAGGAATTTAAATATCAAAATACAATAATTGAGCTATCTACAGTATAGAGAAAAATCAGAATTTAATCATGTGTCTTTTTTTATAGACCAATGTGTTTGATAGCTTTATATAGACAAAAAAAAACTGTATATTGTCCAATATTTGCCGTCGTGTAATAGATTTATTGGTATAAATCTTTATTTTATTCATATGTATTAAATAGAAAAAATAAGATAGTAACAAATGATTGCTCTTTTTGAATACATATGGGGTCAAGATAAGCACGAATAAGTAATATACATATACTAGCATGTGCATGCGGACGCATATAAAACTTAAATTATTTATGATAAAGCACAGAAATTGTTTGTGCAAATGGTTTATTAGGCCACTTTCAGTAATCCAGATCGCCATTCAGTAAAAAAAATGCATTCAATTGAAACATTGCAATAACATGCTTATAGTGATTTTGAATTTAGTGTAAAATTTATCAAACTAATTCACGTAAAATGCTTGATTCAAAGGAGGAATGTTTAGACGAAACTGCGTTATCATCTGCTGACAGAGACGGTGATAAACAGCCCGACAAAACTTTACAACATCAAAAGAGTGTTCACGCGAATTACTTGATTTATGGAGTAAAGGATTCGCCACCTATACATATTACAATAGTCTGTGCATTACAGGTAATTTAATATATACTTTAACCTTTAACCTGGTGGAACCGAAGGAATGGGGTTCATACTCTCATTGCCTGAAAGGGTGGATGGACCCTTATTAAACTTAGAACACACAGAACCGAACATATATGATAAGCTTTTTCCACGAGTAAAAGCCAGTTCAGCCTGCACAACCGAGCAATCTGACCAGGCTCTATACTGCTAGCAGCTTAGTTTTTGTGTTTGGATACTCAGATCACTTAACTGATCCAAGTTCAAAGCTGGGCAAAGATTTTCAAACAAATTCAGTTGGGTTCGGCACATAAATATATACAATGTACCATAATAGTTAAATGATAACTTTATAGATATATCATAGTCATGCACTTAAAAACAAATTTAAGTATAAGGAGGAATTGTTTGTTATAACCACATGATGCATTTGTCATTGGTCATTTTCGATTTTATTTTTCTATCTGTTACAATATGCATGCATGTATCTTATAATATATCCTTGAAATATACTTATAATCTTCAAACTGCAGGTATATTTATAGCCTAGGAAATATTTTAGAGGAGTAAACACTTCCGTGACATGATTAATGTTGATATGTTTTGCTTTACATGCAATGTCATTTGAATATATATGAAATACGGACCTTTTATGTATATCATTTCTCGCCATTTTATTCAAATTATGTGTCAACAGATGCAATGGTATAATATAATAATAGTGTCACTATTGAACCAAAGTGGCTGGTTTTTAAAATGGTAGAAAGGTATATATAAGCTGCCATCAGTCGGTAGAACGTGCAAAGAATCTATAACAATTTTAAAATGAGTTAAATTTATTCGTTTATTTAAGTCTCTTTCTCAAATGATATACACAAAATTAATATACATATAAAATACATGTAAGTCCAATCAACTGAGATTAAGCAGACATAAGTAAACATTATTACATATAATATGAGTACTATGTACGTATAATACAGATAAGAAATATAATACATGTACTTTTGTTAATCTGATATTTTGTAAATTACTATAAAAGAAATTAAAGGAAAAATAAGTGAAATAAGTGAATAGATTTGACAATATACTCCACAATTACACAATGGTTGTAAAAAAATTGTATATGTTTCGTCAAATCAAACATATTTAGATTAAAGGCCCAGAAATGCTATTTAAAAATGTTTGGTATCTTCTTACAGTTTCCATAAAATACTCATTTCCCACTTTGATGAACTATCTTTGCTTTCTTTGCTTTGTTGTTATTGGTATATTTTTTGTGAATATCATTTTGTCTGGAAGTCAAAATAAAACATGTACATTGTTTACATTTTGCTAACTTTACGACACATTACTGCACATTCAGCGCTACTTTTTTCAGCTGTTAAACACCTAGCATGTTCTTATTCCATTAGTAAAGCACTATTAAACACGTGCATGTTTGACATTTCTAAAGACTTTAATAAATATTGATATCTGAGGCATAATGTGCCTTTAACAAGTATATTCTTGTATTTGAGTAAAACAGTTTATATGATATTTAGTTAGAAAACAATTTATTTACTTGTATATCTGAGAAAAAACAGGTCCACTATTTTAGTTTAAAAAGCAAACAAACAGAAAACAACATTTTTTCCTCAAAAGGTCCACATTTGGAATGAAAAAAAAAACATGTTTGTTTTAATTTTTACAGCAAGGCCTCCTGTCTTTATCGACGCAGCTTATTGTGTCCCTGTTGGTAGCTGAGGCGGTATGCGCGTCCGGCAATGATATTTTCAAAGCGAGGCTCCTCAGCTCTACGCTCTTTATGAGCGGCGTAACAACCCTAGCTATGAACACCATTGGTATTAGGTATGGTTATAAATTTTATTATTTTATTTCAATAAATTAAATAAACTAGCACATGGTCATGGACTACTAGTGAAGGTGAAAATAGTCTCTTGGATAATAGGGAAGACCAGAAATTTTAAAATAATGTCAAAATGAAAAGGTCCATCATCTTTATGAATGTGTCATTCTGCAGTTCGCCCAATTCTATAGCTTCACACTTCTTTATATCTTTAAATTTTCTCATATTTTCTTCTTTACTCGGATTTCTTTCCTAATTTAAACTTCTTAACACTTCTTTATGGTTTTCTCTCGATTTTCTTTTGTTTGTTTTGTTCTAATTTTGTCTTATTTTCTTATAATAATGTTAACATATTTTATCTCGGATGAAACAATTTGTTAAATTGTTTGTATCGCCAAAATCTGTACCGATGTCTAGCTAGTACAATAAGCTTTGAGGTCAATCCACTTTATCATGATTTTGTTTAAGTTTTGTGTTTGATATGTAATATTGAAACTTGATAAAAAGATAAAATACGTTTTAAACCAAAGGGGGATTATTATTGGAATGGACTTATAACGATTATTATAATCTTTGTAGGTGACAATAATAAAATATGTTTCAAAGTTTCAAGTAAACCAAAAGCAAAACGCAACAAAAACAACAAAATTCAATTTTTGGAGATTGGTGATTCTAAGAAATAGGTATCAGAAAATAAACATTGTTCAATGCTTTTGATAAGGTACAACTATTGAAAGTTACATTTTGCTGTTAATAATTGGAAGAAAATTTTTGTTTGTATGAACAGCATTTGTTAATTTAAAAAAGGTTGGTGGCACATAAGCAAAGTCTAAGCTAAAACCTACTAAACATAGCACATTGAAAATTTTGTAAGGGAACATTTTGTTCTGTTTTGCTCTTATATCAAGTGTGCATTGAATAGCAGTTTTTGCTAAACCTCTCTCGAAATAGTACCAGTGACGTCGTTGAAACGTTGTTATATATAGTTTGTAAAATCTTTGAAGCTTTATTTCGACAGCTCCCCTCATATTTCTTATAAACAAGCTTAACCTAAATTCAAAATAAAAATATTAATTCATTTTTGTTTTCATTTTTTTTTTTGCTACATAATACTTCTTAATTTATAAATGTCAACTTTTCGCTCATGTCACTGATTTTTTTCTTCTTTTTTGCATTTTTCCTCTTTTCAGGCAACTCTGATTTTTCATTGCAGTGGAATGTAACAAAGTGTGTAAAAATATCAATGCCCCCTCATTGTGTGTCTGCCCAACATTTTCGTAAATAACTGTCATTTCATAACTGGGTGTTCAGTTAATTGTATTTATATGTTTTTATATATTTAAAATGTCATGACTAATCAAATAATTAATGATAATGCGAATCTGACAAATGTGAAAGACATAAAAATCAAAATAATATTTTTTTTTTGTCTTGTTAATATCGCTGCGGATAAAGATAAAGAACATTTAAATGATGACGCTGTCTTCTACATGATTCTTGGGTATCAGACAGGATTATCTAAGTCGCTTGCTTTAAATGACGCCAATCCCGCGCGCCTTTTATGAATGAATTGCGTTCTTAGAATGACGTCATTTTGCCATTTTTAATGCAGTTGTAAATTCATACGCTACTATAAGAAAACATGTTTAGGTTCTGCAGGCCTGGTGTCATATAAGAGAAACGGTTTGGACCCTAAATTCCTTCATTGATAGGCATTTATTTATTTATTTATTTATTTATTTATTTATTTATTTATTTATTTATTTATTTATTTATTTATTTATTTATTTATTTGGTCTAGCTTCAAACAAGTTTATTCCTTCTTTAAATGCTACATGTTGCCGTCCATTTTTAAATTTGTAATCCGCATATTGTTGTCACAAATTGATTGCCAAATAATTTGGTTGAATTAATGCAGTTCTTATGACTTACATTAGTTTCAGAAATGAAAAAGATCTCGTACGCGGCTGGTATTTTACAAGTTTTGTTTTGTGAAAACGAATGTTTTATCTTATTATTATCTTATTATTCATCCTTCATTTTTAACATTACAAATCATCTCTAACATTATCATTTAATCTATCATCTTATAATCAATAGTATTTTGAAATTAGTCTACCTCTGTTTTGATAATAATAGTTATGTTACTCAAATTCAACAAACAGCAAATAATTATTTTCGAAATTCAGTTCTTTTACCAATTAAGAGAACTGTTGCGTGGATTAATGTAACTAGCATATTAAAATGATATATCACTTTCAACGTGAATACTTTACTACTCACAGCGGTTACTTTCCTTGACCAATTCAATTTCAGATCGAAAACTGAAAACATGGAAAAGATGATAGCTGTGTATCAATTTATTTGCGGTTTTGTAAGGCGAAAATGTAAAAGTACGAAGACATGTCAAACGAAGACTTCATGCATAGTCCTTTCGTACCATAGTCCTTTCGTACTATTCGTCCCACTACAAGAATAAAATCTGCACACGGCACAAAGTCCTAGCCATCATACCTTCACAGATAATTCATTAGACATTCAATATTGATAATGTTTGTGTAAATAATATTTTAATCTATACTAACAAAGTTATTCTATTCATTAGGTTGCCACTTTTTCAAGGAGCGATGTCAGAGTATGTGGTACCATTGTTACTGGTTGGAAGTGTGGAGGGAACCTTTTGTTCTACATTGGCTCCAGGTAAAAATGTCCATATGTATGTCATAATTTTAGACATTGTACGCTTTGATAAAGTATTGCTACAGACATTTCAACATATTTCTTATAAGTAACTGCTTGCACTTTTGACTCTCGACATATTTCGACTTATTGTGTAAGTGCTAGGTTCCGACAATAATAATAATAATAATATTGATGAGAATTATAAAAATAATGGTAATAAATTAAATAATAATTGTAATAATAATAAAATGATGATGATGATGATGATGATGATAATGATGATGATGATGATGATGATGATGATGATGGTGGTGATGGTGATGGTGATGATGATGATGACGATGACGGTGACGGTGATGGTGACGATGACGATGACGATGATGATGATGATGATGATGATAAAAATAATAATAATAGTATTATTACTAATGATAATGATAATACACATTGTTTATTTCAGAATTAAAAGAAGCCGGTAAGAGGATATTTCTATACCCACACCAATGTGCTCGTACCATTTCTTAATCGCTATTTTACATTTCGATCGTTTTATTTTTCAATGCTTTCTGCAGACTCTATAAATACTCATTAAATGAAATGAAGATATAGTAAAATCATATATTTCTAAACGATTTCAAAATCGGAATTAAGATGGAATATAGTATGCCTGCATAAATCAGAATGGTGACCATAGTCAAATTACTACTTTTTTACATTTGCTACCTTTAAGGAACATAACTTCATGTTCAGCGCTACTTTCTTCAGTTATTGAATATCTATAACATGCCCTTAATCCATTAATACATGTAAAACATTATCACACGCATTTTGGCATTTCTAACGAATTAAAACAATATGGATTTCTGAGGCATATTGTGCCTGTAAGGAAAGGCAGTGTAAATTACTATTTTGCAGCAGTTTCACCAGCAGTCAATATGTCTTCCAATTCTACTGACCCGGACGTGACTATGGAAAGAATTCTACTAAATGTTCGTGCGGTAAGTATTTGTGATTAATACTTCAAATATTCTTTAAAAATTGTCATTTTAGTTTGGTCACGTGATTTGTTTACATCAGTTTTATTTTTCATTACATGTTTACCTTGTTTCATAACAACTAAATGATTAAGTATAAAATAAACAAAAAGTCGTGACTTGAGACATTAAAATATATTTGAGCCGCGTCCAACGTAATGGGTTTGCGCATCCGCGCAGTCTGATCAGGATCCATGCTGTTCGCTTACAAACTCTATAACAAGTAGAGAAACCGATAGCGAACAGCATGGATCCTGATCAGACTGCGCGGATGCGCAGGCTGGTCTGGATCCATGCTGGTCTCAAACGCATTATGTTGGTTTTGTCATGACGCGGCTCATTTATTTATCATGGTGAATGTTACGTACATTGAAACATATCCTTATAGTTTGAATCATATTAGGGTGTAACAAGTTAGACTGTTTTTCCGTAAACAATTATATTTTGATGTAGCTTTCTGTGGGATATGGCGAACGTTTAATTATTATGATGTTAAACATAAAACGTTTTACTGGTAAGTTTGATGCTTGATTTAGTTTCATTTTACGGAGTTAATAAAGGCCAGGAACCCCAATGACGTGCATTACCGCCGACTAAATATCCGTCAGCTCACTTCCTCCGCAGAAATTTAAATTTTGCAATATAAGGTTGTATAAACATTTACAATTAGATGGTGCCTAAATGTATCATATTCTATCGCACGCCGTGATATAGTCGCACACACGCCATAATATCCATGATATTGTCACACACGCGCCATGATATTGTCGCACACACGCAATGATATTGACGCACATACGCCATGATATTGTCGCAGATACGCCATGATATTGTCGCACGCACGCCAGGATATTGTCGCACATAAGCCATAGATATTGTCGCATAACATAATATTGGTCGCACATCGACATATATTGTCGCACATAAGCCATGAATATTGACGTACACATACGCCATGATATTGTCGCACGCACGCCAGGATATTGTCGCACATAAGCCATGATATTGTCGCACATACGACATGATATTGTCGCACATAAGCCATGATATTGACGCACATATGCCATGATATTGTCGCAGATACGCCATGATATTGTCGCACGCACGCCATGATATTGTCACACACGCAATGATATTGACGCACATACGCCATGATATTGTCGCAGAGACGCCATGATATAGTCGCACACACGCCATAATATCCATGATATTGTCACACACACGCAATGATATTGACGCACATACGCAATGATATTGACGCACATACGCCATGATATTGTCGCAGATACGCCATGATATTGTCACACGCACGCCATGATATTGTCGCACACACACCATGATTTTTAGCTTACACCATGATTTTATCACACGCAGTGATTTTCCAGCACTCCATTATTCTATCGCATGCCAATATTCTATCACCGACCATTTTCGCTTTGCAAGCCATGATTCTGTCGGATGCACGTGTTGGAACACCTAACGTTTTTGTTCACAGGGCAATAATATAAATGAATGATTAATAAACATTGTTTGACTTCAAATTTATGATAGGTATTTCCATCCCCGCTTATTCAACTAACATTATTAATACGTTTTTTACTTTTTTTGTTTGTTTGTTTGTTGGTTGGTTTGATGTTTGGTTTGTCGGTTGGTTTGTTTGTTTGTTTGTTTGTTTTTGCTTACGAATAGCGGGATCTTTTAACCTCCAACTTAAGCAAACTTGTTACTTCTTTTTATTTAAGGTTAATGCTGTGCATGCAGTGCTTTTCTCTTACTGGAACATGTTTCAAATTTAACATAACATATTTCAGCTTCAGGGAAGTCTAATGCTAGCTGGGATTGTACACGCGTTCCTCGGCTTCACTGGACTTATTGGCGTCCTCCTCAAACTTGTTGGACCTCTCACAATCGTGCCAACTATGCTTCTTCTCTTTATATTCATAGTCAAGCCTGTTCTCAAGTTTGTAGAAGTTAACTGGGGTATAGCCATGTCGTAAGTATGCATATGATTATCATTATTATTCCCTCTATAATTTTCATTATTGTTGGGGTCTTTGTTGCCAAGCGGATACGAACCGACCCCTTACCGCTCTGGGTTCGAATCCAGTCAGGGACTCTGGATTCTTTTATGTTAGGAAGCTTTACAGATAGCTTACGGAAATCCTTTGGCTGTACTCAGGTTGCCTTTCTTGCCTATAATAATCCATGGAGGGACACCTGAGGTCTTGCACCACTAGTAAAACTGTAATGTCATCATATGACCTTTACACAGTCAGTTTTAAAATCCAACAACTACATATACTACACATTATCTTTTACGGTTTTTTTTGTTTGTTTTTTTTTGTTTTTTTTTTTTTTTTTTGTTTGTTTTTTGTTTTTGTTGTTGTTTTTTTTTTGTTTTTTTTTCACCGTGCAATTTTATTCCAATGGTCATTCTTTATGTTCCTAAGACATCTTTAAAAAGGACCAGAAAAGTATTGTCAAATGTTACTGACATGTTTGTAAGCTATCACAACTTTTCAGCCCTTTCTGTTAAACATCTGATATGGTCCTCGAATCCAAGAGTATGAATACACCGACCGAATAGTGTATATTGCATATTGTTTAAGCCTTCGCTACAAAAAAACAACAACAAAAAAACATGTAAACTAGTTGCAAGTTATTGCTTTAAATCACTGAACCACTCTATTTTGTTATATCTATCGTGTTAAAGTCGACTTATTTGATGTAAATATAAAGACATTATTTAGTTACTAGTATATGACTGATAATGTTCTAACAAACCATAAAATGCAATGACAATGCCATTGACAGAATACCAAATGATATTCCGAAATTGAATTAATTGACGGAAATCTTTTTCAATCATACTATTAAAACACATCTTATTTATCTTTGTTTGTTTCTGTAATACTTGTCTATATGTATAAGATTATACCAGTTCTGTTCACAGACGCTTGGGGGTCAGATCCTGCTCCCCCCAATGTGATAAGCCCCTGTAAACACACTATCAAAAATATTACGATATTTAAACACAAATTGAACATCTGTTACAACGATAAATATCGTTTTCAAACAATTTTACATATATGAAAAAATACCATATACCATCAAGTCTCAATAAAGTAAATATTGCAGACTCCAAAATGTAAACAGTCCATCCAATTCGCGGCCTGAGCCTAGCATATTTTTGCGCTCGTGATTCGCTTTTTGAGCCGGGACCCAACACTATAATTCTCTTTCGGGCCGCCAAATTCAAATATTTATATTCTATATTATATAGAACAAGGATTTGTAACAGAGTTAACAACGTCGCCCATCTTAGGGAAGTATCATATGAAGCATAAAAATGTGCTACATGTATTTCAAAAGATTGAGGTATGTGTTATGCGCTAACTTTAGAGTTCTACTGAAGGTGGATTGAATCTTAACACAATGTTCCGTTTTATATTTTAATGTTTCTTTCTTAGTGGAATACCACAGATAATATATAACATAAACACAGGTTATCCTGATGTTAACAAATTGATATTAAAAACAGTAACGATTATTTTTAGTGGAAAGCCACAATACAATGTTATCACTTGGAAATCCAAAATCTAACTGTCTCTAAATTTTCTACATGTATCTTTACAATAATTCTAAAATTGATTTCGTTTTAACTGACCAATAGAATTTTAACCTTTTTGTGTCTTAAATAACAAAATGACCAATCAGGTTTCAATACAAAATAATGTAACATAGCAACATAGAATTTATAACAACAATCATCACCTGGATATTTTATCAGTCATAAGGTTTAACAACATGATAAGTACAGACAGCTTATCACCTTATCACCTTATTGACCTTATCACCTATATATTATAAAACTTTTAGCACAGTTGATTGGACAAAGAGGAAAAGCCGCATTTTAATCTTCCAGTTACATAATTTTTAAATTTGACATCTGTTATTGAAACATATACAATTTGTAACTTAACATATTTGAAATTTCACAAATTTTGTTTTAAAAATATGACCTTTTAGAAAATGATTATATATATAAATATTTGTGTTTAAAAGAAAATCATCATGCAAATTTATTCTTTTTTTTTTAAATGAATTTTATCATTTTTCGGCTGCACAACATATGGATCAGGACTTTTAGTCTAGTTTGTTCGTTTAGTTTAGTTTAAAATCTACATCAAACATTGTTGTTTCCGAGATAATTAAACGTTACCTACAATGTGTTCCGAATGGCATGAAAGCATTGCAAAGTTTATAATGCTAAAATTCTATTTTTAGAACTGTCATAGTTGCTGTGATATTATTCTTATACCTGTCCAACTACAAAATGCCCGTACCAGTCTGGACTCCCTCTGATGGCTTCAGGATTATACGTTACCCTCTGCATCAAGTATTTGCGGTAATATCAAAATTTTTCAACCTATTTTTAGAAAAGTCAGTTCTTAAAATAATTTCATTTAAGATGGTAAGCATTAACGTTTAATATTTTTGAAATACCAAATATCATATACTCAGTAGTACTTAATAAAATACTGCATCATGTTATTTTTATTGTAAGCTATTAGTATTTTAATAATGGTGTTGATTATATAAATAGTAGTAGTTGGTGGTGATGGTGATTACTTCGAAAAAGTTAAAACTACTTAATTAGTGGCATATTCAGCATTTGAGCCTTGCCACGACAAAACCAACATAATGGGTTTGCGACCAGCATGGATCCAGACCAGCCTGCGCAGTCTGATCAGGATCCATGCTGTTCGCTATCAGGTTCTCTACTTGTAATAGAGATGGTAAGCGAACAGCAAGGATCCTGATCAGACTGCGCGGATGCGCAGGCTGGTCTGGATCCATGCTGGTCGCAAACCCATTATGTTGGTTTTGTCATTGCACGGCTCATTTAATGTTTAAAATAATCAATAGTCAAAAGAAGTGATGCAGACAATTATATGATTATTTTGTTTAGAGCAAATGCATCCTCTACTGTTATTTTTTCCTGATATTAATGCATTAAGTATTCATGACAAGAGGTACAACTCTTTATTGAACATCAAAATTAAAATAGTAGGAGTTGTTTCCCTTGAGTTGATGACAATTTTGTCAAAATAAGTATCACTGTTAAGTTTTTAATGTTATATTGAGATTTAACTTTATGTTAAAGAATTTCTGTCAACTTGTAATGAAATAACTCCTGAAAAGCATTTTTCGAATGTTATTTTAAAAGTATGTCTGGCATTATTGGTAAGATTATACTATTGAATTACTTTCTTAGTAATATTTGTAGAATCTTAAAAGAAATCTTTTAATGTATATCTCAATATATTGTATGTATATGCATAAATGTTTTGTATTGTGGAAAAAATTTAAAAAACTATTGGCCTATATACGTCATGATAACATTTTTTAATGCCATTTAATATGCCTTATGGTAATCATAGCACGTGCAAACTCGTGTGTAGAATAATGAATAATAATGAATATTGAATAATCTTTGGCTTTAATTTCAGATTCTTATATCTATTATAATCAACTGGGCACTATGCGGAGTTCTAACTAAACTTGGAGTATTCCCCTCCGATCCCAAACATCCAGGTTATAACTCACGCACAGACGCACGATTATCTATAATAAGTGACCACCCTTGGTTTACGTTTCCTTATCCAGGTATTTGGTTAATCGCTTTCTAAGGGATGTAACTATTACAAGCTTATATAAGATGTTGTACTATAGTTAAGGATCGTTGTTATTTCTACTCTCAATTATAAATTGTGTACATTAAAAATTCAATCTTTAAAAGGGGTTGTTTAGTTACTAAATTGTTCGTCTATCTGTCAAAGGGTCTTGGTTTCGAGTCCTACATGGTCACGATCGTGTTTCCTCTTACTTGGTATTGTCAGCCTGAAAGGCGAGTCTCAGGTAGTGGACAAGAGCGTATTTCGAATAAGCGTCAATCTTTCATCAAAATTGAGTTGAATTAAATCTAAATATGTTTAGATTTGACATTATAAGACAGCTGAAAAATAAAAATGATAATCTTTTAGAAAATAAAATGTTTTAAATCGTGACTTTCTCTTACATACAGGTCAGTATGGACCAATCGGGTTTAGCGAAGTTGCTTTTCTTTCATGCATGATTGCAACGCTTATATCTGTGTTGGATTCGATTGGTGATTATTACGCATGCGCAAAGGTATGTCGCGTTCCACCGCCTCCACGCCACGCGGTAAACCGAGGCCTATTGGTTGAAGGGCTGTGTACATTTCTGTCAGGAGCTGTGGGTTGCGGCCATGCAACCGGAACGTATGGTGGAAATATCGGTGCTATAGGTGTGACAAGGGTACGTAAAATATTAGTCTTCTTATATTGGCGAATTCAGTCGTATTGAGTTATATTTTTCAAGTATTCAAAATTCAAATTGTTCTTGAGTATCTGCAATCAGATCATGTTGAATATTAGCACAAATGATTTATTCACTTATATAAATTTGCCCCGCGTTTATCATCAAAATGACAGAAGATAGTAAAGAATATAATTTATGTATTGCCATGTTTCTGGAAAATAAATCAGTACAAAAGATAGCCCGGGTATCATTTTCTTCCATAACCAGGTAATTTAAAAAAAGTCACGACGTTGAATATTAATGCTAATCATCCACAATCATATCGTATTTTTGTTGTTGTTGTTTGTGTGAGGGGGGATTAGCAAGAACAGAAATCAAGATCTAAGAAGTTCTGTAATAATCCTAACATAAACCTTTCACGTATTTGCGGCACTTGAATATATCCTTGCAACCAGTGCAGTCATTCGTGCCGTCCTGACTGATCATGGTCTGCACTGGTTATAATCGAGGACTGTGCCGGCTAATATAAGCGAATGGGGCGACTACAATGGTCAATTATGGTAAATTCATCTTGACGAATAATCATTCGATATGTACTGAAAATGATAATTGTTGATCGTTTGATTGGTGTTTGTTGTTGTTGTTGTTGTTGATGTTGTTGTTGTTTTGTTTTGTTGATTTTTGTTTTGTTTCTGTTTTTTTGTTGTTGTTTTTTGTTGTTTTGTTTTTCTGCGGGAGGGAGGTCATTTTGAAATGTATATTCAGCGTGATAAGGTATAAGGAATATATTCTGTATATGTTTGTTTCAGGTGGCCAGTCGTCACGTGTTTATTGGTGTGGGGGTGTTGTATGTATTGTTTGGAATATTTGGGAAGTTCTCGGCATTATTCATCACAATACCCAGCCCGGTTCTTGGTGGTGCTATTGTTGTTATGTTTGGTATCTTCTTTGGTGTTGTCCTGTCAAATCTAGAGGTAAGTCATTTTATAGCTGATACACATACATCTCTTTCTTCTTTTTTGCTGCATGTTTGTATAATAAGTACGCAAATAATTTTCTTTTCTTTTTATCATTGTATTTGTAAGAACCAGTACTGTAAAATTATGAAAATATCAATGCAATTACATGCATTCTTTGTTAATAAGATAAAGGCATGTTCACATAAATAATCATAAATTTGACAAACCAGTATTAGCGTAAAATGAGGAACTATGGCCGGTACCAGATTAGGTTAAAACAAGCAATCGATCCCCGGGTTTAATTTAGGGTCATACTCATTTATATGCTACGTTTCCTAATACGTGAAATGATCTGGTTGTAATTAATTATATTGTCCTGGTAGTGTGATTTAACATTCGTTGATGTTTCTTAATTCAAAATACAACCATTTTCTTATCTGAATGTTGAATTCTGCTTAGGCGCTGCTACTGGGCATGGACGGTATCTTGAATTTACCACTTCTGTCCATGCACAGGCGTAATTAAACCTAATCTGCCATATTTTCAACTTTACTGTTTTTGGGGCGTTCTTTAAGGTTTCTATTATTGACCATTAAATATTATATTTCAGGTGACAAATATGTCTTCGCCAAGAAATATGGCCATTATTGGACTGTCAATATTTATTGGCCTGTCTGTACCAACATGGGTCCATCAAGTCGTGACACCGATCCATTCAGGTTTGACTTATTCTCCTTTTCGTTTTAAATAATTACATTTCTTTTCCTGACCTATTGGCCTTGTTAATTTAGTGTAACTTTTGCATTGAGACTTAGACTGTCCACTTTCCAATTTTCCAATATAAAAATACAAACAATGAGAAGTTGATATTAAAAGAAACTCTACTGAGAGTTTTACATGACGGGAATAAACATATTTGATCAAGGTCTGGAACAATAACTTGTGTGTAAGATTATAGACCAACCTTTTAAATAATATTTTGTGTATCATACAAAATGACCATAAAATGAAAGGCGTTTTAAACGCTCTATTAAGGCTTAGAATCGTCTACTCACCTTTTAAAGTACTCCGGTTGCTGTCTGTGAGATTTTGAAATTTATGATCTTCGTTTTTTGTGTTTTTTTTTTATTAATATTATTATATTTTGTTCAATCCTTCCACCGTGACCGGGGGGGGGGGGCATTATGAAGGCATCTTCATGTACCATTTCTGATGAAAACTATTCTATATGTTTAGGAAATCAATCCTTTGCATAAAAGAGCTAGTGTTGAATTGCAATTGTCTGTGATCTTTTCAATAGTTTCCGGTGCAGGGTAACGGCCTATTTGTCCTACACATTTTGCTATATGTAAACATCCGCATAATTACATATAGCAACACAAGTCGGCTGATTTAGATCAGCTCATAATTAACGCTACATACAAGAAATTACTTAAGTAGATTTTTTTCGGGCGCTTAACTTTAGACTATTTTGATTCATTTTCCGCTTAAATCAAACTACTGGCTTCAGTTCATCTTCGTTATTATTATGTTGTACAGATAGGAATAACGTGTGACATTTGATGTTGATGAAAAAGTTATTGATTTCAATACACATGTTCTAGTAATTAAGATAAAAATTAACTATTTAAAAGGTAATGAAAAAGCTGACAGAATTATAGCTATGTTGCTAGGCAACCCAACCCTTGTTGGTACCATATTGGCATGTTTTCTTGACAATACGGTGTCAGGTATGTCTTCTTTTTTTATATAACTTGGTTTTATTGTCATATAGTTGTTATAATGTCATTTAGCATTATTATAGAGTCATTTTAACTTTATGATATTGCAATTTAACTTTTGGTTATATTGCAATTTAATTTTATTATATTTTGATTTAACTGTGTTATATTGGCATTTAACTTCATTATATCGTCATTTAACTTTGTGATATTGCAATTTAAGTTTTTATTATATTGCAGTTTAACTTATTACTTATTAATTACAGCGCCATTTAACTTAATATTCATATCGTCACATAACTTTATTATAGTTTGTTATGCCCCCACAATGTGGGAGCATATAGCGTTGCACTTGTCCGTCCGTCAGTCCGTCCGTCAGTCCGTCCGTACGTCCCGAAATCTTGTGAACGCAACTCCTCTTAAACCGGATGGCAGATTTTGCTTAAACTTACAGGGATGAACAACCTTAAGGTGTAGATGGCAGTAAAGGAAGGAATTTTTGCTGCGACCAAATTTTACAGAATTATGGCCCTTTGTTGATTTTTTCACTATATACTATGTAGAAATTTTGTGAATGCAACTCCTCTTAAACCGGATGGCAGATTTTGCTTAAACTTCCAGGGATGAACAACCTTAATGTGTAGATGGCAGTAAAGGAAGGAATTTTTGCTGCAACCAAATTTAACAGAATTATGGCCCTTTGTTGATTTTTTCATTATATACTATGTAGAAATTTTGTGAACGCAACTCCTCTTAAACCGGATGGCAGATTTTGCTTAAACTTCCAGGGATGAACAACCTCCATGTGTAGATGGTAATAAAGGAAGGAATTTTTGCTGCGACCAAATTTAACAGAATTATGGCCCTTTGTTGATTTTTAGTTTTCAACTTGTAGCACATGTAGTCCAAAAAATATTTGACCTAGAGTCATAAGATTGACAGAACATTGGCGTGTGGGGGCATCCGTGTCCTATGGACACATTTCTAGTTTAACTTTGTTATGTTGTCATTTATCGTTTAAAATATTTATTGTCATTAAACTTTAATACATAAATCTATGTAATATTGTCATTTAACTTTAAATATTGTCATTACACTTTGTTATATCGTAGTTTATACGTGGGTATATTATTTTACAGGGTCATTAGAGGATCGTGGAATGGCTGCATGGCACGTCAGTGATGACGATGAATCTGCCGAACTCGATACCGCTCGCTACAATGAGGGTTTTGAAGTATATGACCCCCTGTTGCCGAGACGGTTCCTTCGACTCAAACTGATGAAATTTGTTCCGTTCTTACCATATAAAAGACACAGTATGAAAGTCAATGGTGTTTAATGCTCAATTTGGCTGTATTTAACATTGGAAATGGTAGTCTGCACATCTCATTTTAAGCATATTATTTTATCTCGATTGTAAAAGGAAGTTTGAGCACTTTCCTGACCTATTCCTGAAACTAACTTGCACTGGTATCATGTGAGATAATTTAATCGTTACACAGGTTGGGGACCAACGCTTTTATCCATGTGTTATGAGGTTCCGTTGTTTTTGTATTTGGAATATGTTAAAACATGATAATCTCTGATAGAATTATTTACATATCTGTGTCAAGTTTCAATGTCTGTGAAAGAATCAAAATGTGCAACAAAATAATTATGTTTTATATTAACCAATTTTCTTATTGGTGAGCTCAATGAATAAAATCGTTTACATTGTTGTTGGATTTCCTATTCTGCATTTTTAGTTGCGCTTCTTAAAATTATAAACAGGCGTTCGCCGTTAATGAAAGTCGAATCGAACTTACGACCCATTGGTTACTTACCACGTGACCACGGATCCGGTCCAATCACATACCAGTATTTAATTTTAACAAACAGCTCTTTCCACCAATCTTCGGACAGCGACCATGATCAAAATACTTTATAGTAAGAATAGCCCTGGCAGACAGCTAAACCTGGGTGTTTAATATCTGAGCGATTCCCAGTCACTGGTGATAATGGTTTGATGGTGTGGTGTACATAAAGCACCACACCAACCTCCCGGTATGTGCCCCTCACACCACTCTACCAGTCGCCATTTTCTCGTGGGTATTGCTATACAAAGTCACGTGATCCCCCCGTGTCTACTATCCCTTCAGCCCTCCAGAGCTTAGCTTCGCTTAAATGCCGTCTATCATACATTTTGCAATGCCAAAGTGACCAATGTAAAAAAAGTCTGATCTTTGAATGAGCATAAATTTGTAATATATCTGTGTGTGTATAAGGACAATAGTGTGTCCCTGCTCCCATTTATAACAGAAAATTGAGGGACGCATGTTTTTCGTGTCCTAGAGACGAGGTCTACCCGAATAAAACATATTGCATTTAAATATGAGCCATCTTAAAACATTGCTTAATGAAGATTTGCAAAATAAACAATTGAATCTTTTTCATACTTTTCATAATAGTGAGCAAAAGTTGAGTAGTATACATTTAAACAAATAGCAAATAAAACACAACTCCAAATATTTAAAAAAAAAACCCTGTTACACAGGCAGATAACTAATAATATAACAATATGCAAAGATAAATACATGACATTCGTTGACGGAAATAACAGTGTGCATGCGTTACTCCTTAAAATTAATAAATTAAACGAGACTTACCTGGAAGTTGAAGTTCAATTATTATTCTACTGCTACTGGACCACAGGGTTTAATGAGATGAACATATGATCTTATCAGATGACCAAGCAGACTTTCAGAGCATACATAATTATGCAAAATGCGACAATGGCTTATACATATGGGAGGGGTAATTGGGTGGGCATTAAACCCTGTGGTCCAGTAGCAGTAGAATAATAATTGAACTTCAACTTCCAGGTAAGTCTCGTTTAATTTATTAATTCTACTGCACTGGACCACCTAGGGTTAATGAGATTTTAGAGACCATGCTCGCATTTTGATAAGTCGTTAAAACTTCATAACCAAGTACAATGATTACGCATTCAATCTACGACTATTAACTTTTCAAAACTGAAAATGTAATGTACAAAATAAAGTATGCAATTGCCATATACATAAAATGCTGTAAAAGTAACAATCATTATAAAAGAATACTATTCCCTATTTCTACTGTGCGGAAATTAAAGGTCATTATAGGCTTGACCCCTGCTGCAATGTTACATTGCAAAATTGATACATTGCATCGTATATTGTAAACAGAAAATTGCAAACAAGTTTGACACACATATACGTGTAGCACAAAATTCTTTCACATGTAGTGATATTCGAAGTTTTCTATGGTTTTAAAGCAACACATTTATGTTTTTAATTATAATTTCTTTAGGCTCGATTTCTGATATCTTGCAAAATCAGTGTTTTGAAATTACTGATCTGCGGTTAAAGGGCCATTAAGCCTAAACCTGCCATTATTCGTTTATATTATTTACATTTTTTTTCCCTGCATGTTTTCTTCAATAAACACATGTATATTATTTTCCAAATCAGCTCTGTATTGCAGTTACAGTACATGTTTCTATGGTTCACGTTTTCGATTCCACTCGATACAGGATAGGATATAATGAAACATACAAATGAATTTGTTCATTTTTCCTGAATTATTAATATTATTATCATTTTTGTTTGGAATCAATCAATCAATTAATTAGTTAATTAAGTCATCAACTGATTTATTTCAAAAACGATAATGAAAACTACCAAAAACAAATGGCTGAATCTCTTATCACCACTTACTTATTCAGTTGTTTGAAAACAAAACCCAAACAAGTAATATTCTATGATCATGCCATTTGGTAGAATAATCTGCTTAGTGTTTCCTTTCCCCCGGGCAATGACGAGTAAGGTACCACATCTACATATAATGATATATTATTAATTTACCTGCCATTTCTTTTTCAAATTTTATAACATTTCTAGTTGACTAATTAACATGCAGTCTACAAATATAGATGCGTTCATCAACCGTAGAAATGTTTCATAGACTAAACTGCAGTTTTCTTGATATAATTAATATTTTTATTGAAACTAGTTGTTTCAATTATTTAAATCAAAATTTTAATGACACTTTGACAGCCGTAGCACAATCAGGATTTTGTTTGCCTATTGTTGTGATAGGTCCGACACAAATCCCTCTCTGATTTATAGCGCCATGGATCATAACACAGTGAAGGTTAATTAGCAACCCCTCCTTGCAAACAAACAAATCAAATTAAGACATATGTTTGACCTACAAACCAGGTACAGCTATTAATACCTGCTGTTTTCCCAGGAATAAGTCCGATGATAAACCCTAACAAAAACAATTCACTGAGAGGGTCCAGTGAGAGATTTATCTGAAGATGTAGTACATGTATACAATAAATCCCAAATTATCAACCTTATCTTAACCATCTAAAATACTGCACATTACAACTTTGTATAAACTATCATTATTGTAATGAATGGTAAAACATTGGTTTCATAGGTTTGTCCAACAATGAAAGACAAGGCAAATGCAAATGATTTTTTTTTTTTTTTTTCCATCTTAATAGTTTATTTTATTATATTCATTAATTCATTTTATTTCTTTTCTATGTTTTACTGTAGTTAGCTTGAGCAAAAATTTCAATGCATACAAAGTATATCAAACATGTATTCAATTATGCATTTAGCTATGTCTATATACACCTTTCAGTCGAAGAAAATTCTGGATAGAAAAATATTTTAGTGATTAAATGTTTATTTTCTTCACTAAAACTTTTCATATCTTATTTCATGTTCTTCCATTTCGAATGATATGTCATTTTCTTAAAAATAAAAGCAAGTTCTTTACAATCGACATTGTCAGTGTACTTTACCTGAGATATACAGGTAAAGAGTTATTCAATATAAATTTCATTTTTGAACCATCTCGAGCAAGTACCAATATTGAAAGTTATCAGCTTACAATGTTCAGGGTATTTCGAAGTGTTTCTAGAGTATTGTAAAAACAATGCATACTCACATTCTGTTTTCTTTCTTGTATGTGTACTCATGGTTGCCCCTGAGATTCTTACCTCACACTATATACAACCAATGTTATTTAATATGCGTTTACTTTCCGTAAGGAAAGTAACAATTCCTTCATAAGATCAGCTCCAAACGGTGCGTTTTCCCAGTCACAGTTTTGACACTTCTATGCAAAACACTTTCTCCAGCATATTTGATCTTCCTATATAACAAATTTGGAGTATTCAGGTTTTGACAATCTATGCAAAATTTGCTTCAACATATTCCTTCTCGTATGACAAATTTGGAGTACTCGCGGGTTTTGACATTTCTATGCAAAACATGCTCCAACATATTCCATCTTATATAACAAATTTGGAGAAACTCAGGTTTGGATATTTATTGCAAAACTAGCTCCAGCATATTCGCTTTTATATAGATAACTAATTTGTAGTACACGGTTTTGTCATTTTATGCAAAACTAGCTCCAGCATATTCCCTCTTATATAACAAATTTGGAGTACACAGTTCTTGACATTTTTATGCAAAACTAGGTCCAGCATATACCTTCTTATATACCAAATTTGAAGTACACTGTTCTTGATATTACTATGCAAAACTAGCTCCAGCATATTCCATCTTATATAACAAATTTGGAGTACACAGTTCTTGGCATTTTTATGCAAAACTAGCTCCAGCATATTCCATCTTATATAACAAATTTGGAGTACACGGTTCTTGACATTACTATGCAAAACTAGCTCCAGCATATTCCCTCTTATATAACAAATTTGGAGTACACAGTTCTTAACATTTCTATGCAAAACTAGCTCCAGCATATTCCCTCTTATATAACAAATTTGGAATACCCAGTTCTTGACATTTCTATGCAAAATTAGCTCCAGCATATTCCATTTTATATAAAAAATTTGGAGTACACAGTTCTTGCAATTTCTATGCAAAACTAGCTCCAGCATATTCCATCTTATATAACAAATTTGGAGTAGACAGTTCTTGACATTTCTATGCAAAACAAGCTCCAGCATATTCCCTCTTATATAACAAATTTGGAGTACACAGTTCTTGACATTTCCATGCAAAACTATCTCCAGCATATTCCCTCTTATATAACAGATTTGGAGTACACAGTTCTTGACATTTCTATGCAAAACTAGCTCCAGCATATTCCATCATATATAACAAATGTGGAGTACAAAGTTCTTGACATTTCTATGCAAAACTTACTCCAGCATATTCCCTGTTATGTAACAAATTTGGAGTATACAGTTCTTGACATTTCTAGGCAAAACTTACTCCAGAATATTCCTCTAATATAAAACCATTTTTGTGCAAATAAAATCTCTACAATACGCCCAAAACAGCATAAATGAAAATGTTGCAGGCTTGGTTTGAATGAGCCTGTTCAAGGATGATACTGTAAAATGTAACTTACTGTTTTTCCGCCCAAAGCATGTTAAAGATATACTATACTCATCTCAGAGTAAAATATTTTTATCCCAGAAATTATTTGAAATCTATGTATTTCTTTCTAAATATGTCTTATTTGAATAAAAGAATGTACAAACTGTGTTTGGGAAGCTGCATATAAGTTTTTTTTTTTTTTTTTTTTTTTTTTTTTTTTGAAACTATGCATTCTTATTGTGCCTCTAAATTGTGTAGAGTTTAAGACATAAGATATCTTCTTAGTGTGTAGTCAAAACATGTTTATTTTATATTAAAAAAGAGACTGTGTAGCAATTATCAATATTTAAAAATACAATGAATTTGAGCATATTATATCTTTAATTCAAATTTTTTAACTTATCATACAGTTACCCAACTAAACATAGAATTATATTTTGTGAGCAAGAGCTGATATTTTCTTATATCAAAGAAGATTTAAAACAGTAAGATACTGCAGATCATTTTAACCAATAGAATAAGAGTCTTATAAATTATAAGCTGTGATATGTGCATTTCGTTGGCCTAAGACACATGACTTTGGTATGTTCGTGGCTCAAGAAATTAAATTGTTAAATAATATAATATTAATTTTATGTCTTGATAACTTCAAGTTAAAGCAATATTGTCTTTGTTGTTGTAGTAGTAGTTGTAGCATAAAAACTTGGAAGGTCAAGCATCTGGCCAAGGCTTCATACTGTTGTCCATCATTCAATGATGACGAAACAGATTTTCCTAATCTGTTGCAGAGTTAATATTGGACCTACTGTCCGCAAACTCTAGACATTCCAAATTTTGTTGCAGAGTTATGTTGGACCTACTGTCCGCAAACTCTGGGGTCGTTGCAGTACGCCTCAGTACCTACTGTACTGGTTATATAGCGACTGTTGGGCTTCTTGAAAAGTGGAGTTCCCTACTGGAACTGAACACTTTACCCATTCTTGTAGCAATCCATGTGGAAAATATAAATGGATAATCAAATCAAAAACAGAAGTCAATTGTTATATCCAGAATATTGTCACTTTAAATTAAATTATGAACAAATAAATCCGGTATTTAATCCATTTTACAAGAATAATTGAATAAATCTTAATTCTAGTAATAACACATAAACACATAAATTAAGAGAAATTTACTGCGGCCACTCTGATAGGATACTTTTAGCGTTCTGCTTGGTCATCTGATAAGATCATATGTTCATCTCATTAACCCTAGGTGGTCCAGTGCAGTAGAATAAGACTGACAGCAATTTATATTTACCTCTACACACAAATAATCACAGCTGAAATATGCTAAGTAATAGAAAGAGCACCGAAAAACGAGGCTATCTGATTTGTACGAGGGGGCGTAGCCCCCGAGTATTAATCAGATTGCCGAGTGTTTTGGTGTTCTTTCTCTTTTGTATCATAGTCAAACATAAAAACACGTTCCCTGTTGTCACAATATGAAACCCCGGCAAAAATGGACCAATGAACGAACATCTGAATATGATATTTCTGTCGCTTTCCCTTTCTCTGCCGTCACAATATGTAAACCCCAGCAAAAATGAGCCAATCAATGGGCATGCTCTGGAGTGCGGGTAACTAATACCCGCACTCCAGTTAACGCACTGTGCATGTATATGTATACGATTTAACCCTGACACATTTTCAACAGAAAGGTCTCCAAACTATGATACAATTACATCTTAATAAATGTGCAATATACTCTAGAGTATTAATGCGCCCGATTCCTTTGAAAATATGTCCTACACACAAACACTAAACAAATGCAATGACAAAGAAATAACAAAACTTTTCAGTATTTTCAAAACACCATGTCTGTGTTATCGATAAATTTCACGGGGCCATATTTTATATTTGTCCCCTGTCCCCTTAACGACATTGTAGATTGCAATTTGAGCTGACGCAAAGCGTTCTTTACACGTGTTATCATGGACGCATGTATCATTGTCATTTACAATGAATCTTCTGTTCACGCACAAGTTTTACAAAATCATTCGCTAATTTGACTATCATTCTTAACTAATGTCATGAAAAAAAATTTGTTATATTCTCTTCAACAGGACAAAACTCACTCCGTAACTCGTATTAAATACTACATTTCTTGACCTTTATAGACGTTGATGTACATATTTTGTTTCATTTTAATAATATCTTATTCAAAAATAGTTAATTTCCCCCACTAACCTCTGTAGGTTTGATTCTGTCAGGGATTTAAGATTCTTTCAAGCTATCTAGCTAGCTTACGGGGCATCGGTGGTTCTTCCCAGATGAGATAATGCATGGATGGGCAACTGCGGCTTTCCTTCTACAGTAGAGCCTGAAAGTCACCATGTGATATTTAACGTGTCGGTGGTACTTAACAGCCAACGAACAGACAAACGTGTATAGAGACTGTATGGTCTAGCAGAGGTTATAAAAATATTAATGATCACAAACTCAGATCTCAGGTATTTGATTGGTCAGAACCCAGCATAGAATGCATATTGACCAATGAAAATCCTGAGATCTATAACGTGGAGTTGCATGGATATGCGAGCTGACCTTACTGCAAACCAATGACACAGGTAAGTTATTATGACCACTTGCATTCAATCTTAAACAAAATATAGTTTAACTATTAAATGTGGTTTTTTTTTATTATCAGTATTTTATTATTAAATATTTTCTTATTGTTCAGTAAGAAACTTTCGAGTGAGCCATGACTATCGTCACGCGATATTGTAAACTATCGGTCAGAGGGGTAGATAAAATTTGTCTCGTTTAGTTGCACTTTGTCAGTGATGATGAATATATTTACTAGAATCCTGCCGATGCATATTATGATGCGAAGTTGTTCCAGTTTGTGGTACCTTAAATATAATTTCATAATAGTGTAATCTGTTTCAATGTTACTGTTATGACTTTTAAAGGACATACATTATGTAAACCTTCTCAGTTTAAGTTCCCCTTTAAAAGGAGATACATTCTTACATTTAGTTGCGTATCGATGTGAACATTGTTTTAAAAGTTATATTTATATTGTAAAAGGGATACTAAACTAGCAAAGAAAATGTCAAAGGAAACCGACAAAGATGTTAATGGCACGACGGCCATGTTTGAAATAGATGAGGTCGACGAGAAATCTGAGATGCTTGTGGAACCAGAGATAGAGAATAAAGCTGAAAAATATCTTATATACGGAATCAATGATTCCCCTCCGATATATGTGACAATTATATGTGCATTACAGGTAAATAAAGATAATAATTTTGTGCATTAGTTGTAAATAAACGTGTATTCAACCAAGTATATAGTATTTGTACAATATTTAATGTTGTCATTGTATAAAAAAATCAATTTCACATTTTATGAGTAATAATACGCTTTACTGTTGTATTTTTTACAATCATTTACAAGGTTTTTTCGGTTATATGGTTATTAAATGCTATTTTTCGTATTATGGTTATATGGTTATTACAAGTAACTTTACGTTTTATGGTTACATTTATATGGTTATGACAAGTAAGTTTACGTTTAATTATCATACAGATAATTTTACGTTTAACGATTATATTGTTATTACAAGTTATTTGACGTTTTATGATTATATGATCATTACAAGTAATTATGATTAGAAATATATGGTCATTACAGATAATTTTCCATTTAACGATTATATGGTTATTACAAGTAATTTTAAGTTTAACGGTTATAAAGTTATTACAAGTAATTTCACGTTTTAGTGATTATATGGTTATTACAATTTATCTTAAATTTAACGCTTATATGGTTTTTACAAGTAAGTGGTAATTACATGTGATTGTACGTTATATGAATATAATTCATTTACGTGTCAGAATGTTTGTGTTTTAATTTCTAAACGAATAACAGCCAATGTTTTATGGCTGGTAGATCAAAGAATAAAAGTAAGTTTAACGTAGCAATGTAAGGGAAGTTTTTACTATTGGTTTAAATTTTATCCTGGTTAGATTTGGTTCAAATTTTCAGATAATCGGGATTATAAATTAATTAACACATAGCTTTAAAATTATCTCTATATATATTCAGTAAAATATATACATGTCCTCATAAAATTACTATTATTATCGCCACGGTATTTTCCTGGGGATGATATTTTTACTGTTACCGTTTGAGTGTATACAAAACGAGTTTTTCTTCAAAAGTGTCTTCTTTACAGATTGCTAGGATAAGCAAAAATTAGTCAAAGGCGAGGCCGAGAATAAATTTGTTGTTTGTCCTAGCGAATTGTCTTCTTCACGTCTGTAAGAAGATAATTTGGAGAAAATACGAGTAACTGTAGCTGACTTATACGACGATTAATATAGATTAGATAGATAAATAAATAAACACATTTAATAATCAAAAAATCTAATTGAAAATCAATGTATGTTCTTGTTTAAAATATAAAACTATAGAACATATTTGCATGGCCTTTAGGCAGTGTAAGGTATAGGCAGTTTGTATTCGCACGGAATTTTCGTGCACTGATTTAGAATTTAATTTCACTCATAACAAGCGATGTTAAAATAGCTGCCATGAACACTGATGAATAGAAAGTCATATTTACTAAAATCGACCATGTCGGATCAAACTCGTTCAACATTGAAACAAACTGAACATGTAGTGTGTCAGTATTACATGGATATCGTTTTGGAACTTAAATTTGGTAAGTTTTCTTATTTGCATGCTAAGCCGCACCCAACAGGCTGGTGAAAATGCCCGATCGGGCTAATGACATAAACACATATTTCTAGAAAAATAATAAAGATATTTCTTTTAAACTTTGTTTGTTTATTAAGCATAATATATGACATAAACAGAAAAGAAAAATAATTGGTTACTATCACTTGTGTGAAAAATATTTCCCCTCTTTCATGTTTATATATGTATATGACACATAGTTTTGAAGTCCTTAATAACTATGTTGTATTGTAAAATTCTTAACAGAGATGTGTACAACATCTTCATTTTGCTCAAAATTATTGCGCCAGAACCTTTATTCTATATATTTGGATTTAATATTCTTTTTCTGGCATAAACACTTTTATAATTCTTTGACACTGAACATTATACTTTGAAGTTTCCTTTGAAAAATGAATGAAATGTATACTGACAGGTGTTGGCGTAATGAATTGGATCATAAAGAAGTTATTTATCTTATTTTGTTTTATACTTTTTGTATGTAACATATTTTTTAAGGACTTGGAAAGTTATGTGTTATATAAATATGAAAAAGGGGAAATAATTCTCACAAAAGTGACAGTTACCAAATTTTTTTCTTTCTGTTTATGTTATTATACATTATGCTCAATAAACAAAACAAAGTTTAAAAGAAATCTCTTCATTATTTTTCTAGAAATATGATTTTTTTATGTCATAAGCCCGATCGGGTATTTTCACCAGCCCAATACACAGGAAATTGACATTCTATAAGCAAGTAATAAAAATACAACGGCAAATATATCCCCCTATACTATAAATAATTTTCTTTGTAGCGGTTTCTCAACGTCATATAGGTTGAAAGAACAAAAAATGTTTCAGCACCTTTCAACGAAAAGCTTAAGTTTCGTCGAAAAAAAAATAATGCCCAAACCAACAGTATCTTTGTTGGCCTTCCAATTTTCTTTCATTCATTTTCTGATGATATAATTTACTTCCGAGTTGCGCTGCCGAGTTTGCTACAATTTTTCGTACGTTTCTATGGTTTCCTGTTAGAGGTAGTTAATATGTCGCCTGTTTAGATGCAAAAGTGATTAATTGTCTCGGCTATTCGAAGAAGAGGGAGAGCTATTGTACAGGTCTAGTATTTCGCCAGATTAGTGCATGATGCACCAGTATGTGTATGATGCACTAATTGGTGTATTTTATGATGCACCAATTGGTGTACCAGACTATTAATCAAATCTTTGAACACCCATTATTTTGTAAATATAGCAGTGTGAATTGTGGCACCTGCACTTTCTATAGATAATATTCATAGAAATATTCTGAAACTAAAGATATTGATGTAAACACTGGTAATTCTAGCACTTTTTTGAAAATCTGCATGATACACTAATTGGTGCATCCCAAAATTGGAAGTGGTTATTTTTTTACTTTCCAGTCAAGAGACAATTTTAAAACTAAGTATACCAGATCAGAATTATAACTAGATATGAAATATGGAAATGAATTTATGTCTGAAAGGTACAATTTTTCTGAGGATGAAAACATTAAAATCTCCTGAAGTTCATTTAGATCAGAAGTTGTGTTTATACTTTGTCAATAAAACAGACTATTACCAATGTTATGTGCAGGTGCCAAAACATGATTATAAATAAACAACAAATAATTTACAGAAACGCATTTATCAAAATTTTTATTCATCGATCGGTGTATGATTAAATACATTAATTTGTGTATTATGTACTAATTTGTGCATCATGCACTAATCTGGCGATATACTATACCTGTTGTACACTCCCAGGCGCCGGTGTCACACTTTGGTTAAGTATTTGCGTCTCCAAAGCTATTGAAGGGAATGGGTTGAAACTTTGCAGACTCATTGGACAGCACTATATAAGGCCCATAACTCAAACATGGATTCTGACAGAACTTAGGCTCTTTTAAAACTAAGTAAATTCTACATTATATAGGGTCTTATTTGACTTCAAGAATTGAGAATAGTCGAGCACGGTGTCCTACCGACAGCTAAATTGTTAACAGATAAGAAACGAGATTTAACTTTACTATGGAAGAACTTTAACTGTTTAACTATTGTCACTTGTACTGTAAATCAGCTGCAGGTCTCGAAGGAGACATGCGGGAATTAAGGTCATTCATGGCATTATTATCCTCACGAGAATTAAAGTCTTTTTGAGTAGCTCTGCTCGGGGTATAGTCGTATATAATCATTGCTCTGCTTTGGGTATAGTTGTATATAATTATCCTCTATTTCTAGCAATCGCTGTTAGCTCTGTCAGGTCAGCTGATTACGTCGCTGTTAGTGGCGGAGGCCGTGTGCGCCTCGGACAACAATGTGTTCAAAGCGAGGCTCCTCAGCTCGACGCTCTTCATGAGTGGTGTAACTACAGTAGCTATGAATCTATTCGGCATTAGGTAAGTCATAAGCCAAGCTGTATTGGTTTATTTTAAAATAGTGAGTAAATCTTAGTTACAAAATTATACAAAACATATGCTACAGAAATAAATAAATAAATAGATAAATGAATATAGACACGCACGTACACGCATGCACACACGCACGCCCACGCACACATACATACTTTAAGCAAATTGTACTGTTGTAACTATGTGTCTTTCTTTTCTTTAAGAACATGAACCGAAATGGAGAGCATTTACTATCAAATATGTAATTTCCACATTTAATTTCTTTTTAACTTAACAGCTTTTTGCTAGAACGTATAGACTATTCATGAATACAAAGTCGAAATCGAACAAATTTGATACGTTTCAAGTACATTGTATACCTGTTAATAGTGAAAATGGAACTTTAGGGTTGTTTTTTTAAACAGGCTACCATTATATCAAGGAGCTTCAGCATCATATATTATACCCCTGTTATTAGTGGCAAACACAGACGGGAATTTCTGTTCAGGAGACACAGGTAATAAATATATTGTGTTTTATATTTATGTTAATTAACAAATTTAATAATTCAATTAATGTTTGGTTTTTTTTTTCGGCCGTAGGATGTATGTTTTTACCTTGACTTCCGGTTAGTTTACGGGCTCTCCGCCAGTGGCGGATTCAGGCCGGGCTTCAGGGCTGCAACCCCCCCCCCCCCTAGCTCAGCCAAAGGATACGTTTACCAGCTGGGCTGGAATATATTTTTGTCAGTTTCATACTTTATTGACTGCAGTGTACTCCCTTATCAAAACATTTTTTGCTGTCATCTAATTGTTAATCTCCTGCCTGGGGGCTTGGCAGAGATCTTTATCTATCAACATGCTTGAATGACTTCAGTGCATAATTGATTGGTTTATTACTTTCCAAAGGACTAATGAAATTAATAGTCACAAATAGAGGCAAATAGATGTGTTATATAGTACACCATATTTAACTATCTTTATTTTTCCATTTTCTTTGAGAAAGCCCTATAATTAAGAAATTGAAAATTATGATTTGTAAATTAAAAAGGTGGCGAGTTTAAAAAAAAAAGATAATATTAAAGGAATCACGTTTAAATAACTAGTTTTACTAAGATTTTTATTAAGATGAAAAGACTGATCATTTGCTTTTTATGGCAGTTATATATATATTTTAAATAAATTTAAATTTGTACTGACCTCTTTAGTCATAATCTTAAATGGATTCGTTGATGGAAAGAATTCTTATTGCATATTAGTGTTTGAAATTATTATTTTTTTGTATAATAAAAATGCAGTATTTTAATAACAATTTATTTAGGAAAATTGTATTTTATTCAGATGAGTAAATTGATCGAGTGTTTGAAATAATTTTTATGAACGGTCGCACATACTTTGGTGTGCTGTTATTTTGTAAATGCTCACTACTAAACACCAGGGAATGCTATTTGAAAGATCCTGCAAACACTAGCCTGTACAAAATACCTTGTGATGTTAAACCATCCAAAAGGTACCATAAACAGCACTAGAAAGTCAAGGAAATAACACCATTTTCAACCTCATATTTCAAAAAAATTTCAGTCTATGGGAGGGGACACCCCTCCCAGGCCCACCCCAATTACAAATATTTTTCTTAATCTCATATCATCTAAATATTTACAAAAACATTAGTATATAAACACATGTATAAGCAAAGTACATTGCCACTCATAAGATGAGCAATAAAACACATCAAGTACATTTTTGTCACATGAACAAGATGCTGGCACAATTTTTGCCTGTTGCATTATTTTTTTCAAAATCTTCCACCCATATGTCAGCCCCCCCCCCCCCCCGGAAACGATGTTCTGTATCCGCCCCTGCTCCGCCATCCCTTTTCCCGGTATGTACCGGACATTGTATGTCATTTCTAAATACCAGAAAATTTTATGAATATTGGAAAAGTATATCAATTACTTATGGAAACTGAGCAGGTAGTCCATATTACATTGAATTTCTGAGAACACTTTGATCCAGAAACGTTAGCCACGGCTTTTTGTCGAGCCCGCTTTCAGTGAGCTCATCATAGTGGTCACAACGGCGGTTCGGTGTACGTACGTGTGTCTGTCCGTCCGTCCATACGTACGTACGTTAGTTCGCTCGTCCGGATTAAGTTTGTCCGGGCCGTAACTGTCATTTGTTGGCAGAATTTCAAATAACTTAGCACAGTTGTTCACAATAATGAGACAGTGTGTCGCGTGCATAAACCGTGTGACAGGTCAAAGGTCAAGGTCATATTTTAAGGTCAATTATAAAAATCTAAAAAAGCTTGTCCGCACCATAACTCTTTCACTAGCTGGTGGAATTACAAATATTGAACCTGTCATAAGTGAACTTCATCATGAGATGGTGTATCGCGGACAAGAACCGTGTGGCTAGATAAAAAATAAGGTCTTACAGGAACTTGAAATTTAATCAATATTAACGGTACTATCCAAAACATACCCCCTATATATTATCAATATTCTTTGGATATTATCGTCTAGGTTAAAGCTCTAGGTCATACCTCGAGGTCAGATGTTACAGCTTGCTGTTTACAGTTTGGGCATCTACTTTTAAAGATATTTCTTGTTTCTGCTTATAAATGTATGGGAGGTGATAGCTTGTCATAGAACTTTTTACAACGTACATAATGCAGAATCGAGAAAATTCATAAATTTGTGCATACGCAAACTGCATATAGGTAAAAGCCCCGCACATGATAAGTTACATGAACTTACACCCATATTCTTTTTAAATTCATCTAATTTTTTTTAGCAAAACAACATTCTAAAACAATTATGAATCCATCATGCTGTAATGTTATTCTGTCTTATTGCAAATATTTCATTTCATGTTTCAGTTCCAGAAAACCCGTTGTTTAACGCAACTGACAACACAACGTCACGGGAATTTCCTATGGAGAAAATAATATCCAACGTCCAAGCGGTAAAAAATAATGCTCATTTTCACATCATTTCCTTATTACGGACAAGTAAAGTTGGTCTTTTAAATAAGAAAAATGTGACCACCTATAGTCTGTAGAATTTTAAACGTGATATATCTACCTTTGTATGAAGTCATAACATGTTTATTCTATATTTACGTAGAGACTGCGTATCAAATATGAATATTTTCTAATATCAAATTTGAGCATAGTATATCTTTAATGCTCTTGTCTTATTGTTATTATTATATTATATGTGTTTGTAGTTAAATGAAAGCATACGTGGTCAGCGCTCTTCATTTTAGCTCACCAGAACCGAAGGTTCAGAGTGAGCTATTAGTATGAAAGGGGGATGGTACGTCGTCCATCGTCCGTCGTCATGGGTCAACAATCATCTTCTCTAAAACTGCTGGGCAGATATATGTAGCATCCTTGTAACAGTCACACTTAAATTTGCTCATGTCTTTTTAATTGGCCCATTTTAGGGGTCAAAAGAGCTAAAAATAGAAAAAACCTTTAAACCTCTTCTACTACTAAATTACATGATGGACGATCACCAAAATTTGTCAGTGTCATTCTTAGGTAGTCTTTTATCACATTTGCTCATATAAATTTGATTGTCCCTTTTAGCGGTCTCTAAAGCTAAAATTATAAAAACCTTTAGACAACTTCTACAGAACTAATTGATGGATGATCACCAAACTTTGTCTGTAGCATTCTTAGGTAGTCTGTTGTCAAGTTTGCTCATATTAATTTGATTGGTCCCTTTTAAGGGCCGCTAAAATAGAAATACCTTCAAAAGCCTTCTTCTACAGAACTAATTGATAGATGATCACCAAGTTAATATTAATTTGATTGGCCCTTTTTAGGGGCCGCTAAGGCTAAAAATAGAAATACCTTTAAATGTCTGCTTCTAAAGAAGTAATTGATGGATGATCACCAAACTTTGTCTGTAGCATTCTTAGGTAGTCTTTTGTCAAGTTTGCTCATATTAATTTGATTGGCCTCTTTTAGGGGCCACTGAAGCTAAAAATAGAAAAACCTTTGAACTCCATCTCATATTGAAATAATTGATGGATGATCACCAAACTTTGTCTGTGGCATTCTTAGGTAGTCTTTCATCAAGTTTGCTCATATTGATTTGATTGTCCCTTTCAGGTGCCGCCAAAGCTTAAATGTCCCAGGCCATGGCATTTCTTCAAATTATAGCTTAAAAATATTCTATCCTCAAATTAAATATTAGAAAACATTGACAATGGATACACAGTCTCTTTATAAATATAAAATAAACGTGTTTTGTCTTCAAAAAGTACATGTAGATGAGTTATGTTTTAAACTTCACACTATAGGTGGTCACAATATGAATAGGCCCATATTCTTTCATTATAAAAAATGGCTCTTTTTATAGAAAAAAGCAACTTTACTTGGCCTATAATAGTAAATGCAGGTTCCCATACATAGTTTATTCATTCTTTTATCCAAATTAGACATATTCAGTAAGAATTTCATAGATTTGTTAGCAATTTGTCCGTTAGCAATTTGGTTTCCGGAGAATAACTTAAGTTTCATTTGGCCCCCAATGTTCAAACTTCATAGGATGATTGTCCATATTGGGCAGATGACCCCTATTGATTTTGCGGTCAAAAAGGTCAAGGTCACTATTACCTTGATACTGAGAACATTTTCCGTCCGTTGGCAATTTGTCCGTTAGCAGTTTGGTTTCCGGAGTATAACTAAAGTTCCATTTGGCACACAATGTTCAAACTTCATAATATGATTGTCCATATAGGGTAGAAGACCCCTATTGATTTTGGGGTCACAAGGTCAAAGGTCAAGCTCACTATTACCTTGATACTGAAAACAGTTTCCGGAGCATAACTTAAGTTCCATTTGACCCACAATGTTCAAACTTCATAGGATGATTGTCCATATTGGGTAGAAAACCCCTATTGATTTTGGGGTCACAAGGTCAAAGGTCAAGGTCACTATTACCTTGATACCGGAGCATAACTTAAGTTCCATTTGACCCACAATGTTCAAACTTCATAGGATGGTTGTCCATAGTGGGTAGAAGACCCCTATTGATTTTGGGGTCACAAAGTCAAAGGTCATGGTCACTATAACCTTGATACTGAAAACAGTTTCCGGAGCATAACTTTAGTCCCATTTGATCCACAACATTCAAACTTCATAGGATTATTGTCCATATTGGGAAGAAGACCCCTATTGATTTTGGGGTCAAAGGTCAAGGTCACTATTACCTTAAAATTGAAAACAGTTTCCGGAGCATAACTAAAGTTCCATTTGGCCAACATATTCAAACTCCTTAGGTTGACTGTCCATAAAAGGTAGAAGACCCTTATTATGCCCCCACTTCAAAGAAGAGGGAGTATATTTCTTTGCACTTGTCGGTCCGTCGGTCCGTAGATCAAATGGTTTCCGAGTGATAACTAAAGAACCCTTAGGCCTAGGAACTTCAAACTTGGTATGGTGATTGGTCATGACCAGTAGATGACCCCTATTGATTTTGGGGTCAAGGGGTCAAAGGTCAAGGTCACATTGACCTTGTAAGCAAAAACGGTTTCCGATCAATAACTAAAGAACCCTTAGGCCTAGGAACTTCAAACTTGATATGGTGATTGGTCATGATCAGTAAATGACCCCTATTGATTTTGGGGTCAAGGGGTCAAAGGTCAAGGTCACATTGACCTCTTAGGTAAAAACGGTTTTCGATCAATAACTAAAGAACCCATAGGCCTAGGAACTTCAAACTTGGTATGGTGATTGGTCATGACAAGCAGATGACCCCTATTGATTTTGGGGTTAAGGGATCAAAGGTCAAGGTCACATTGAGCTTGTAGGTAAAAACGGTTTCTGATCAATAACTAAAGAACCCATAGGCCTAGGGACTTCAAACTTGGTATGGTGATTGGTCATGATCAGTAGATGACCCCTATTGATTTTGGGGTCAAGGGGTCAAAGGTCAAGGTCACATTGACCTCTTGGGTAAAAACGGTTTCCGATCAATAACTAAAGAACCCATAGGCTTAGGAACTTCAAACTTGGTATGGTGATTGGTCATGACCAGCAGATGACCCCTATTGATTTTGGGGTTAAGGGGTCAAAGGTCAAGGTCACATTGACCTCTTGGGTAAAAACGGTTTCTGATCAATAACTTAAGAACCCTTAGGCCTAGAGACTTCAAACTTGATATGGTGATTGGTCATGATCAGTAGATGACCCCTATTGATTTTGGGGTCAAGGGTCAAAGGTCAAGGTCACATTGACCTCTTAGGTAAAAACGGTTTTCGATCAATAACTAAAGAACCCTTAGGCCTAGGAACTTCAAACTTGCTATGGTGATTGGTCATGACCAGCAGATGACCCCTATTGATTTTGGGGTTAAGGGGTCAAAGGTCAAGGTCACATTGACCTTGTAGGTAAAAACGGTTTCTGATCAATAACTAAAGAACCCTTAGGCCTAGGGACTTCAAACTTGATATGGTGATTGGTCATGACCAGTAGATGACCCCTATTGATTTTGGGGTCAAGGGGTCAATGTCATATTGACCCTGTATTTAATGACGGTTTCTGACCAATAACTCAACAACTCAAGTTGCCTTGGCTGATATTTTTATATTGAACTAAAAATGCTTTTGGTATACACATTTGAAGGTCTTATGTTATATAACAACTTGGCTGTCATTAATGAGGCCTACATGATTCAAAAAATTTATGCATATATTATTTGGTAAGATTTGTAATAACTTAAATTGCTGCACACAACCTATGGGGTCACAATAATTATTACCTTGTAACTAGTCATGACCAGTAGATACTAGATAACCCTTATTAATTGTTTGTTCACTGGGTCAGAAGTCATGCATAATAACCTGATCACATGACTAATTGGCTGCCGATAGGGGGCATACATGTTTTACAAACATATCTTGTTGATTTTAGGGTCACAAGGTCAAAGGTTAAGGTCATTATTAATTACTTAAGTATTAATCAACCTACATCTGTAAAATTTCATAGGATGAACAGCTAATTCCCATGTCTAATAAATGCTTCATCCTTACTAAAAAAAACACTTTCTTGCATATAATGCTCCGCCAAGCGGTGCTCTTGTTCATTTTTGTTGAATTGGATTCAAACTTGGAGAAAGCACATTTCAATAAATGTTAGGACATACTGGTGAACCTGTTTCATGTGCTAAATTGAATTTTGGTATCAGTTGAGCTGTTACTTTTTTTTTGAAACCATTTCACCTACTTTCTTGACAGGAATGTAATTTCTAATGCGAATTAAATCAGTATATCAACTGACTTCTTTTGATGTTATTATTTGATATTGTTTGACCTAGCTTCTCGTTTTTTTATGCCCCTACTTGAAATTTGGACAAGGGCTTTAATTTCTGATCCTGAATTGAATTTGGATATGAACTGGTCTACTTTTGATATGTTTTTTGATATTGCTTGACCTACTTCATTTGTCTGTTATGTACAGACTTGAAATTTGGACCAGGGGTATAATTTGTGTATTTTTATCTTAAATTGAATTTTGATATCAGCTGACCTACTTTTGATATTAATGACACCATTTGACCTATTTTCTTGTTCTTTGACATTCAGATTTTAAATTTGGACCATGGGTGTAATTTCTGATACCGAATTTAATTTTTATATCAACTTGCCTACTTTTGATATTTTTATATCGCTTGACCTACTTTCTTGATTTTTAGCTCACCTGTCACAAAGTGACAGGGTGAGCTTTTGTGATCGCTTTTCGTCCGGCGTCCGTCCGTCCGTCCGTCCGTCGTCCGTCCGTCGTCCGTCCGTCCGTCGTCCGTCCGTAAACTTTTGCTTTAAATGACATCTCCTCATAAACCCCTGAGCCAATTTCATCCAAACTTCACAGGAATGTTTCTTTGGTGGTCACCTTTAAAAATTGTTCCTTAGAATTTAATTCCATGCAGAACTCTGGTTGCCATGGCAACCGAAAGAAAAATCTTTAAATATCTTCTTTCAAACAACCCTAAGAGCTAGAGCTTAGATATTTGGCATGAAACATCTTCTAGTGAGTGTCTACCAAGTTTGTTCAAATAAAAGCCCTGGGGTCAAAATTGGCCCCGCCCCGGGGGGTCATTGATTTTCCCTATATGCATATAGTAAAAACTTAAAAAATCTTCTTTTAAAGAACCGTAAGAGCTAGAGCTTAGATATTAAGCATGAAACATCTTCTAGTGAATGTCTACCAAGTTTGTTCAAATAAAAGCCCTGGGGTCAAAATTGGCCCCGCCCCAGGGGGTCATTGATTTTCCCTATATGCATATAGTAAAAACTTAAAAAATCTTCTTTTAAAAAACCTAAAAAGCTAGAGCTAAGATATTAAGCATGAAACATCTTCTAGTGAGTGTCTACCAAGTTTGTTCAAATTAAAGCCCTGGAGTCAAAATTGGCCCCGCCCCGGGGGGTCATTGATTTTCCCTATATGCATATAGTAAAAACTTAAAAAATCTTCTTTTAAAGAACCATAAGAGCTAGAGCTTAGATATTTGGCATGAAACATCTTCTAGTGGCGTGCTACTTTTAAATATTGGTTGTTTTAGCAATTATTAGCTCACCTGTCACAAAGTGACAGGGTGAGCTTTTGTGATCGCTTTTCGTCCGTCGTCCGTCCGTAAACTTTTGCTTTAAATGACATCTCCTCATAAACCACTAAGCCAATTTCATCCAAACTTCACAGGAATGTTCGTTTGGTGGTCACCTTTAAAAATTGTTCAAATAATTTAATTCCATGCAGAACTCTGGTTGCCAAGGCAACCAAAAGAAAAAACTTTAAATATCTTCTTTTAAAAAACGCAAAGAGCTAGAGCTTAGATATTTGGCATGAAACATCTTCTAGTGAGTGTCTAACAAGTTTGTTCAAATAAAAGCCCTGGGGTCAAAATTGGCCCCGCCCCAGGGGGTCATTGATTTTCCCTATATGCATATAGTAAAAACTTAAAAAATCTTCTTTTAAAGAACCATAAGAGCTAGAGCTTAGATATTTGGCATGAAACATCTTCTAGTGAATGTCTACCAAGTTTGTTCAAATAAAAGCCCTGGGGTCAAAATTGACCCCGCCCCAGGGGGTCATTGATTTTCCCTATATGCATATAGTAAAAACTTAAAAAATCTTCTTTTAAAGAACCCAAAGAGCTAGAGCTAAGATATTTAGCATGAAACATCTTCTAGTGAGTGTCTACCAAGTTTGTTCAAATAAAAGCCATGGGGTCAAAATTGGCCCCGCCCCAGGGGGTCATTGATTTTCTCTATATGCATATAGTAAAAACTTAAAAAATCTTCTTTTAAAGAACTCAATAAGCTAGAGCTAAGATATTTAGCATGAAACATGTTCTAATGGGTGTCTACCAAGTATGTTCAAATAAAAGCCCTGGGATCAAAACTGGCCCCGCCCGGGGGGGGGGGGGGGTCATTGATTTTCCTTATATGTGTATAGCAAAAACTTAAAAATCTTCTTTGAAAAAACCCAAATAGCTAGAGTTTAGATATTAAGCATGAAACATCTTTAAGTAAATATCTACAAAGTTTGTTCAAATAAAGGCCCGGGTGTCAAAACTGGCCCTGCCCCAGGGGTGTCATTGTTTTAACTATATGTGTATAGTAAAAACTTTAAAAATCTCCTTTTAAAAAACCCAATGAGCTAGAACTTAGATGTTTAGCATGAAACATCTTCTTATGGGTGTCTACCAAGTCTGTTCAAATAAACAAATAAAAAGCCCTTGGGTAAAAATTGGCCCGGGGGTGGGGGCCTATATACAGGTGAGCGACCTCATGGCCATCATGGCCCTCTTGTTTGATGTACTTACTTAAAATATGGACTAGGGGTGTACTTGTAATGCTGAATTCAATTTTGATATCAGCTAGCCTACTTTTGATATTTTTACATTGTTTGACCTATTGTCTTTTTAGGTACACTTAAGTTACCATATAAAATGTATAAAATATTCATTGTCCCAAATTGTAAACTTCAAATATCTACTCATTATATTTTGCATGTGACATTTTGTGCATTCATTCACAAAAGTTATAAAAAAAATTGTCCCATCAAAAAAAAAACTCTAGTGGTCATTTATTCTGCATTTATTCTACATAGGTACACACTTGCAACAAAGATATTTTTAATAAAACCCTTCCAAAATATTAGGGCAAAATATTTCAATTTATATAGTGAAAAATGAAATGATGGGTCAGATGAGTGATCTAGTACCATATGTGGCTCTAAAATTATGTTTATTGTGACGGGAAAAAAAAACAATCAGTGTTGTGAAAGTTTATTACAAGAGGGGCAAGTTAAAGTTGAGTTGAACTTGGCAAAATAGCTGGACTTGCCTTTCAGCAAAATCATTTGAAATTTAATTTCCAACACTGAAATGCAGTTAATACTGGTGAGTGACTCAGGGCCATCATGACCCTTTTGTTTATTTGTTTTTATGTGAAGTTAAATGTGTTTTCTTAATTTGTTGCATGGCGGTTCATAGCAGCATGCATGATTCACGCATTTTTGCTCTTTTGTTCCAGTTGCAAGGCAGTTTAATGATAGCAGGCCTGATTCACGCACTTTTCGGCTTCACTGGAATAGTTGGACTGCTGTTGAAATTCGTTGGTCCACTCACAATCGTTCCTGCATTGGTGCTAATATTTATATTCCTTGTTCAACCGGTTTTGAAATTCGTGGTAGTAAGCTGGGCAATATCCATGTCGTAAGTGGTTCTCTTAATTATATCCCCACAAACGAAGTTTAGTGGGGGGGGGTATATAGGAGTCCGGTTGTCGGTCGGTCGGTCCGTCTGTCCTTCCGTCCACATCATGGTTTCCGGACGATAACTAGAGTTTGGAATGCAGTATTGTAATTAAACTTGGTACATGTATATAGAAAACCTTATGTCAAAATCCCGGTTGATATTGCATCCAAGGTCACCGTTACTAAAATAGAAAACAGATTTCCGGACAATAACTAGAGTTAGGAGTGAGATATTGTAATCAAACTTGGTGTATAGGAAACTTACATGAAGACCCCGGTTGGTATTGCAATTAATTGAAATAATTCTTTGTACGCAGTTGAAACTTCATTTACTATAGGTTGAGGTCAAATTTTTCTTCAGAACACTTATCAATGGCTATAAATCACCTTCAGTGATAGCTCTAGTTACATCTGACAATCATCAGTTACATTTATAATACTCATTGAAGAAATGAATATCGGCGTTATACGTATGTCAAATTTATGTTATGAAATGGCACATGATGTAAATAGAAACAGGCAAGGCAATGTGAAGTAGAAATTTTATTATTTCCAGCACGGTAGCTGTTGCAGTGGTATTATTTTTATATCTTGCTAAATATGACATGCCAGTGCCAGTGTGGACTCCTTCCGGTGGATACAGAATTATACGTTACCCGTTACATCAAGTTTTTGCAGTAAGTATTTCAATATTTGTTTTTATGTTGTTTTTTATGTTTTACTTATAACATATTTTCAACAAACAAAAAACATTCTGTAAATTATATAGTTAATTGTCCCCGCCTTTTTGTAGAACAAAAGGTTCCGTCCGTCTGTTTTGGCGAACATTCAATGGTGAATACTTCATTCCGTCCATAATTTTAGTTAAAAAAGAAGGAAATCACATAAACTGACAGGTTTATGTGACAATTTTACTGGTTTATGGGGAAAAGTGCCACATAAAGAACAAAGAAAAAGCATATAAACCCCAAATATTGGCTCGTCCGTCTGTCCGTCCGTCACATTTTCGTGTCCGGTCCATAACTATGTCATTTATCAAAGAAATTTGAAATAACTTGGCACAAATGTTTGTTATAATAAGACGATGTGTCAATCGCAACAACCGGAACCCTACCTCCAAGGTCAAGATCACACTTGGTGATTAAAGGTCAACATTGACTATTTGAGGGTATATGTCGTGACCGATCCAAAACTTTCTTATCCATGAAAGGATTTTGAAAAAACTTGGCACAAATGTTCAAAATAATGAGTCAATGTGTTATGCGTAAAAGCCAGTCGCCTAACCCAACCCTTTTGTATATTGTGTAATTTTGTTAATGTAAATGAATTGATGTATATTTATATATGCAATAAAATATTATTAAACTAAAAAGTCGCCTACCTCCAAGGTCAAGGTCACAGGTAGAGGTCAAATATTCACATAGTCCGTTACAGGATATATTTTGTGTCCGGTCTATAACTTCTTCATAGATCAAGGGATTTTGAAATTACTTGGCACAAATGTTCACAATAATGAGGCAATGTGTCGTGCCTAAAACCAATTACATACCTCGAAAAAAATCAAGGTCACAATTTGAGGTCAAATATTAGCATAGTCTGTTACAGGGAATATTATATGTCCAGTTCATAACTTATCCAAAGATAAAAGGATTTTGAAATTTTGGCACAAATATTCACATTTATAAAGCGATGTGCCATGCGTAACAACCAGTTGCCTACCTCCAAGGTCAAGGTCACAGTTAGAGGTCAAAGGTTAACAAAGTCCGTTATAGGGTGTATTTTGTTTCCAGTGCATAACTTTCTCATCCATCAAGGGATTTTTGAAAATATTTGGCACAAATGTTCACAATAAGAAGATGATACGCAACATCCAGACGCCTTACTTCAAGATCAAGGTCACGTTCTGTGATTAAAGGTGAACATCATCTGTTCGAGGGTGTTCGTGGTGTCCGGTCCATAAAATTTTCATCTATCAAGGGATTTTGAAATAACGTAGCACAAGTGTTCACAATAATGGGACCATGTATCGTACGCAACAGCCAGACTCCTACCTTCAATGTCAAGCTCACACTTGAGTGCTTAAGCTTAACACGGTCTGTTCTAGAGTATATTTTGTGTGCGTATATAACTGTTTCATCAATCAAGGGATTTCTAAATAGTTTGGCCCAAATGTTAACAATAATGAGACGACATGTCATGCGCAATACCTAGACCCCTACCTCAAAGGTCAAGATCCCACTTGTTCAAAGCCTAAAATGGTCTGTTACAAGGTATGAAATGTCATTGTTTAATTACTTATGACTGGACACGAAGTATACCCTGTAACAGACCATATTTTGTCTTGAATTTTTATTTGTCACATTTTGTGGCTTTAAAATAGTGATAACGAGATAAGTATACAAATGTATTTCTGTTGACACATATACAGGAGTTATTTCATTATATTTCTTTAATGAATTTATGGTTACTTGCATGTGCAGATCTAGCATTCCTGAAAGTCCCGGTCCATACCTCAACCTTTTGAAATAGCACAATTTTGTTACTCATGTTAAACTTTCCGGTAACTCTGTTACAAACTTTTGTTATGGATGTTATGGAGGTTCAAAACGTCTCTATTCATTATGTTTAAAATTGGACCATTGCATTACCATCTTAAAACACAATTTGTTATTTTTGGCATTTATAACTGTCCCCACCGTTATTCATAAAGTTTAGCAGTTTTAGTATTTTGTTGTTCAAGGGACTGCTGTTTCAACCATTTATCATCAAAGTAAATGTACTAGATACAAATGAAACCGATGGCTACCTTACACACAGCAAAATATGTTCTTCAAAAAAGTTTAATATATGACTTTATTTTAACTCCTCCACAAAAACACCAACCGCTTCCTTTGAATGTATTCTCTTTATTATTTTCATTCCAGATTCTTATTTCTATCATTATCAACTGGGCGATATGTGGCATATTGACCAGATTTGACGTCTTTCCTAATGATCCTAGCCATACGAGTTATAGGGCACGGACAGACGCACGTGCTGACGTCATAGATAACAATCCGTGGTTCACTGTACCATATCCGGGTAATTAACGTCGTAATAAAAACATTTTTTCAATGTTCCTATGTAACGTCGTACACAGTGAAACCCGTGTTTGCAGTTTTCATTTTGTATTTAAATACATAGTATTTATTATATACTTATAAATAAAATATTGATAATTTATTGATAAAATAAAATTTAATTTTCATTTCTCGTTTTTTCACTGCAGTGAAGCATACTTTCGGTATTTTCACTGCAGTTAATCATATTTCCGTATTTTCACTGGTGTCTTGTCGGACTACTTTCTGCTTAATTCAGCCAATATACACAATTTTAGAGAAAATCTTTCAAACTGTGGTGTCAAAAGATTAAATGTATATAATTAACAGAAAATTCAAGACTTTTCATATTTTTCATTTTGTGCTATGAAAATTATCATATATATGTTTATTTGCATACCACTCGATGAAAATAAATCATGTAATTATAGAAGAAACTTTAATATCCTCTTTCTATTATTTATTTATTTATATTTTTATTAGCTCACCTGTCACAAAGTGACAGCGTGAGCTTTTGTGATCGCTTTTCGACCGGCGTCCGTCGTCCGTCCGTCGTCCGTCCGTAAACTTTTACTTTAAATGACATCTCCTCATATACCACTGAGCCAATTTCATCCAAACTTCACAGGAATGTTTCTTTGGTGGTCACCTTTAAAAATTGTTTAAAGAATTTAATTCCATGCCGAACTCTGGTTGCCATGGCAACCAAAAGAAAAAACTTTAAATATCTTCTTTTAAAAAACCCTAAGAGCTAGAGCTTAGATATTTGGCATGAAACATCTTCTAATGAGTGTCTACCAAGTTTGTTCAAATAAAAGCCCTGGGGTCAAAATTAGTCCCGCCCCAGGGGGTCATTGATTTTCCCTATATGCATATTGTAAAAACTTAAAAAATCTTCTTTTGAAGAACCCAAAGAGCTAGAGCTAAGATATTTAGCATGAAACATCTTCTAATGAGTGTCTACCAAGTTTGTTCAAATAAAAGTCCCGGGGTCAAAATTGGCCCTGCCCCAGGGGGTCATTGATTTTCCCTATATGTATATAGTAAAAACTTAAAAAATCTTCTTTGAAAAACCCAAATAGCTAGAGTTTAGATATTAAGCATGAAACATCTTCTATTGAGTGTCTACAAAGTTTGTTGAAATAAAAGCCCTGGGGTCAAAATTGGCCCTGCCCCGGGGGTCATTGATTTTCCTTATATGTGTAACTATAGCAAAAACTTAAAAATCTTCTTTTAAAAAACCCAAATAGCTAGAGTTTAGATATTTGGCATGAAACATCTTCTAGTAAGTGTCTACAAAGTTTGCTCAAATAAAAGCCCTAGGGTCAAAACTGGCCCCGCCCCAGGGGTGTCATTGTTTTTAATTATATGTGTATAGTAAACCTTAAAAATCTTCTTTTAAAAAACCCAATGAGTTAGAGCTTAGATGTTAAGCATGAAACATCTTCTTATGGGTGTCTACCAAGTTTGTTCAAATAAAAGCCCTTGGGTTAAAATTGACCCTGTTGGGGGGACTATATACAAGTGAGCGACCTCAGGGCAATCATGGTCCTCTTGTTAATCAATTAATTAATTTATTTACTGGTTCGATCCTCGGCGAAACATGATTAGTAGCTGGTGACTTGCGGATTATTAGGAAATCAGTGGTTAATTATCCAGGAATATCCTACAGAGTTTAAGAATATTTTTCAGAATCTCCCTTCTTAAACATAAGCCTTGAATGGTCATTTAGTATGCATTAATCATCTTTTTGTTCCTTTACTGAATTCTTAATCAAATGAATTTTCAGGTCAATATGGACCATTCGGGTTCAGCGCTTCAGCATTCCTGTCCTTCATGATAGCAACATTCATGTCCATTCTTGACTCCATTGGTGATTACTACGCATGCGCAAAGGTTACCCGCGTTCCAGCGCCACCAAAGCATGCGGTAAACCGCGGAATTCTGATAGAGGGTATATGTTCCTTCCTGTCTGGGGCTGTAGGGTGTGGCCATGCAACGTCAACTTATGGTGGCAGCATAGGAGCTATTGGCGTCACAAAGGTCAGGTACTATCTATGATTATATTTATTATATACATTGTACATTCGTTGAGGTTTATATACAGTTATATCTTATAAACAACTATTTCAACTAGAAATTCGTCCGTGTGTCTTATCACATGATCCTGTCCTTTTTATGGAAAACAAAGTCATCAGATGGGAAAAGAACGGAAGAAAAGTGTTGGCCGAGTGATGAGGGTGCCTGTCTGCAAGTATTAACCCAAATTTGTAGCTTTGAACACTTTTCTGGCAATAGCGTATAACAATTACAAGATTCAATGAATGACTGTCGACCAGTCTGTTGGCAATTTTATTTCTGCAATGAATTTGTAATAAAAGCCCTTTCGAGACTTTTCCCATGTAAATATACCTGTATTTCCCCCAGTGTATAAAATAATGTTTTTTCTCGTATAAGTGACAGCTTCAAAATTTGCATATGTCACAACAGTTGAAAACAAATGCCTATTGCACACTGCATATTCCTTTCGTGTGTATGACTGACCAAAGAAACAAAGAAAAACACAAATCTTCCTATTAGTAATAAGTTTTATAAAAAACATTATTAAACTGATTCGATAACACATTTGCATATAAATTTCCAGGTGGCAAGTCGTAGAGTGTTGGTATTTACTGGCATTATCTACATATTGTTCGGCATATTTGGCAAGTTTTCGGCTGTGTTCATTACAATACCCTACCCAGTACTCGGTGGAGCGATAGTTGTTATGTTCGGTATATTCTTTGGTGTTATTCTCTCCAATCTTGAGGTAAGGTTTCTACCATTTCTTGAAATTCGCTTATCTCCTTCGCAGTGATCTCTTCTTATTATTATCTGCAAAGGGAGATAATCACTGTGAAGCATTTATTTTTGCCTTTCTGCAATTAGTACAATTATAGTGATTTAGTATTTTGTATAGACGTCAAATTACTACTTTGTTTACATTTTACTACTTTTGTAACAGATATTTTCACATTTAGTACTCCTTTCTTCAGGTGAAAAACAATTAAAATACTTTAAAGGAAGTAATAACATATTTGTCCTTTATAATTTGTTTACGAGGAATAATGTGCCTTTAAATAACAAACATTACTCTCAATAATTGCGTACATATTGAATCAAGTTAAGTGATATCCAAGTGAATTGTGCTTCAACTTAACAAGCGTAAGGTGTAAACTTGTTAAATTTCCCGCCATAATTACTGTTCTCAAGCGTCGTGGTACATCGTTATAATAGACTATTCGAAGAATAGTGGGGTTATCTAACTCACTTGGCGCCGATGTCAGTGTCTGCGTCGGCGTAACAATTTGGTTAAAGTTTTACAGCAACATCTTATCCAACATCATAACTCCTCAACCACAAAAGATGTAACTTTTGCTTGTAATATCACACAATAATTTGTTATTATCGCTGGAAGCAACTATCCAATGCCCATAACTCTAGCATGGATTTGACATAATTATGGGTCTTTGTGGACTTCGAAAATATTTGGTCAATGTTTTTAATGCAGCATTTAATGTTCATAACAACTTAATGCATTCACTTGTTAAATGTACTTACAACATGTCAACGGTCATAACAGTTGGTCACTGTTATAGGCCCATAACTCTTGGGTTGATTTATTGATTTGACTGAATTATGGTCCTTTGTGAAAATAGAAAAGGTTTTGGTCAATATCCAAAGTTCATAATTATGTCGTGTATTTTTAACTAATCTTCTTTTGTTAATTTCCACATTAACCGGGCTCTTAATTTACCGAGTAATGAGATTAGTTGACAGCTCTTGTTTTATTTTGTCGTTGCTAGGTAACCAACATGTCGTCACCTAGAAACATGGCTATCATTGGTCTCTCTATATTCATCGGACTATCTGTTCCAACATGGGCACAGAAAGAAGACTCGCCTATTAAAACGGGTATTGTTTTCTTATCTTGACTTTTCTTTGTAAGATTTTTGTAGCTATATACCCAGCAAAAAGTAGAAAAACGAAAGGATGATTTTTGTTCACCACCTCTGTGTAGAAAATCGCAATTTTATACAAATTTCTTTTCACAATAAATAAATTGCAAATGACGCATGATGCTGTAATTTCGAATTTCTAAAATAAGATCGTCAGAATGGTTAGAATTACATAAAGGTATTTTTCTTGTACTAAATATACATATGTATTTCGTTATTTTTTGCGAATTGACCAGATATCTTCTCATTTAATAACCATGTCGACGCCTGTGACTGTCCTTCCTTCAATAGGCAACATTTCATCCCGAAAGAATTGATAGGACCAAACACGGTGTTGAAATTATTTTTATTATTTTGTGGGTTTTGAAAGATACCACAGAAAATTAACAAACACATTGAACCGAAAATGCTGTTTGCTTATAAATACTGGTGTAGTTAATTATCATTTCTAGCAATCAGTAAAAAAATTGAGGTAATCATGGAATTATAATACCCCCCCCCCCCAAAAAAAAAGATATAAAAAGAACAACAAACAAGAAAAAAACAACAAAAAACAACATAAATAAATTAAGTTTTTTTTCTTCTTATTTATTGATTCTTAACTTTTTCTGAAACGCCACAAATAAATGAATAAGGTAACTTCCATATTTACTTTAATATCTTTTTGGTATATTACACAATGCTCAGAACTTAAATGATATTGAATTGAACTGCCTATGTTTAGTAAAAGTGTATACTTGTACACACTCTTCAAAGTTGAAGAATTATGTGCCGAATTTATGAAATTTTGTTATTTTATTATAATTATATAGGTCACGAGCAGTTTGATAGGATAATGTCAATGTTGCTAGGCAACCCAAACCTGACTGGGACAATCATAGCCTGTTTCCTCGACAACACGGTTCCAGGTACGCTAAGAGACTTGGGTTTTTTTTACCAAAATTCATAATCTGACAGTATGTCAGTAAAAACTACAAATAGGAATTTATTACATAGCATATTTAATGGTGTTTAAAAAGGTTATATGTAATTTTGATTGGAAAATGCCTTTACTGTTTGCAGAATCTTAACTTTTCAACCATTTCAATAAGATAATGAATAATCGCGGAGGTTCTTCGAATGCGGTTTTTCATACTTGCTTGAAACGTTCTGTGACAAGTTTTGTTAGTTATATCCTATTTTTCGGACACATGTGCGGGTATCAAATACGTTATCAAATAACGACTTTTAATAGTCGGTACATTGCGTTGATATCGGTAGAAAGTTGTAGTTGTCCCCCCCCCCACCCCCGAGGAGCATCGCGGTCCACTTTTCTCTTTGTTTGATAGTAAACTGCACATATTCAAAATAAAGAGATAGTTTGAATTTAATGGCACATTGACATTGACCTATGACCCGAAAATGTCCGTGACAGACAAACCTTATCAAGATGCATCCATATGTTATGTTTCAAGTAAAATTTGAAGTTATTAACTTGAGACAAAAAGGTTAACAAAGTTAACCGTGCAGTTTAACTAAAACTTAGCCAACGCCGACAAGTTGCTCATGACAATGGCTTTGTTGTTGTTCTTGTTGTTCTTGTTGTTCTTATAAAGTAGATCAAGAAATTAATATTAATTTTTACTTTTTATTATTGGCAACATTAGCATTTGTAATACGTTTCCCATCATAAATTTAAAAAACATATATAGATATCTAATAAACACATTTTCCTGACCTTTATAAAATAAATAAAAACTTTAATACAATACGGTATCATGAAATGATTGTTTTTCTCGCTACAAAAGGTTCACTGGAAGACAGAGGAATTGCAACATGGCAGGTATCTGATGCGGACGAGGATGCTGTGATAGATATGTCTAGATATAACGAGGGCTACGAAGTTTACAACCCTCTTCTGCCTCAGAGAATCAGGAGCCTCAAGATCATGAAATATATACCATTCCTGCCGCACACTCGAACAAAATCTGTCGTAAATGGTGTTTGAGCGTGGGCAATGGCCGCACGTGGCCGACTTGCATTCTGTATCATCCAGGCGTTTGAGTCTTACTTGTCACCAACAAAATTTTCAAACTCAAACGTCTGTATGATGTAGATTAGCTTTAAAAAGAAGAACAATGTGACAAACAGAAGATTCTATACGATCTACTTACTTGTTAATCCACTTCTGCGTAGCAGGAAAGGAATTATAGGAATGACCTCCGTCTGTCTGTTAGTCGGTCCGTCTGTCCGTCCATAACACTGTCGTGTCCGCTCCATAACTTTTAAACTCCTAAAAAAAATAACTTGGCACAAGTGATCACCATAATGAGACGATGTGCAGAGCGCAATAATTGGGTTAATACCCCCAAGGTCAAAGTCACTCTTAAAGGTCAAATATCAAAAAGTCTTCATTTCTTAATTAAAAGTCTACAGTTCGTGTCCGCTCCAATTATTTAACACTGACATTTTTTTTAATAACTTCACATCTGATCATTGTATAAAACGACGTGCATAGGGCAATAATTTGGTTGCTACCCAAAAGGTCAAGGTCACACTTTAAGGTCAAATGTTAAAAAGTCTACATTTCATGTCCGCTTCATAACTTTTTAACCGCTGATTTTTTTACAAAAATAACTTGTCACAATTGATCACCATTATAAGAACATGAGCAGAGTGCAATAATTGGGTTCTACCCCCAAAGTCAATGTCAAAAGGTTAAAGGTCAAATGTATAAAAGTCTACATTTCATGTCCCCTCAATAACTTTTAAACCTCTGATTTTTATGCCCCCGCCATATAATGGCCGGGGCATAATTATAGTGTTACCCTGTTCCGTCATTCTGTCCTTCCGTCATTCTGTCATTCCGTCATCATTAGTTTCCGTTCATTATCTTAGTAACGGTTGCACACATTCAACTCAAATTTGAGATATGGATATGTCTTGAGAAAGGTCGAATTTGGTCATGGTTCGATGATTTTTGGCAGAGTTATGCCCCTTTTACTTTGAAAATAATATGAAATTTTCAGTTTCCATTCATTATCTCCCCAACAGTATTACACATTCAACTCAAACTTGACATATGGATATGTCATGAAAAAATACAGGTCAAGTTCGAATTTGGTTATGGTTTGATGATTTTTGGCAGAATTATGCCCCTTTTATTACTTTGAAAATAATATGAAATTTTCAGTTTCCGTTCATTATCCCCCTAATGGTACAACACATTCAACTCAAACTTGACATATGGATATGTCATGAGAAAATACAAAATGTACAGGTCAAGTTCGAATTTGGTCATGGTTCGATGATTTTTGGCAGAGTTATGCCCCTGTTACTTTGAAAATAATATGAAATTTTAGTTTCCGTTCATTATCTCCCCAACAGTATTACACATTCAACTCAAATTTGACATATGGACATGTCAAAGGAATGCGCAGGTCAAGTTGGAATTTGGTCATGGTTCGATGATTTTTGGCATAGTTATGTCCCTTTACTTTGAAAATAATCTGAAATCTTCAGTTTCCATTCATTATCTCCTCTAGGGTATTACACATCTAACTCAAATTTGACATATGGATACGTCAAAGAAATGCACAGGTCAAGTTTGAATTTTGTCATGGTTCAATGATTTTTTGCAGAGTTATGCCCCTTTAACTTTGAAAAAAAGGAAATTTTCAGTTCCCATTCATTATCTCCCCAACATATTCAACTCAAATTAAAGATATGGATATGTCATAAGAATGCATTGGTCAATTTCGAATTTGGTCATGGTTTGATGATAGCTGTCAGAGTTATCTCTCTTGAACTTTGAAAAAAAAAATCAGAAATTTGAAGTTTCCGTTCATTATCTCCCCAATGGTTGTACACATTCAACTCAAATTTGACATATAGATACATCTTAGGAATAAGCAGTTCAAGTTTGAATTTGGTCGTGGTTAAATGATTTTGGACAAAGTTATCTTTTTCTTGAATGTTGGAAAAATTTTGAATTTTCAGTTTCAGCACTCATACTTTTGTGGAAATGTATGTGGCCATTATTTCGGCTACAAATATGCTATATGCAATTTACAAAAGGTCAAGTTAATAATTTCAGTGCATTTAACATTGTATAAAAATGGTTTGCGGTAACATTGAATAGTTTTAAGGGCTTTGAACTTAAAATGAAAAAAATAATTTTGTGCAAACAAATTTGGAACTAAATATTATAATATCTGAAATTTTGGCTGCATGCGGGGGCATCCGTGGCATGATGACACATTTCTAGTTTTAAATAGCTTGGCACATTAAGTGATCATCATTATGAGACAATGTGCAGGGCAAAATAATTGGGTTGCTACCCCCAAGGTCAAGGTCAAAGTTTCAGCTCAAATGTTAGAATGTCTGTCCATAACATTTAAACAGGTATAATATCTTTAAGATAAATTGGTAGAAATGATCACCATTATGACACCATTGGCAGAAAACAGTAATCAAGTCACAACCCTGAAGGTCAGGGTCACACTCAAAGGTCCAATGTAAAAACATCTAATTTTTATGTCCCTCTATAACTAATTGACAATTCCATGGTTTTAAAGTTACTTGGCACAAATGATCACCGCCAGGGCACAATCTGCAGAGCTCAACATCCAGGTTCCTATGGCATGGCACAAGATCAAGGTCATGGTTGGTAAAAGGTCAAGAAGTACACATTCATGTCCACTGCGGAAGGGGATTTAGCTGTCATTCAGACTGCCTTGTTTTGTTCAGTTAAAGTGACAGTATGCTATTTTTTCATTGTCGTGTTGAGCTGAACTGAACTGACTGTATGTTTAAAAAGTTTGACTATTATAAAGATAATCAACTAATAATTGATAATGAACAATGTTTTGGATAAAATACAACTACCTAAAATATAAATAGAATGCCCCACTATTTTACCAATTGAATGTTTACGATATACAAGTATCCAAAGGAGATTTATAGACTTTTCTGTTTGTCATGTATACAAATGAACTATACTTTAAAATTGAAATCAGTTATGGTAAAATATAGTTATTTTGACTTTGACCTGTAAACCTATCATTTACTCTTGGATAGGCATGTCACTTTTTATTGAAAGACTGGCAGTGTCCTATACATATATTCTTTTTTCTGCTAGACAAATATGCATCAATTTTAAGGCAATGTAATTATTTCCTTTAAAATAATGTATTCAACCTTATTGGCCGGACAAGCTTTTTGAAGTCAAGGCCCCTGTGACCGTGACCTTTGACCCAGTGACTTCAAAATGAATAGGGGTCATCTAGTAGTCATAACCAACCTTAATACCAAATATGAACTGTTGATCAAAGCATTCTTATGCAATCAAGCTGTCAAGCTTTTAAAACTTAACACCCCTGTGACTTGGACCTTTGACCCAGTGACCCCAAATCAGGGGTCACCAAATGGTCATGATCAACCTCCGTGCCAGATATGAAGACAGTGGGTCAAAGGATTCTTAGGCTATTGGGCGGACAAGCTTTTTGGAGTCTATGCCCTGTGACCTTTGACCAAGTGACCTCATAATCAATAGGGGTCATCTAATGGTCATGACTAACCTCCTTGCCAAATATGAAGAATGTGGGTCAAAGGATTATTAAGTTATTGGGCGGACAAGCTTTTTTTAGTCAAGGTCCTTTTGACCTTAACCTTTGGCCTAGTAACTTAAAAATCAATAGGGTCATCTTTGTGTCATAACCAACCTAAATTTTAAATATGAAGACTGTTGACCGAAGCATTCTAAAGCAATTGAGCGTACAACTGTTTGAAGTCGAGGCCCTAGTGACTTTGACCCAGTGACCTCAAAAGCAATAGGGGTCATCTAATGGTCATGACCAACTTCCATGCCAAATATGAAGACTGCGGTTCAAAGGAATCTTAAGTAATTGGGTGGACATGCTTTTTTTAGTCAAGGCCCCTGTGACCTTGTTCTTTGAACCAGTGACCTCAATATAATTAGGGGTTATTTTATAATCATGACTAACCTCCATGCCAAATATGACTGGGTCAGAGAATTTTTAAGTTATTTTGCGGACAAGTTTTTTTTTAGTCAAGGCCCCCGTGACCTTTGATTTTAATAGGGGTTATCTACTAACCATGACCCATCTCAATACCAAATATGAAGACATGGTCAAAGGAATCTTAAGTTATTTGGCGGAAAAGCTTTTTTAGTCAAGGCCCCTATGAACTTGTCCACTAACCCAGTGAAATTTAAAAGGGGTCATCTAATAATCATGAATAACCTTCAAGCCAAATATGAAGACTGTAGGTCAAAGGATACTTAAGTAATTGGGTGGAAAAGCTTTTTTAAGTCAAGGCCCCTGTAACCTTGACATTTGACCTTAAAATCAATGAGTCATCTACCTATCTCAATACCAAATATGAAGTCTGTGGGTCAAAGGCATCTTAAGTTATTGGGCAAATAAGGAAAAATCAACGGTTGGCCAGAGGTTAGGATAAGCTAATTCCAGTATTATGATCCCTTACTAATTTGTTGTGCGGCGGTATAAGAAAACGTTACTCATTTGAAAATTCTGAAACCATTTAAAATCAAATTCAAATCATAAACTTGACTTCCTGTCCCAAGTTTTTTATTATGTTTGGGAAAAACTTTACTCAAATGAATAATAATAATGAAATCTCATGTTTCATAACAATTTAATTTTTATCCTTTTCTTCAAATATATAACAAGACAGAAGAATAATACTTATCAAAACATAAACATACATGACCAATCTATTTTGTCTTATATTCATAAATAATAATACACATATGTCAGAAAAAACAGTTAAAGCACATTTTAATTTTTTGTCTAAATAGCACTATAAAAAAACATATAAAACACTATGATGAGATATTTGGTTTAAATGGTATACATTTATGATGAAGTAAAAAATATAAATGCCCTAGTAAATTATGTTTATCCTTTGCAAGAAGAAAATGGATCCTATTTTACACATAAGAATATTATCTATATGCTTTATGAAATTCTAGTGAAAAGTATGCCCATTTAAAACATATATATTCATGTTCTCTGGAAATCTTGTAAATATACCTACGGTATATGAAATAAATCAAAGTAAATATGCTTGTTCCATACCAATAACTGTGCTAAAAAATGATTTAAAAATATGGCTTGGGGTATCAATACTTTTAAATCAGTGGGTAAATTAACAAATATTTCATTTTGATGTTGCTTTTGTTAATTTAACCAAAAGCCATAATGTTTCATTTTTCCAGAAGCACTTGCATATAGTTCAAAATTAATTTATCTTGATGTGTCAAAAGCACTTAATTTTAATGATTTTTACTGCATTCTAAAATCAACACTACCAATAAATAAAACATTCTTTTTCAACTTTTATCCATATTCAAGTGAAATAAATCTTAGGTGCATTCTTCTAAGAGCAGTAACTCATTAACCACATTACCTTTGCCAGAACCTAAAATAAATACATTGCTATAATTCAACAATATGAGTATTTTTCCTACATTTAAAGACTGTTCAAATAATTATAGACAAATCATGATGATGAATGTATAAATCAATCATATATCAATATTTTCACTGTCAATATTTCAATATAGATCAATATTTAGATACAGATTAATCAATATTTTGATACCGATCATAAATCATTATTTTGTAACTGCACTGATTATAAATCACTATTATGATAATTATCATAAATCAATATTTTGATACTGATTATTAATCAAAAGTGTCCATTTGATTTAAACAAGAAACTTGGAGAAGCCTAAAGTGAAGTTTAAGTGAAGTTTGTTTTTAACAATGAAGATGACCAAATGATAAATTAAATAGATCCTTCCATGCTTTTGTTTGTTTTTTTTCATGAATGTGTCTACAAATTTTCATAATTACCAATGAATACAATAAAACATTTCTATGATAGCAAATTTTGTTTATCCATTTAAAGCAATATCTAGATAAATTATTATGAACATTTTTATGATTTAAGATACAAATAAATAAGGACTTAGTCTAATATAGTTTTGTATAAATTAACATAAATAATGGTATACCAAAAAGTATGTCTTTCTTATATGTTTTTAAACAAAAAATTCCATATAAAAAATTATTTATTTCTAGTTTTCAAGTCCCTAGCTTACATCATCACAGAAGTTTGCACTGAATTTCAATTCCTGTCGGCTATTAAAACTTATTATTTAAAAATTCCTAGCAGTATTTACATGAACTTGATGGTTTTTCTTTTCTCCTAATATGACTCTATCCAACTCTATGAAATTGATTTTTAATCTTAACCTGATGTAGGGTTTATGTTACCTGAAGCTGGAAGTTTAATAAATGAGCCGTGTCATGACAAAACCAACATAATGGGTTTGCGACCAGCATGGATCCAGACCAGCCTGCGCATCCGCGCAGTCTGATCAGGATCCATGCTGTTCGCTTACAAACCCTATAACAAGTAGAGAAACTGATAGCAAACAGCATGGTTCCTGATCAGACTGCGCGGAGGCGCAGGCTGGTCTGGATCCATGCTGGTCGCAAACCCATTATGTTGGTTTTGTTGTGACGCGGCTCAAATATAATAGTCAACCTGGTGTTTTTGATATGTTGTACTTTCTTGCTTCCCATTTGAAATATTTTTATTTATAGCTTTTCCATTTTAGAAAAAAAAATCTTTTTGATTTTAGGGACAAAAACAATATTTCAACAATAAAGAAAGTTTAAAATGTCTTAAGAATAGCGCAAAAGATAATCAATACTTCTAAATAAAATATAACAACAGTCCATCATTTCAGACAATCTCCTGAGTTGTTGTTTGTGTTTGTTTCCTTCCTGTAAATCATGAAGTGATTTTGTTTATTCAAAAAAGCAATATCTAGATCAAGTATTTCATGTAAACCATAAAGTGTTTTACATCCTAGACAAAAAAAGACATGAATCAAATAAATGATAAAAAAACCCAAAGGTTTTGTATTCTCCAATGATACAAGAGAAGACAAATGATACAATATGACTAGAATAATCCTGAGATACAGAGTTCGATAATATAACAGACAAGAAAAAAAAACATGCTACACAGTTGTTATCGTCCAATCTCTCCATTCATACACGCTAACGAAATGTGGCACAATAATTATACATCGTACAATGATTCAAGACGTAAAAATTCCATAATATTAGATGAGAAGTCATAAAAGTTCACAAAAATTCAACATTGATCAACAACAGTAAGCAAAAAAAATTTATATTATTTTAAAATTTTATGCTTGGGAAACTGTGTTACTAATAATAGATCGATATAATTGGTATAAAACCAGAAAATTGTAATGAACTCCTACGCTGCTTTTTGGAGAAAAAAATAACAGCTTAATTTCTAGAAAAGTTAGTTGGATAAAAATTATGTTCTTAAGTCATACTGCAAATTTAAAGGGCGTTCAGCGATAATTACACTTTTCTGGTCAAAGTAGCGCTAAATCGCTTCTTTGTGCGTTATTACAGGTACAAGGAGGCACACCGGCATTACATAAGCTAGCCAGCTTCCTCATACCGAAAATACAAAACCCTCCAACCCCCTCCCCTTGTGTGATTCAAACTGAGGTCGGTTACGAGTAAATTGCGATTGAAATACAGTGACCTTAAGCACTCAGCCACTGGTACACATTATATAACTGTAAATAAATAAATTGTGTGTAAAAGACAAAAGCGTCTGCAAATGTTTCAATTAGTAATTATTCTAATGAGGTTTTACCTTAAAACAAAATGTCATATGTAGAATTTTTGTGAACCTTTACACCTTGCGTGTCTAGCTAGTAAAAATGCTCAATGTGAACAAACAAAACTGTAATACCTTTGGCACCGATAAAATACATGTTTCATAATAATGCTTCAACATTCACTGATAATGTACATAACATATACAATTTATATAATTATACATACATACATTATATAAATAAGAGAATTACATCTAGTTTATAATATACTTGTACAGTAATTTTAAGAACTTACAGTTCATGATTAAAATACATACACATTTTTACAGGTACACTGTACAAAAGTTAATACGAAAATGCTTTTTAACATTTCAAGATGCCACTAAAATAATTACAGCTATATATTATAGATTTAATAATTTTATAACAATTACATTGTATTCGTTTATACAATTGTTCATGTCCTTGCACTCATTTCTGCATTAATTAAAAGTTTAGATAGTTATAGATTTTTTTTAAAGTTGATGATTTTTCATGAATTTATCATGAATTTAATTTCTAAAATTCACTTCTGTACTAAATAACCATAAATCGTCAACTTGGTACAATAACGGGTTAACTTCTTATTGTAATCTTATAGGAGTTAATAGGTTACTGCACTGAGGTGACAAAATGCTATACCATACTGAGTTTTGTGTCGCTTAATTTGTGTGTGCATTATTTAAGAAATAATGAATCCTTATACCCAACATTTTATCAGTTGTTAATTTATGCCTTGATTTCATTACACTATATTTAAGTCATGGAACTATTATACTGTTTGGAATACATTGCAAAACTTTAGCTTGCAAGTGATGGCTATCAGTATTCAGTAATAAACAATAAGTAAAAAGTCTTTGGAAAACATAAGCACATGACCCCTAAAAGCACAAATCTTGTCACCATCAAGAAGCTGGTTAATAAATTATTCAGGTCACAAACTCTTAAAATTGTGTTAAAGTGTCATGACCTTTTGGTACCAGTTATTGAATTCATTAAGTGTCAGTGCTTTTTGTTGAAGGTGAACAATATTAAACTGGCAACAAAAAGGTGACCCATAGACCGACGGATCAGTCACAACAACCTTGCCTCCCTTTGGGGGACATAAAAACAATGCTGATTCAATTTTACATAGCTGACAAAATGGTAGCCGTGTTAGCATGAAATATACATACACACATAATAATACACATATAAAGTATACATAAATAATGCTGATTATGCATATGTTATGTATGCATTGTATTCTCATATAATATGTATCCAATTCAATTCATTAGTAAATTAACTTTACATATTAACAAAATAGTATGAAGAAATAATTCACAATATTATCAACTATGAAAGACTAAATGCTAGAAAAAATACATGACAATTACATCAGATCTTTTACTAAGTACATCAGACCTTTTACCAATTTCATGAGACCTTTTACCAATTATATCAGATCTTTTACCAATTATATCGGCAAAATCATATCACATTGCCTTGTCTCGTTTAAGTTTATTCTAAACCATTTGTTCTTCAGAAATGTAAAAAATTTAACTATTAAAACTTCCAGTACAAGTCAAACTTTGTAAAAATCTGCTAAGAAATGGTTATTAAATATACATGTATATTGTTTGGTTTCGTGCAATACCCGTTGAATCATCTTTGCCCCTTTATAAAATGTCGTCATTGTTTTGTTTCAATATAATACACATCTTTTTACATAAAGCTTTACTTACTATACTTAATTTTATCAAATCTGAAATTTTAAAGCTATGAAAATATGCAAATTTCTGATTTTATCAGAATTTTGTTAATTTTCAAACATATGTTTTGTTGTCTTTTCTTTAGCTTTTAACATCATTTAATACATTAAATACTTTAATGAAACAATAAAATCAAGTTGATAATCTTATCCCTTCAGAAAACAACCAAAATAATCAAGTTGATTTTAAAGGTCCTAAAAATGCTTTAGTGCCCCCCCCCCCCCCCCACTCCTCTATGAACAATAACAATAAATCAAAATAATTTTACATTACATCATCATGTAGCAAGATGACATCACATTTGTAAAATGTGCCCTAACTTTGGCTGCATAATTTCTCACTTTCATGGCAAATGGTTGTCAAGGGCAACTAACAACATGGTTACCATGGCAACAATATATCACAGTCACATGAATACTATGAAATAATAATATAGAAATTCAACATGAATCTCCAATGAAATGGTTCAGTATATAGTATAATAATTTTACCTTACCTTATCTACTTTACTATGTAAAGTACTCATTTTTTTTGCTTATTTTTGACTTGTTATTTTATATTTCATATTTGTCTTTTCAAGTTTTTGTCACAGTGGCATTGTTGAGGTTATATCGAAACTTTTGTATCAGTTATATCATATATAATTATGGCCAATATATTTTATTTCATGCCACTAAATCTTACTTTACATAAAGTACAGAATTTTTAGCAATGTTCCTAATCAAAATAACTCAACAAGTACCGTTACCAAAAACTAAAGACCTTTTTTTTCATACTCTATAAATGTAAAAAAAAAACTACTGAAAAATTGTCAACATGGGCATGTTTAAATATTAAAATGAATACTTCACATAATAAATAGATAAATTTCACGAATTCGAAAACCTAGCTAAACGCCGTTTTCCGGTACTTTCTGTACATAGCTCTGGGGAAATCACCTAGTGGAGTGTAATAGCGAACTCGATGTTTTCGCCTTTTTTTAAACTGAATTGAAATAAAACAGTTTTTCTTTATAGAAAATAATTAAATATCATTTTTTTTGAATAATTTCATACAAAAAATAAAGTAAATAAACAAGTTTACGCAGAAAATAACCTTATTATTATGGAAGATTCCACTACGTCTGTTTTAATTGATTGATTTCATTATAAAAATTTATTTTTTGAAAAATTGCAATAGATAAATTTCAAAATACATTCAATTATTTTCACCTTTAAACGGTAAAATAATGATAGAAAAATAGAAATATCATGTAACTGTGTTATGTAATTCAATTGGTGTTATTCCCTCTAGAGCTAAATCCGTAACGTACCGAAAAAACGGTGTTTAGCTAGGTGTTTCGAAAAGGTCAATTTTCACCTCTTTAACAAATATTATAATACCTTTTTTGGTATGTACTGAATATTCTTTAAACAACCAAAAAAAAACCACTTAAGCATTAACAATTTTGAACTTATGCTGTTTAAACGTAAAATGTAAATGGTGATAATCATTTCAATGTTAAAAGATGAAAAATTATTTTACTAATAATCCAATAAATTCTTTGCTCCAAAATACGCATTCTCTTTACAAGAAACTCTTAATATGAAAAAACGGTAATAAAACCTTATTTAGTAAAAAATCTACACCAATTTAAGAAAAAGAAAAAAAAAAAATACAAAAAAAATATTTAAAACAAGAAAGATCACCATGTCTTGAAATTCTTTGCTCCTTTATTATGCATTCTCTCCCTTTGTTCTGTAATAATGCTTGGCTGAACAGCATTCCTGCCCTTGAATTTCAGGAATACATGAGATTCTATGTAAGTTTCTGCAATGTCATTTATCAAAAATCACACAAATCCTCGAATTTTGTGGGAAAAATGTATCAACATAAGTGTCAAGGTCACTAACAACATAGGTTGAGTATAAAATGCTGACGCAGCTGATGTCATTGTCATCACATGAGTTCGTAATTTGGCATAAATTAACGGTGTCAATAATAAATTTGAAGTCACTGATGGGCTTCTAGATTTTATAAGGTATTCGAATCTCTCCGCTTCTTTAACACATGCTGTTGTCTGAAATGGACAAAAAAAAACAACAAATAGTTAGATTCATGCAAGAAAAATTCTCGGGTTTAATTAATTTTCACAAAAGAACTTTATACCCACTAGCATGGAAAAATCTCTTAAACAATCCAGAGGCATTCTATTATGACATACCATCTGTAATTATCAAGGTTTCATGGAAGAAACCTAAAAATCTCAATTTATATGAAAACAAAATTCAGTACAAATTGACAATATTCATATTTTAACCTGCAATTTTTCATTGAACAATCTTAATTTTTCCCTGGAACTGTACATCCATTACTGGAAATTGTCGGATTTCAATATCAAAGTACTAAAACTTCCTGATATAGTCAGAAGGCGAACATGTGCCTGATTATTCCAGCTTTATATTAATGGCAAATTTTCGTTATAATTAATACCAGCAGATATTTGTATCTTAACTAAACAGAAATTCACTAAAATAATATTGATACATTAGAAAATCTAACCTGTAAAATGGTAGGCTCATCTGTTACCGGGGCAACAAGTATAATGATGTCATTATCGTAACCAAGGTAACCAAACACGTCACATTCTGACACAGAAATCATCTGTGAGAGAGCTGTAATAATCTTGTTTAATGTGACTGGTCCCTTTTTAACATCAATTGACATGTGCGCTAGAGAAGAGCTCACAAGAACACGTAACTCGGCCGCTGAAATAACAAAATGAATTTTCATTATCTCTAATTAAGTATTTAATATATTAAAAATTCAATTCTACAAAACAAAAATTTGATGACAGCAATGAAATATTTGAAATGTGAGAATTCAAGTTATAAAACCAGCATGACTCACTGTACATTGTATATCAATAACTGTGAAAATATGGAATATATCCCACTTCAGTGGTATATATTTTCATTTCACTATAATAAGTAAACATTTCAGTTTTAATTATTAAACTTCCCCCCGCGCCCCCACTAATTAGCATGTTTTCGTTCCGCGTCCCTGCCATTTTAACTTGTTTATTGTCGACTTTTCGCTTGGCAGGTTGCAGGGCGAAATAACTAATGGTACAAATCAGCCACCATAAATAAAATGTACACACATTAATTTTGTAAAGATAAAAAGGTTCCTTACATTAAATATAGACACTATTAAATTAGCAGAAAACAATTCTAACCAGTCAGAAGCCAATCCATAAATTAGTAAAAAACTGTAAACATGAATAATCTATATACCACAAATTGGACAACATGACCAGGGAGGTATGATCCCATGACAACCTTTTGGTACTACAGCTGGGCACTCCACATCACTACACAGGGTCTCTTTAGGATCCTTACCATCTGTTACATGAGTAAAATTAATATACAGTAATAAAATGTTCTAATTATAAATCATATAATTTCATTATTTTACATAAACTAGAATATATCACTTACGTAATCTATAAGGATTATAACGGGTTCAACAGACTACTGTCACTAAAGTCTTGTGTATCTTTAATTGCATTCCGTTTTTATGGCCTTTATCATAATATCACAATTTCGAAATATCACCCAATCTTAAAACAATATTATCATATTAATAAGAAGTTTGAGTAGAAACTGATTTTTTTTTCATAAAGACCATAACAATAAACATACAAGAGTGATAATAGAGTCTGTAAAAAATAAGTAATTTTTCTTCTTGGTCAAATTTTCATTATTCAAATTGGCTGATATGGTGATTTGTAACATTGTTGATTACTCAATTAAAGATAAGTTAGTAAAGTTACGGATCACGTTAATTGATTCTTACCAACAGTTGCCAGAGAGTATCCAAATGTTTTGCACGGTCCAAAATAGTCGACAGTAATTCTGGCAGCAAGTGCGGCACATTCGGAATTGTAGGTTTCCCCATCGTGCCCACAAACACTTCCGCTGTTGGAACATTGTCTAACCTAAAATCATAAAAATTTAATTTCATCACCTGAGGTCTTCCTCAACCAGTAAAGCTGGAACATTGCCGAATGACCTATACCTAGTCGGTGTGATGTAAAACCCAAACAAACAAATACTCAAATCAATGCCTAAAGTTCTCATAAAATAATTAAGTATATTTTTACAGGTCAAGGGTTAAATGGCCAAAGTGAAAAATAATAACTAAAATACAACAAATTAATTTTTCATATCCTCTGCTACAAGAAATTTGAAATTAAGTTGTAAAAGAAAAAACGAACAAAAAAGCCGGCCATTTTTTGACCACCACATTAATTTCCTTTCCAATATAATCTAAAAACTTTCTGAAAACTCCATACTTTCTAAATGACATAAAATATAATATATAAATGTGAATAAACTGACAATATATTACCTGACAATGGCCTCTATATTTCATAGTTTTACTCTTTGACAACAGAACACAGTCGTTGGTATATTCCATATCCTTCGTGTCACAAACAGGCTCGTGATCATGTTCATTACACTCACTAACAGCCACTGAAACCAGAGAGGGAAAATCACAAGTCATGGACTATAACTTTACTAACAGCTTGCTCATTTGAACATATTAATTTAAGATTGAATTGTGAAACAAGTTCTTGCAACTCGTATTATAATCGTAACTATCACTTTCAAGTCCACTTACTCAAACTTACCTAAGTATTTGTATCATATAAGAAAATAAAGTTGTCAATTAATAGGGCTCAAACTCATGAAGCCTTGGTTGAGAGACTGCGGAGAAACATTGATCACTAGGCAATCTGTCCCCTTTAGTCAAAGGTTCAAAAGGGCAGCCTAGGCTAGTACAGTACAGCTAGGCCAGCCTGAACATCCATTCAATCAAATCTGACAACAGGACAGTTCCAAAATTGAAAGCTGGGCCAGTCCATTTAAGGAACTGAGCATGATAAAAATTTCTGAAATAATTACGTCATCTGTTAATTTTTCTTTTAAATAATAAAATTAAGCTTTCATTTTTCTTGGTGAATTATAAGATCCATGGTGAGGAAGTAACTTTTAAGGCACTTGCAGTGCAATATTTTAAACAGAGGTGCATAATACATAAAGTAAAACTGCCTCCCCACCTCTTCCCATCAAAGTTAAAAGCAGCATCTTTCAAATAGAATTGAGCCGTGTCCAGTGGTTTGTGACCAGCATGGATCCAGACCAGCATGCGCATCCGCGCAGTCTGATCAGGATCCATGCTGTTCTCTTACCAACCCTATAACAAGTAAAGAAACTGATAGCGAACAGCATGGATCCTGATCAGACTGCGCGGATGTGCAGACTGGTCTGGATCCATGCTGGTCCCAAACCCAATATGTTGGTTTTGTCATGACGCGGCTCAATTATATTACTAGAAAGACCCAGATAAAAGCAACCATTAACCTATTTGTATAATATTTATCTTATTGTGGCAACATCCAATTTAGCATTGAAATGTTCATATTTATGTAAATCAGACAGACAAAAACTCCAGTAACAGCCACAGAGAGTACCATTATAGTATTATTGTACTAGTAAATCTACTTGATTACCCAGTCTGGTATGTAAACAATAAAACTTTCTGGAGCCAGTTTTGTTCCCACAGCCATAATATTACCATATAAATAGTATACAGTTGACTGTTGGATATATCAGAAAATTATATAATTATAAATAAAAAATAAACTTCTGTATCAATCACAATTGTACTATTTTTTTTCTTTCTGTTGTTGTAAACAAAAGTTAAAATTTTCAAACGTTTATAATCACTATATAGTAATTTGTTGTAATGCAATGTAAACATGGGGAAGCTATTGAAAGAGGTATGAATATCTAAGGCATACAGGAACTACTTTTTGAATAGCACTTACCACATTTATACTGTAAGCAGGGACTATTTTCATGACCGAAGCACACCTGTTTGTTGACTATGCAACTGAAAATGTAAACAAAACAGGTACATGTACTACTTTTCAACATGTTCAATATGACAATGCAAAAATTAAAATCAATTAAACAGTGACATTGGAAAAGTATTGCAATATATTAAAGTTGGATAATTTTAAATGTTTGTGCTGGGAAAAAATATTATTGGACAAGCAACTGGGGATAAGCGCTGTATTAATTTTTTTGTCCAATATACCATAGCCCATGTCTTGCCATTTTGACATACTGACTGTTGTGAACTAGTATTTTCTTTGTCCATAATAAACAGTGTAAATAAGAACACTATAAACCATCTTGCTTAAGAGTTTAAGAGTCCTTTTGTATTAAAATGATCATAAAATGATGATATGAAAATATACAAAATATATAAAATGTATCAATGTAAATAACAGTTTTAATATAATTAGGATTTAAACACAATGCTTATTGAACAATCAGCTACATGTATCAATAGGATACATCAGACAGCTTTTCAGTCAGGAAGCATACATGTAGTTTCTTGCCTTGTTATATCATGTCCTCTGTCCCCATAATATTATGTCCCCTGTCCCTGTTATATTATGTCCCCTGTCCCTTTTACATTATGTCCCCTGTCCCTGTAATATCATGTCCCCTGTCTCTGTTATATTATGTCCCCTGTCCCCATTATATCATGTCCCCTGTCCCTGTTATATCATGTCCCCTATCTCTGTTCTATAACGTCCCCGTCCCTGTTATATCACTTCCCCTGTCTCTGTTCTATTACGTCCCCATCCCTGTTATATCTTGTCCCCTGTCTCTGTTCTATTACGTCCCCGTCCCTGTTCTATTACATCCCCTGTCCCTGTTATATCCTGTCCCCTGTCTCTGTTCTATTACGTCCTTGTACCTGTTATATTACTTCCCCTGTCTCTGTTCTATTACGTCCTTGTACCTGTTATATTACTTCCCCTGTCTCTGTTCTATTACGTCCTTGTACCTGTTATATTACTTCCCCTGTCTCTGTTCTATTACGTCCCCATTATATCATGTCCCCTGTCTCTGTTCTATTATGTCCCCATCCCTGTTATATTACTTCCCCTGTCTCTGTTCTATTACGTCCCCGTCCCTGTTATATTACTTCCCATGTCTCTTTTCTATTACATCCCTGTCCCTGTTATATCATGTCCTCTGTCTCTGTTCTATTACGTCCCCGTCCCTGTTCTATTACATCCCTGTCCCTGTTATATCATGTCCTCTGTCTCTGTTCTATTACGTCCCCGTCCCTGTTCTATTACATCCCCTGACCCCATTATATCATGTCTCCTGTCTCTGTTCTATTATATCCCCTGCCCCCGTTATATTGTGTTGCCTGTCCCCTTTATTTTGGGTCCCCTGTCCCCATCATATTATGTCCCCTGTCCCCAATATAATAGTCCCTAATATCCCCGTTACAATATGTCACCTGTCCCCAATATATTTTGTCCCTGGTTCATGCCAAACTTGCATGACAATATACAAGTCCATGTTATATCAAAATGATTGACTTTGTAACAGAAATTTAAGACATTAAAATGCACATTTCAGACACGAAAAAAAGAAATTATGGACATTAAAATAATGACTTTAAACATTAAATCTAAAATTTTATACAATACATTATAAATTTCAGACATTAAAATGATCACTTCAGACACTGAGAAAAGAAAATTCTGAACCCAAATGCCAAATTAGGTAAATACTCAATTGAAAATACCAGAATTCAATTGTACAGCAAAAACAAAAATTTGAACATTTTCATATTTATTGGATCAAAACATGAAAGCTTCTTATTTTGGTATCTTAGAAATTCTCTGATTGAAAAAAAAAATTATATAGAATTCACAATACAAAAAAAAATTCTCAGATGAAGAAAAAAATTGTGAAATTCCATTAAGAAAAACAGCAATCTAGAAAAATTATAGAATTTCTGTGAAGATCTTTCTGATCTTGCTGAAGAAATCTCTCATGAAAATTCAATACAATTAGTCATCTTAGTGCAATAACTGATTAACTGCTATTAAATTTAGAAGGACTTAATACGCTATTGCATTAAGGTGAATACATTCAGTTGCATCAAATGTCATGAATAAAACTTGCGCAATTCAATTATGAACTGCTCAGAGCTCTTTTTTTTCCGCAGCATCACTTAATGGAATAATGTTCTAATACATTTAAGTGCTTTTGAATTATCAAAATTCTACAGGGAAAATAAAGTTAATGGAGAGGAGTTGCACCGGAATTAAAATGACATGGCCACACATACACTTTTTTTCTGTTTTAGTGTTGAAAAAAAACTTTTCCTAGTAAGATTTACTTGACGATTTTATCCCAGTGTGGTTTTCTTGATATTAAGAAATTCATTTCTCTGAATAAATTTATTATGTATTTCTAAAGGTAACCTTTCACTGTAAATTTCTCAAGGAGACCATTTAGAAACATTCTGTGGAAACACTAGATATTCTTACATTTATAGCTTTCATTTATATTATGCATCAAGATAAAACTTTGATTTAAAAAAAAAGAGAAATAATTTAAAGATCTCATACTAATGTTAAACTATGTTGTTGGTTTTTTTTTGTGATTTATATACAGAAACTTGAATCTCAAATACTTGATATAAACAGAAATATTATAAAATACCCATATACATTGTATATATTTTAATATACAATATTTAGTATATCTAAGTTCCTATGATTTAATATACTGTTTTACTTATTTATAATATGAATATTGATTGCATGTAACATATATCATATTTTGCTTTGATTTATTACATTATTTATTATAATAATAATGTAAAGTATCAGGGGGGATAACCATAATGACCATATCATATTTCACAGGTGATAAAAAAAAGGGGCTTACACAGTTAGGGTCTCAAGAAAAGAAAAAAGAAATAAATAAAGAAATAAATAAATACAAAATAATATTATGTAAAAATATCAAGTTTAAACAGTCATGCATTCTGAAGGTATGCTAATTCATGTACGTCAATAAAAAACAAGAGGGCCATGATGGCCCAAAGTCGCTCACCTGTATATAGGCCCCTGGAGCGAGGCCAGTTTCAACCCCAGGGCTTTTATTTGAACAAACTTGGTTGTATATGTATGCATGTAATATATATATATATATATATATATATATATATATATACAAATATATATATATACATATATATATACATATATATATATATATATATATATATATATATATATATATACATATACATACATACATACATATATATATATATACATAATATGTATATATATATATATATATATATATACATACATATATATATATATATATACATATACATACATACATATATATATATATATATATATACATATATATATATTAAATATATATGTGTATATATATAATATGTATATATCTAAAAAAAAAAATCAAGCTAATGAATGACCCCCGGGGCGGGGCCAATTTTGACCCCAGGGCTTTTATTTGAACAAACTTGGTAGACACCCATGAGAACATGTTTCATGCTAAATATCTTAGCTCTAGCTCTTTGAGTTCTTTAAAGAAGATTTTTTAAGTTTTTACTATATGCACATAGGGAAAATCAATGACCCCCGGGGGCGGGGCCAATTTTGACCCTAGGGCTTTTATTTGAACAAACTTTGTAGACACTCATTAGAAGATGTTTCATGCTTAATATCTTAGCTCTAGCTCTTTGGGTTCTTTAAAAGAAGATTTTTTAAGTTTTAACTATATGCATATAGGGAAAATCAAAGACACCCTGGGGCGGGGCCAATTTTGACCCTAGGGCTTTTATTTGAACAAACTTGGTAGACACTCACTAGAAGATGTTTCATGCTTTATATCTAAACACTAGCTATCTGGGTTTTTTCAAAGAAGATTTTTAAGTTTTTGCTATACACAGTCATATAAGGAAAATCAATGACCCCCGGGGCGGGGCCAATTTTGACCCCAGGGCTTTGATTTGAACAAACTTTGTAGACACTCACTAGAAGATGTTTCATGCTTAATAGCTAAACTCCAGCTATTTGGGTTTTTTTAAAGAAGATTTTTTTAAGTTTTTGCTATACATATATAAGGAAAATCAATGACCCCCGGGGCGGAGCCAATTTTGACCCCAGGGCTTTTATTTGAACAAACTTGGTAGACACCTATTAGAACATGTTTCATGCTAAATATCTTAGCTCTAGCTCTTTGAGTTCTTTAAAAGAAGATTTTTTAAGTTTTTACTATATGCATATAGGGAAAATCAATGACCCCCTGGGCGGGCCAATTTTGACCCTAGGGCTTTGATTTGAACAAACTTGGTAGGCACTCATTAGAAGATGTTTCATGCCAAATATCTAAGCTCTAGCTCTTACGGTTTTTTAGAAGAAGATTTTTTAAGTTTTTCTTATTGGTTGCCATGGCAACCAGAGTTTTTAATGGAATTTAAATTTTTGAACAACTTTGAAAGGGGTCCACCTAAGGATCATTTCTGTAAAGTTTGGTTGCAATTGGCCATGTAGTTTAGGAGGAGATGTTGTTTGAAAAGTTTGACGCCATTTTTTGAAGGACGCACGACGGACGCAGAGTGATGACAAAAGCTCACCTTTGAGCACTTCGTGCTCAGGTGAGCTAAAAATAATAAAATTGTCATACATCTCTGAGAAATTGTCAAAACATCAGTTCAAGTTGTGTATGTCATTTTTACCCAAAAAAAACTAATAATCGTTGAATATACAGTATTTATTTACAGCAGATACTCGTACATAATCTGATTGTTAAGCTCATCCTGTAACCAACAATGTTAAGGAGATTTTGCACAACACTCGCATTTTGTGGTTTTACATACACTGTAGTTATAATAATTATTTCTTGGTTGGTTACATGACTCAGCATCTCTCAAATATACATGTAATGACAATTGAATATACAAGGTTTAAAACTGATGTTTTAGTGAACTAGAACTGTATCCATAGAACAAGAATGTCCACAAAAATACCCCAGACCCTTCACCCAATTAATTCCACTGGTCTATGGGTATACAGCATGACAAATGGACAAGGCAAATCTATATGAATCCCATCCTCCCCCTCCCCATCCCACAAAGTATAGGGGGCATAAAAATGTCGACAAATGGCAAAGTTGTGACGAGAATCTGTTTTGCAAAATGTATATTTCATATAATTTAATGAAAATTCAGTGTGACTATATATTACTATTATCTGGTCAACCGTCTATATACCCTCTAATATATGCCCCATTCTTTGGCTTATCTGTGTAGAAAATAATTTAGTTGAAACATTTTTTATGTAAAATTTTATGAATGCTTGACTGTTTCTATTTATCCAGCACTAACAAAAACTGATGACATATATGAAAAAAAGTATTATTGTGACCCAAGTAGGGCTAAAAACCACAAAATCTAGATAGAGCGTGCAGTCACCGTTACCACAAGGCAATTGTTGGCCTTCATTATTTACCTGTATCCAGTCTCACATGGGTTGCTAGCACATGGATCGTGCACATTACAGGGTCCCTGACTGAACAGAGTTTGGCCAGCACACCTTGAGATACACTGGTTAGGGTACGTCTTTCCATTGCTTGCACATACAGGCTTGTATTTACGACTGCACTGGCAATTTTGAACATCTAAAAGAAAATAGAACTTCTTTTGAAATATAGTTATGAAGTTTTGTACAAAATTTATTATAAAAATACGTAGTATAGAATATGATTATTTAATACCTATCTACATGTATTTCATATGAAAAATACTTTCTGCATCACATAAACAAACTCAATCATTATTTGTATTGCTCTACCGTCTGACACGAATCAGTCCTGAGTGACAAAAGACCATTACAAATTGTTTTTGTACACAATTAGTACACACACAAATATAGGTACCTGCAAATTCCATCTGATTGACAACAGACATGGCTGGGCACTGTCTCTGTGAACATATTTTCTCCCCAGCATGACACACGCAGTCACTGCAGCCTGTCGTGAAATGTTCACCAGCTAGAAATAGAGTTATTTATAGTTTAAAATAGAAATCGATTTTTTTTTATAGCTTTGGGCTATCGAATCGCTAAAATAATCTCTAGCTTTTGACAATTGTGAGAGCCTAGGACATTTAAGTATATTTAATGATTCCTTCATTCATATTAAACAAAGAGTGAATGTAACTTTTCCGCCACAAGCATCTCACAAATTATGTCATTTATATAAAAATTTGAAGCCAAGGTGGAGTGAATTTACCTCCATGCTCTTTTGTGTAAAAGAGGTCAGTCAGTGACTATGCATTATCCCAGTGTAGCAATTAGATAGTCAGTCAGTCAATGTGCATATCTACCATATAACCCAGGAAAGGTCAACTGTTGGATTTAGCAAATAAGCTACAAGTTTTATTTACAATCAAGCTTTCATAAACAATAACTAAATAATTAATACTTACATTCGATGACTCCATTGTCCAATGTACAATGGCCATTCTTTATACATGGTATTTCTGTACAGTGGCCAAGCATTCCATTGTGTGAACAATGACAAACTTTGTAGCGCCGGCACGAGTTGGAATCCCCGTTCTTGTTGACAGGAATTATCACATCAGAACTGTATGGTACCATAACTCTAGACACCTGACCCATTTTACAACCTATTAATAGAAGTATAATAAACTATGATGTACACAATTCTGTAACATACAAAAACAATATTTCATTTTAAATATTCTCCATTCAAATTGATACAAACATACATTATACACTAATTTATGTGCACATTTATATATCAATATTTTCTAAAACATATTTTGGTGTAAAAACATTGTACATTGTTGTATTTTTTATTAACAGCAAGACATATCAATGTTATTGTCTGCACCCGCTTATTCCAGACTTCACCCACAGTTTTGGACTCCATCCAGTTCTTTGGACTTTACTTACCTCTTTGGACTCCACCCGAGATGAATTGGATAGACTGTTTTTTTTTTTCTTGTTTTTTTTTTTTTTTTGTTGTTATTTTCAGAATAAATATGAATTTGACATTTACCATAAACTTGCATCGAGGATGTAATCAAATATGTATCTATTTAATAAAGAATTCAAATTTTTTTAAAAGAATTTCAACAAACTTCACAAAGGAAAAGGAATGTACCTTTTCTGCAGACATAGTGAGGACATTTTGCGGAATTCAAATTTTTTAAAAGAATTTCAACAAACTTCACAATGGAAAAGGTCAATGTACCTTTTCTGCAGACATAGTGAGGACATTTTGCTGAGTGTCTACACTTTCTACGATACAACACACAAACTTCATCATCCTTACATGTGTTCGACTTACAAGGATGCGATACCTCTGAATGTATGCTTTGTACAGGACTTTCAACTGAAAATTGAACAACAATTGAGTTTCTACAATTTAAAACTTTGATCTTGAATGAATTATTCTGTGAAAATATTTAAACAGAAGTTAAAATCTAAATGAAGACATAATTTTAATATAAGTCTAAATAAAATACTAGAAAAATTATAACTTTTTAATTCATCGATAGGTTTATCATTGAAAACAAAACAATCAAAGATATCTTAAAAATTAGTTCCATTTTAATTAAAACAGTTTCTACTACTTATTTCACAAAATGCAAACATCTTCTTTTTTTACAAATAGTGAGCGATGGCCTTCTGGTTAAGGTGTCTGCTTCTCAACCCAGAGATCATGGGTTCGAGTCCTACTTGGGTCACAACCATGTTTCTTCAAATGACACCAGTACTGGTTTGTTCCAGGAAATGGACTAGAAAGTGATTAATATAAGTTGCAAAAACTTGTTTCGGAATTGAGCTTAAATAAATATGTTTAAAGCAACAAATGGCAGGTTATGGATTAAAAGCATTATTTTAATTGTGTAGTTACCTGTATATGGTTTAACTGAGATACATTCTCCACTAGCCTCGATCGGTAACCTCTTACATACATCTGTAACGACCTGACCTTGAAGCTGTGACGTATCAACACATTTGTTCATTATATACACACAGTCCTCACTGTAATAGAAATTAAAGATTTTAAGGACTATATACATGTACATTTGTACTCTAATTGAGTTTAAGTCACACAAACTCTGACATATACCACATTACAGCTTCAAGTTTGTGATGGAAGTTTGGCCAGGAGCCCTTTTGTACATTATTTTGCCACAAGGCGAAGCATGCACCTGAATAGTACCAAAAATTTATCTATGAAAACAGCAATAGTTGAATAAATAGTAAATCACTACAAATGGCAATTTTTAAGCAAATTGTCAAATCTTACCGACATATCTGTGTGGGTGTTGGTTTTCTCGAACATGGCTTGATTTGGTATGTACATGCAATAGCTTTCCACATCTTTGGTTCACAATTACGAACATCTGCAATGGTTTAAATTTATTCATTACATTAATTTGTAGAAAAAAGTCAGACTTGCTATTAAATAAACAGGCAGTCCTGATAAAATAGTAGCTTTTTTGCTTTGTTTATCCCACACACTTAATCTAAGTTAAAAATGTGCATAGTTTTACTGTAGAACCGTTCATCATAATTTCAAGGGATTTCAACTATTAACCTGCTGGAACTGAAAATGACTAACCTTTGTCACAGTACAGAGTCCAATTAGCCTGCATGTCCGTGCAGTCTGACCCAAGGCTCTACACTGAAATGCTAGCTTTTTTTTTTTTTGATTTTGACACTAAAATTTTGAATCCACAGTACCAAAATTAATTCAAAGATGGGAGAGTCCATTTCAAAAATTCAACAAGTTTAGGGACATTAACTAAATCTTAGATTATATCTTTTTGCAATAATTTTTTGCCAGAATACATCATTTTGGCTTTTATACTACATTTTAAAGAGATATACTTCTCTAAATAGCTTTTCTCTTTTACTACTTTTTGTGTATTATAATTATGTGATATGAGTATAATGTAAAACAGTGTAATAGCCTCATTAAAATCTAAACATGAACATGAAATCAAACTTTCCAATTAGGAATATGGTTCCTTTTAAGAAAGAAAATCAATCAACATGTATTTTAAACAATGAAATGAAAATTATTAAAATTTGCTCAATGTCTTTCACAGTGAGAAAATACATGGGAAATTTGTTCTCTTCCTTATACAGAGCGATCAAATTTAGGGAAATTTTGCTTATTATCTAAAAATGTAACATGAGTGCCAAATGGAGTAATAAACTGAATTGTATAAAAGATTTTGCTTATTTTGTAACATATCAAATTAAGTTTATCTATAACACACCTGTATTTTTTTTAACTTTATTGGCCAAAAATGACAGGATTTTACACTGGCTGAAAATTGGCTGAAATTTTCTTTCAGCCAAATTTGCATAATTTTCTATTTCAGATGAAATTTTATTAAAATAGCATGTCACACAGACCAAATAGCCAATCTGGAATTTCTGTAACCAAAATAATAAAATTTTAGCATAATGCCTAAAATGGCTACAGGCCGAGAGAACTGACTGACCTTTGACTGGAATGGAGAGGTTAGGCAGTTTAATTCTTCCTTTCTGCCACATTAGTATATCATCTCTCGCAGCAGTATCCGCCTCCGCTGTACAGCTCCGGAAATGTTCCGCTGGCCGGTTGTTCATGTTCGTACAATATTGTAACCCTTGACAACCAAGCTGACATGGCTGCTCGACTACAAACGAAACTTTTTTTAAGACGTATATTAAAACTGCAAAGATGGTTTCCAGTAATTGTATTTCTTTTCATATATTATAACATGTACTTGCCGTCACTTTTTTTTCATCATCATTATTCTGGCATCATTTGAAACGCATAATTTATCAAATCCTCTCATTTACAATGACGATAAATTTTTCTTGATATTTTTAGAACGATTTTAACATTATTTAATTATATATAACATTGTAAATATATTGTACATGCAGATTTATCTGTATAAAAATAAATTTATTATGTAATCATCGTAAACAATTTCATGATTGAAGTTCAACATTTTCAGCTGTAAACTGGATGCCATTGTAAAACAGATGGTTGCTTATCCCTTTACATCATGTCCCAGATATCTTACAGTATTTCAGTATTAAAATGCAAACATTTATAGGCAACCGTCTAGAAGAATAGAACATTAATCATTAAACTGGTGACATGGTCAAGTCTTTATAAAAGTAAATGATAAATACATTTATAAAGATTTAAAGCAGCATGCCTCCAGATTTATGCTAATTTTCATGAAAATTTGAAAATGTATTTAAAAATATAATATTGCGAAGTTATCAAAAGAATGCAATTTATTTATTATCAATGGCATTTAAAACCATGTAAGTTACCAAAAAGAGGTCAAATTATGACAAAATAGCCCTTACAGCGCGAGTAAAGCAGTAGAAATATTGTTATAAATACTTAAAAATCGGTCATTAATCACACATAACATGTAAATTATTACTAGAATCTTGAATCTTTTTAATACTTTTCCTAAAATCTTTGTACATTTTCTCAGGTTTGATTTTATTGAAACATTTTTGCTCATCTGGAGGCGTGCAACTTTAAAACATAATACAAAACATGTACCATCTTTTAAGCAGCTATGCATTTGAAGTTCTTGAGTTGAAATAGGGGATGAGAGGTAGCCACAGTTCTCCTCAAACCTTGCAATACTGTCCCACTTCCATGCATGTGCCTGCAAAACAATAGAATACCTTATAATTATAGTCTATTTCAATACATTTGCAACAAACCATGTAATAATTTCAAAATAAAGAAACTATAGTCTTTTTCAATACAAACATTTTTTTCTAATTGTTTGAACTTGTTCTGCAGTTATCTTTTGGCGTTTCTATTGGGTATCCAGTAAAAAAAAATCAATAATAACACATTTTTTGTAAAATATTAAGTATCAAAACAGGAGCACAAATCTTATCTGATCACAATGTCAAAAAATCAATAACAATTACAGTATTTGTATCAGAAAGGGAAAAGAAAGGCAGAAGTTATCTCTGTTCACAATGTCGTAAAAATATTTTGTGACAAATTCTTCCGTAAGTCTTCATTAATAATCATAAAACATAGCATGGCCCACTGTACATTATTTTTTTCAAATTCTGATTTGCATACTGTCATTTTACTATTCAAATGTCTAATATTCTTTCACTTTACATTACAAGTTAATGCAATAAAAAACTCAGATATGACATTTTGAATGTCCCTTTTTTCTTTCATTGAAAATCCTCAAGTATTGCAAAAATGTCACTTTCACGTAACTTTAAAAACTGTCTGAAGCACTCAACGAAAATCAAAATAAGATTTAATCTATACATGATCTAATCAAAACTTACACTTAAACTTTATCTTATACTGTCATAACATACATATAAAAAGAACAACTGACGGACAAAAATTGTACGATTTATCAGTTTGCATACTACATTAAGCATGTGTTAAAAAATTTAAACAATATTGCTATCTACCCGCATATATTGAATAAAAAAATCGGAAATCTGACATGTTTTCCGTTTATCTCTAGAAATGTCAATTAAGTAATAAATCGGTATGAATTTTTTGCATTCTTGCATTTTTCTATTTCGTTATATAAACATTATCAATTAACATAAAAGATTGCTGTTACAGTACAGTAACACCACCTGGTAAAGCAAAAATATGTTTTTGCATGGAGTTTCTAAATTTTAGTGACATGCTACTGATTGAAATCGCACTGATTTAAAATCCATTTACCATATCTTGACTTTGATAAAAAAAAAAAAAGGTATGGAAATATTAAAACTTGATATTATACTGTATTAACTCAGTTATAACACTGTGATGATTTCTAAATCAGGAAACAAAACTTAATGCTTAGAAACTGCAATATATTGCTTAACTCTTTATACAAATCGTAACACTTGAATTTAACATTTGTATAACATGACAGTTTTGTTAAAAAGATAGATTTTAAAAAAACAAAATTTGAGCCATGTCATGACAAAACCAACATAGTGTGTTTGCGACCAGCATGGATCCAGACCAGCCTGCGCATCCCCGCAGTCTGATCAGGATCCATGCTGTTCGCTATCAGTTTCTCTATTTGTAATAGGGTTGGTAAGCGAACAGCATGGATCCTGATCAGACTGCGCGGATGCGCAGGCTGGTCTGGATCCATGCTGGTCGCAAACCCATTATGTTGGTTTTGTCATGACACGGCTCATTTAATTCTTTTATCTCTTACACTAATGTAGAATGGAGTTTACCTTGCTTTCAATTTAGAATTATAACGGGCTTTAATATTGAAAGTACTAAGACCTCCGGTGCATTTCCATGCATTATTTCAGGTACAAACAAGCACTTGAGTAGAACCACCGTGTTCTGAAAGCTAGCTGGATTGCCTCCTTACATGAAATCAACCAAAGTCTCAGGAATCAAACCTACAGTGATGCGGGGCCAGTGGTTTGAAGTCAACAACCCTAACCATTTGGCCACCAAAACCCTTCATTGAGAAGTTTTTGACTGCTTGCCTGGCACAGAAAATTTACATACTGTCGGCTTATGAGAAATACGACATTACCCAACATTTAACCACAAAATTCTTTTCTTTTTTTGAATTTGGTATCTGTCCAAATTTACGAAAGTCATTTATTTTCTAAATAATTACAGGATTTTAAAGAGTTACACTACCCTACTAGAAAACCCACTAGAGACAAGTGTACCATACATCTGTACTCTCTTCAAATCAATTTGGTACAATCTTCAAAAGTACAAAAACTGTTTTAATTGATTTACAAAATGCAAAATTATGGTATTTGTCTCAGAACTTTTAACAGTATACAAATTGCCAGTGTTGTGCTGACTGCAACTGTGATAAAATTTTAAGTACACATGTACTTAATGCAACTAATGATAAGGTATAAAAAATTTTATCAACCCCACTGTGAACAGCAAAAACTGGCATGAACAAAATTTTTAATACTTTAATTTTCATTGCAATTTTTTTTTCTTTCCTTCTTTGGGGGGTTTTGGTTTTACATCACATCAACACCATAAAGGAAATATTGCTACTTTTCAGCTTTACTGGGGGAGGAAAACCACTCATGTGCCCCTCCTTGCATTATTTCAAGCACATATAGGTTAGGTGAGTAAAACCACCGATGTTCTGTGAGCTAAGCATGAAAGAAGTACCAGCTGGGTTTTATCCTACGGAAGTGATGGACAAATTTTTTTCGAGGTGTTTTTATTGCAGTTACTAAAATTTCAAACTCAGACACCTTTAAAAATGTACATTGTATGACAACAAATTCTGTATTTTTCTTGTCAATTTCTTTTGATTGTTTTGGTTCTTTTGAGTTCTGTACAAATCTTTAAATTCTTTCAGTTCTTTGGATAGGTTAGTTCGAGTTCTTTCTACTCCCTTCTTACCTTTGCACACAGAGTACCACATCTTTTAGTCTCGGCTTTTTCACAACAATGAAGTTTGGAGGAGTCCATCCCAGCTGTATTGCCAGATCTGTAGGAGTAATTCAGTACCAGGAAACACTTGTACAGAGGATGCTGAAATACATAATAAATATACATATATAGATTTCAAATTTGTCTTTATTCTTCATAACTAAATACGTACGAAATTAAAGTGCCTGACATTATGCTCATTTTTTTTCATTGTCAAGTTGAGCTAAATTGATTATATATTTCAATTGGGGTACCAACTGACTGGCATATTATTTTAGAACTGTGAATTTGTATATCATGATGACGCCATATGACGTTGACGTCATTTCCTGTAAACAAAGTATACCTGATGAAGACTTTTGAGACGAAATGTATATTTTTCAAATAAAAAAATTACATTTTTAAATTGAAACTGGAGTTGATTTCTATATTCAAACTTACAATATATTGTGTTCAGAAATTTTCATTTTTCGATTATTTTCTACCTTATTACTTTGTAGTTGCAAATGAAGATACAGTGTTAGGTCACTTAAAGTATTATGGGAAATACATAGCATCCACCTTGAAAATACAATTTGAGGTCAACAACAACAACAACAACCGGTTGTAATACCGGTAAACAAATATCAAGACATTTATATGGCTTCCAGCGAACCGACATATTTCATCTCAAGTTTCTGGTGACAGACAGCTGCGACAATAAAATAATGAAAATTATTCAGTAATATTTTACTCGGTTTTTGAAATTGTTTACTTTACACTTGAGGTCAGTTTTTAAAGAGATTGTCAGATTGTTTGGGGTGTTTTGACAAAGCTGTGAAGGTTAATTTACCATAAATGTGCAAATGACATTAAATCTGCACATAGTTCATAAATTGTTTATAATTAGCAGTTTTAATTTTTTTTTACATATTATGACTTAGACTGGAGAATGATTTCCGGCAACTGCACAATTGTAAGTGCAAATTAATGTTAGATGCATTATACACATTTTAAATCTGGCATTAATTGCCAATAATTTGCTGTTCATTTTGTTAATGATGTTTCAATTAATGCAAATGTAGAATCTCTCTTCAATGAAAATGAACCAAGATGCATACTTTTAAATGCTAAATTAAAATATCATTTTTGTTTGCATATACATGTATACTTTGTAATGCCAATCTTAATAATAGAACTTTGCATAAGAAATATCATTTTAAATTTTGCAGCTTGTAAGTGATATAATTCAGCAAAGTTTCAAACTGAGTAAACAGTTGAAAGAAATTATTGCATTTTTTTTATTTTATTTTTATTTTTTTTTTGTTGCATTTTTTATCTATTATGGTCTAAATTTCAGACTGCCAATATTGATGAGTTTAGGCAGACTCTGAGACTTGAAAGAAAACATCTCCTGGCCTTAAAACAAGAACAAAATCTATATTTAGAAACATTCTATGAATCCTCGTGTGAAAATCATGATTTTCAAATTAAACACTATGGCAACATTAAAATGATTCTGTTTTTTTTTTTAATATAAGCCTATACTGATAAAAAAAGTTATAACATTTAAATCATGATTCTTGAATTATGCATAAACACACTTTTCATGAAGAGCTGTCTAGGGTCACATATGGATATTTTTTTTCTCCATAAATTCTCTCTCTCTCTCACTTTTTTATCAAAATCATGTCTCGTAACTTTTCATTCCTATCATCCTATCAGTGTAAAAAAAAACCCCGAACTCCACAGATTCATTTTCGCTAACATAATAAACTATCAACGCATAGTCGAATATCTGCTTTAAACACTGTAAACAAGTACCTTCAAACTGTTTCTGATTAGAGAGTTTCGTTCAGCCCAGATAAACAGTTTTATTACGTAACCTCATATGTTTTCATTGCCACTGCCATCTCCACGGAAGCCCCCTATCTAACCTATCAATCTTTTAATTAATCAACAGACTCTGCGATAACTCGCTTATCTACTTTGGTTGTAATGTTTGCAACAGATCCAACTATCTGATATGCACCGTTTTAATTTTTTCCGGAGTTTTATTCGATATTAAGAAGTTTTTCATTACATGCAAATCTTCATTTGCGGAGAATTAATTTACGTTGTTTATTTTCTTTCTCTCATAAGCGATTCCTTTCTTTATCTAGTCTTACAACATAATATATAATCATTTGGTAAAACACTGTGTCAAAAGCTCGGTATCCAAAAAAATTATACAAAATTTAAAACCTGTTACACTTTAACTTACTAATAAACAAAAACTATTTATAAATAATGTATTTCCTTCTCTACAAAATGTAAAGTTTAATTACATAACAGTTCATTGCAAAATTTTCATAACTTTTCTTACTGTCGATTTCAATACATTTGCAAGTATTATTTATTTTTGTACATCAGACTCTTGGCTTTATCTTAAAGAAAATATTCTTCTTTTTTTTCTCTCGCAATACAAATCATGTCTGTCAGTATAATGAGATGGTGTTCAAGACAAAGTATACAGAAAAGGAAAATTCCAAAACTTCATTTATCCAAACAAAATAAATAAAACAATTACACATATAGACAGAGAGAGAGAGAAAGAAAAAAACAAGCACCAAACTGCAAAATGTACAGAAAATATCACACATTCCAGTATTAGTCAGATTCAGAATTTATGGGAAACATGTCAGTTCCATTTCTGAGCGTCTGCTGGAGTGTTTTTCATTCATTCCTTTTTTTTCATTCTTTATTTTTTGCATCCATGGATTATATTGTGCTAACAAGCTGTCAAGATGGTGTAAACCAGTGGAACATTGTTCCTGCCAAGGACTATCTTCACTATATAATCAAGTACTTCCTGCTGAGGTTAAAAATCAAGCACAGCAGTAGTAAGCTGCCTGTCAGTCAACATGGAAGCCTATTAGACAGCTAGTTATAATCATTATCAGGGAAATTAATCAATTTTCGTGTACCTGCCTAGATTAGTATTAATTAGCAAACTTAAGCACATGCTATACCTGTCTGATATGCAAGAACAATAACAATCTTCTCATATATCAAGTTCCAGTTTAAACATTTCCCAGGAAATTTGTATGAATGGCTACATGCTATTAAGATATATAGCCTAAGATTTTTATAACCATCTTACAATGTCCCCAAACCCACTCTTCTGTTAGTTTATTAAAATTCACAGCACTGATGTTTCAGATAAAGAAAAAAAATTGACAAATATTATTTTTAATTCACTTTAAGCTACCTTAAAGTAACGATTTACGGACAAATAACAAATTTTATCTTCTAAAAGCAAGGTCGGAACCAGCAGACTTAAAAAGATGTAGACTGATAACCACATATATCTATGACCTGACATGAACCATTTCTCTCCCTTGAAATTAGCAATCAACCAACAGCTAAATTAGCTTTATTTGTGCAAAGTTGTCTAAAGATTTACTTCTACCAGATAATGAAGCAGATCAGTTCGTAAAACTTATTCTTGACACACACAATTTACTTGGTACAAGTCATATTCTGACACGCATATTTTTTTTGCTTCCCCCAAGACCTGACACTTGAACGAGACCTTAAATTCTGCAGTATTACATGACATGTGTCAATATCTATCTGAAAATCAACATTGTGTATCACTGAGTTACCTTTTTTAAGCTAATCTAACGGATATTAGATTCTAATATATTTACATGATGTCAAAAAAATGGTTGATATTAAATGCTAAAGTATTCAGTAAAATGTAATGTTCTCGAATGATCAACATGTATGATAAAAAAATATGCTTCAAGTTATTAACAAACGAGAGGAACTTTTCAATATTTTAAGGAAGTATGTCAGTCAATGAACTCTTCGATAAAAGAGGTGCATATATATTAGTTCCTGACACAGCTCGTTACTTCACTCTTCATAAAATGAGGTAAAAATAATACCATGACATAAACTCTTTAAAACAAAGGTAGGATGATGTTACAGACTTAACTCTTCAGAAGAGGAGGCAAATTTAGCTTAAAACAGAATATTTCAAGAACCAGTCCCTCACGAATACTCTTCAAGAAAGGAGACTGAAAACTTTCACCTGTCTGAGATTTTCCACCGATGACAATTTATTTAAGTTTTGCTTAAACTTAAAAATCCAACTTGGCAGGGGCAGGGAGCATATTTTTTCTGATATTAAGATAATGCCAAAAAGCTTAAGACTTCATTTACTTTTGTCAGAATAATTAAACTTCTTGACAAAAGATTGAATCAGATGTGAATTTGATTTCATATTCTTTCTCATTTAAACTTTTTTTCTTAAATTATTTACTTCTGCAATATTAATTTTTCTGACTTCACTTTTTCACAAAAATGTAAACACGCTTAACTCGCATGTAAAAGAACTAGAGAGCAGTAACACCGGTATCTGCGTACCACAACAGATTATATCATTCTCACAGACAAAAAAAAATCAGCCAAAAGTAAAAAAGGAACCTATTTGCAAACTGAATTAGCCAAAAGTCATAAAACTGCTGGCAAGTGTAGTTGCTTATTATCAGTATTGTTTAAGAAAATCATTTAAGAGCAGACATTAGTTTTAAACAATAAGTGGATTCTGGATCATAAATTGGGAGATGGGAGACATAACTGTTGTATCTATGATTAAAGAACACAAGGGTTTTAGTGCCTTAGTGCCTTTAACTTAAACATCTCTAAGTGCTTGGATAATGATTATGGAACAAATTTTTGGCAGGAAAAAATATAGCTAATGAAAACTTCCATGGGTTTTTCATAAAGTTGAGTGCATGATAAATAATTCTGTCCTGAAAACCCAGGTGCATTTAATTAAAACGTGAAGGATTTTTTTGTTTTTGTCTTTCAAGAACATAAAAACTAACTGCTAACTGGTGGGTTTACAAAAGTTTTACCCACTAGGTTTCTATTTTAACAGCCAGCATTTAAACAAGGGAGAAATCAGTACCCTTGTCTATATCTTTTGTATGATAACGCTGGAGATGAAGTTTTACATTCCATAACCAACCGGCATGTCCCTGGAGACTTCCTGGAACTTGAAGATACAGCACTTGGTCTTTGCCCTTCCCAAACGGTATGGGTCATCTCCAAACTTGTGATTAGGTAAAGGGTATTGGCCATCTCCAAACTTGAGATAAGGTAAAAAGTGCATCCCCACACCTCAGAATGTTTGTTTTTAAACGCTGGTATTACTACATTTTTAGTCATATCTCAGCAGTTGGTCAACCTAATAAACTTTCCTAGACGTATCCATCAGTAATTACCAATCTATCCAATTATGATTATAAATCCCAAGTTATTTCTAAATCAGAGGTGACAGACAAAAAATCAATAATTTTGCACAGAGAAATGTTGCCTGACATACAAGGCTCACACCAGCTATACCCTGAATTGCAATCCTTATGCTTTCCCTACTAAACTAAGTGCAGATTGGATTGTTACAAGAAATGCAAAGATAATACACACATGATATATTGAAAGAAACTAGAACTATATCTACTTAGAAATTAACCCCCTCTCTCTGAACAATTGGGCACATTGACACTAACTTTTCAAAAAGCTCCTCAAAAGAAGGGAAATATACAGGATGAATGAAAAAAAAGTGATGTCCTCTAATCTAGATGGTAATTTTGCTGGTATTATCAAACTGGAGTAATTATTTTCAAATATTAAAAATGAATTCAAGGTATACCCCAGGAAATCGAATAATAACTGCTCCCATGTGTAATTGCTAATACAAACCAGGGGAAGGGAGAATTTATAATTTAACTGTAATAAAAGATTATTTTAAATTGCTGATGCGTAAAGGTAAGTGCAAATTAATAAATATGCACTAAATGCTAGCTTAGAGCTCATTTCTGTGAAATCACTCTGACTGCTTGCTGTAAATTATATTTGATAGTAAATAAACAACCGGAGCATTATCAAATAATAAGGTGTATTAAGGAAAGCATTCACTCTAGGGAATACATACCACGAATAAATTGTATTTCAGTGCATCTCAGATAACCTCATTTTCATTTTAGGCTACGTAAGCGTAATGTAAATACAGTTACTCATTGCAACTCCCAACCCCCACCCCTCCTTCCACGCTCTACAGAGGTTCTTGCCTTTTTGCAGAGGTACCACTGTTTTATTTCTAATCTACTTATTTTTAAATACTTACAATGATGTCAACATTTCCACAAGACCCTATGACTTGTTCGATGATTTGGTCAGGATTGCTTCCACTTCGTAACGTTTCTGTGCACACTTTCTTACACGTCTCATTATCTGTATGTTCACAGCAGTGCAAACCTTTTAAAATATACAACGAAATTAGTAATGTGATTACAAAATTACAAGTCTAAATAGACAAACAATAATAATAATGGTATGTTTGTTATCACATTGATTTTCAACTCCTCAATTGTATCATCATCAGTTAGGTTTTTTTCTCCAGTATTTCATTAAAACCATTTTTACTGGATTACATTTCACTGTAAAACACCATTTGAAAACTTTCTTGAGTTTATATAGTGCAGGAAAGCCACTAGTTTCTCCTCGTATGTTGAGGAAATAGTGGACACCTGTAAAGAACTATCGACATTCCAAAAGCTACCCGTATAGCTGTCTCACATCAAAGAGAATTCAAAGTCAGTGTGAACTAGAACATACTTCAGTTAGAGGCAAGTGATTTGAAGTCGGTTACCTTAAACAGTCGTTATGGCCATGAATGGCATTTAAATAAATCTCCCAAAACTCTGGTAGTATGGAAACAGAGTTCCAAGGTGTTCCTCTGAATATCATTTCAGGTACAACCATCTGTGTAGAATGACTGGCTTATATAAACTAGCCTGACATTGCACTCACATATTCAATTCTATACAATAACCTGTAAAATTTGATCATATGAAAATAATACACATGTATAATATAAGGTCATACTTTCTATGTTACTACTTTGTCGAGTTGTACGTGTTTGTTTCTGTACACACTGCCAAACTTCCCGATTCCGACCTGTACAATATTGCCGTAGTGATCTTTTACTTTCATGGTCAGAGATCGTGTTTGTTAAATACATGTTCCAGCATGTGGCTTTACACTCGAGACTGTCCGTGGCACTCGCTTTGCCACAGCACTTCTCACCATCTGTTCAGAGAAAAAAGAAAACAATTGGTTGATTATCTCCCCTTTTTAACATTGAAAATGAATTCAACAATATATAACCTTTTGTTTTTGATAACACTGATTTAAATTTTTATCAATTTTTGGATAACACATTCAGCTGGTTACGAAATCATTTTAATAAATTAAGGGTAATGAATCCGATTAGGCCTAAAATATCACCAGGCCAGTCTGCACGTCTTGGTAGTCTGGACTATGCTCAAAACTGTTTTTTCAAAATTCAAAGCAACTTAAGGACCATCACACTTTGTTAGGTGCCAGATGTTACAAGGTAGCCTGACCAGGACTTGAATCTGGAACCCTGGGAAACATGTGTTTTGCTTCTTTAATTGGAGAATTCCAACCATTCAAAAATATTTTGTCCCTAGAAGTGACTCAACTAGTTATCAAAAGTAACATGCTGTTAAGTGAGAAAAGGGGAAATTTTAGGAAAATTACCTCGCTGCCTATCTATACATTCATAAAGTTTTGCATCTTCTGTACTGTGGCTACACTGGGCTTCGACGTCTGCTTCTGACTGTGCCTGCAATAAATAACAACAATACATTACCCAATAATATCATACCAAATCACCATGTCAAATATTCTATCTAAAACAATCATACCTAATATCCCTTTGCAACAATCATGCCTCACAGTACAATGAAGCTGTCAAACATTTACAGTTTCTGTAACACTACTACTATTAATATTGATGTCACATTCAATACAATCTTTGTTTAGTATTTGATCTGCTATTAATATCTTAAATGGACTTGTCCATCTTTCAATATGGACAAAACCATTCATCAGATTTAGGGACATTTTTAAAATTTGTACTGACTGAATAGTGAACAGTGCAGACCATAATTAGGCAACTTGGATGCCAGCCAGCTATCTTCACCAGGTCTGAGACTAACTGCTCTCATTGCACTGGTAGGCTTAAGGATTTAAACTAAAACTTTCGCTACTTTATGATAGTGAAAAGCTTGCAAGTTTAATATATAATATACCATATAAGAGTGTTTTACACCATGAAACGACAAAATACTTAATGACCGCAATATAAGATGCAATGGAGGGGGGAGCCCAGTGCAAATCTGAAATACGACACGAGGCAGTGATAAAATGCATATTTTCTGCTATTTCTTTGCATGATATCGTTCAATAATCCATGTCATATCATATCGTAAACAATGCGTCCCTACACGGGGATTATACCTGATACCGCTATAGACGAGTACCGTGTCATATCCTAGCGACGGCCATGATTAATGTCTGTATTAATTTCGACACTTATTTCCCCGGCTGAGACGTAAAGTCTCCGCATTAAACACTGAGCTTTATCTCCCGTAATAGATTCATACGAAGGTGAGAGTTCCTAAACATAATTAATATGCACAAACTGAACTACCCCTTGTTATAGTAAAGTGAACTGCAGGTTTTTTTAATGCAACAAAACCAAATTATAAATCAAGCCCTGTAATTATAGATTAAAGAAAAAAATCACCTTGACAAATGATGCTTTCTCTAAAACATGATAACACCCATTTAACACACCAAATATGTTAAGATAATTTTATATTTAGAAATGGTGTGAAAACAGGGAAGGACAACAAAAATGAAAATAGCATTTGGTGTAAATGTTAAAGGTGCATGAATGAATTATTTTTTATTTTTGTAAAAATATCAAAGTCTGAAGTTTTATGATGTTGTAATAATGGATTTAAATATATAATTATAATTATTTATGTGATGCTCATCATTAGAAGAAAATAGTGCTGAATATGAATGAAATTATTTGTTAAAAAGATGCAAAATGTTTACAGATTCTTATACAAATAATACTTAAGCACTATAACTGTATTAATTGCCAAAATACAAATGAATCAAAAGAAAATAAATCAAAAGACTTGAAGGCTTAGCTATATACGGATAGCCAATGATTAACATTTTTGAATTTTTTTTGTTTTTTTTTTAATAATCACTTTTAATGCTTAGTGGGCCTTTAATATTGAGCATTATCCAAAAACATATACACATGATACATTTTTGTGATAATGAATCTTATAATGTTCTTTTCATATAAGACCACTATAAACTATATAAGTTTCAGATTTAAAACAAAGTTGTGGTCTAGTTATGGTGTCAGCCTATCAACCCAGGAATCATGGGTTTGAGCCGTACTAATGGGTCGACCTCCATGTTTCCAAATACAACATCATTAAGTAAGTAAGTTCCAGAAATCTCACTCAAGACTTTTTCAAATAAAGCAATCCCACCAAATTTAAATAAATAATGTTTAGACTTATCCCTTGCATTTGCTAAAGGAAACCACATTCAAGAATGTCAATTTACGGTAAATACAAAATGTCAAATGACTAAATCTGCAATTAACCTCAAACTCCTTAACAGCTTCTGCATGTGTGGCGTTAAGCCCCTTCAAACAAACTATTAATTATCGCTCAAGGAGGATTATCATTAAAGCTATGTCTACATCTTTAATTATTTACTTGTTAGTAAGTCAACATTATCATTTGACAACATGGTTAAAACCCTTAACGAGATAATAATAACTGGCTTAAAAGGCCTCAAGTCTATAATGTATACAGATGCTTTGGCTTCGCAGAAACATATATTCTTTTTTTTAATTGTGACTTTAAGCTCAGACTTCATCATCAAGATAAAAAAATATTTAAAAGTACAAGTTCTCAAGTCCAAAATGATCTTATAGAAGATTGAGAAAGTGATCTAGTTTGAACTAAATCTGTTTGGAAGATTTTAAATTCAATATTTCGCATTATACTTACCGTATGAGGAATAAACTCTTTCTACAGGAGTAAAACACATATTAGGGTTTATATCAAAAGTAAGTGCTTCAACCCTTTAAGCCTGCTGGTTGGAACTGATATACTTGTATTAACCATGCAATCAGTGCAGACCAAGAAATTATGGCAGCCAGCACAATTCTGTACCAGTACTGGCCTTTTCCCAATGCGATATACTGTTAACTGTGCTGAGCCAAATAAATTTTTCTTCAATCAAATCAATGCAAAGTTAACACGTGCCGTGTCCTGGGATAAAACCAGAATTCCATACACCAAACACTCGCCACAATCATCATCGGCCATTACATTGGACTGATTAATGTTTTTAATCTACGACTCTAAATAATGATTATCACATGAAAAACTCGTAATAAAAAACGTCTAGCTTTCATTCTGATAATATTGACACCACAATAAACGTGTCATAACTACCCCCAGTTAAACAATATCCATTATTTAGGCATTACCAATCAATATCAATATTGTTCTCTGCGTTAGAATGCCGCAATATTGGCACTGCCAATGAATAAGAAAATGTGATCCATTACAAAGATAGTCATATCATAGGACATGTAAATTGATTCGGAAAGTATGGAAAGAAAATACAGTGTTATTTTCATCTGATACAGTTGATTTTTTTCCTCGACTGAATGCATAATATTTTGAAGTACGTTAAGAAAAAAAAACTATTCAACTTGTATTACATATATTTTTTAATAGATTATTAATCAAGTCAAAGAAAAGTGTCTGTGAAAATATCTAATAATGAATGCAAATTCATATTACAAAGAATGGAAAGCTTTTTTGTCAGAAACGACAAAAGATAGGCTAAATTTTAAAAGTTTTGCTCTTCCGTTTATAATTTAAAACATGAGGAAATATGGTGGTGAGTGTAAGTAGGGGGCAATGTTCATTACGGATATAAACGGAAAGATAATAATCTTTCCTTTTGCCACCATACTGTTATGCAACACAAGGCAAAAAAACAAACTGTAACACTAGGCTTAAAAGCATTTTTATGGTGGTAGTTTATGATTATTTTATTCCTCCATCACTGTTGAAGGCTGTAAGACCGAGGTGAAATTTGTTGTGAAAATGTTCCCTTTAAATCTGGTAATAAATGAAATTCTTCTGTGCTTAATACCTTTGTACTGTAATACATTTAAGAATAATAGTTTCAAAAATAGAAATATAATGTGGTGTTTGCATAATATATTTCTGTTTCTTGTTATGAGTCATGTTAGTAATATACAAAGGTTATATGCCAACTTTTCAGCCTTTTTTTCAAATTGGAGGAAGACAACATGACCAAATTGTGAACAAATTAGACAAGCAATTATTCCTTTAGAATTGCTGACTATGTGGATTCAAACCCTGTCATGGTCACTAGTTAGTTGTTTCCATTTTAATACAACAAACTTCAGACTTATTTCATTAAGTAGTCTAGTTGGTTTGAGTTTGTCTATAATTAAGTCTCGGAAGCTTAAGTTAAATTAACTTTGTATTCAAAACATAAGTCAGTATTTCTATAATTTTTTTCTAATGGACTTGTCCAGGTTTTTAACTTTATTGGCACTGTCTATAGTTGATAATGGTGAAAACAAATTGAAAGCAGGTCGCCATTTGCATACCAACTGGTCGTTGTTTCATGGATGTGCTTATAGAGACTGGAGCCAGTTGGCTCTTTTACTGTAATAGTGGCAAATTATACTGTTAACTTTCAGTTCCTGTATATAAGGTCCCTTAAAGGAACCATCTCTCAGAGGAAACATGCAGTATTTTCAGCAATTAAACTACCCTGTGACAAAAATTCTATAACAGTTCCTTTGTTAAGTTATTTATAATAATAATCACAAAACAAATATTTAAATAACAGATCTAAATGTCACACAGTTACTGATTTCTTCTTTGATAATCTGATTTTCAAACTAAAAAAAAAACTGTCGCGTTCTTACATAGATATTCTGGATCACTCACAGTATGCATGCAAGGCTATGAATTGTTTTTTTTATATTGATTTCTATTTTGCAGATTATATAATTCTTAATATTAATAAATCACCAGTACCATGACTAGATATAATTTCCATTCTGTAAATAATGTTGATAAATGATGTAATGGTTAACCATATAAATAGAAAGATTGTTAACCGTATGAATAGAAAGATTAATCAAGAATCTACTCTAAAAGAGGTAGGATGGGCGTTGTTTTTATACTAAGTTTCTTCTTTCTTTTTTTTTTGTTCAAAATATTATTTAAAATGCAGGAATAGAAGTGATTATGTCCCTTAATATGTTATAATTTCACATTCTACCTTACAGTGATGTAAAATTAATGCAAAATGCACAGGTGCAGATACACATTACAAAAATAATTTCAAAATTTCATGAAAAAAAAAAAAACACTGGCCCATTAAGTTAAGGAAATATTAAAATTTTTATCTTGCTTTTTTGCACTATAAAATATCAAATTTTGAAAATATACAGTGTAACTGTAAAGGAATTACAAAATAAACTTAGGAGATATTTATCTTAAAACATATAATTTAAGTAAAGTATGTATGGCATTTGTGTTTTTATATTTCATTCAGGACTCAACTGAGTTTTTTTTGACATACCCGGTAAAGGGAAATGGGAATATATTTTGAGACTTAATTAAGAGCATCAGAACTATTAACTTGTGTGCACAATTTCAGATCATTTCCTCCCTTCTTTATTTTACAAAATAACCAAATCATAAAAAGCATTGCCGTCTCGACAGTCAAAGCCTGCAGATGTTTGCTATTCAGTCAGTACATACAAAAATAATTTGAAATTTTCCCTAAAATGATGAATGGTTTTTTTCCATATTGAAACAATTGGACTAGCTCATATAAGATGATTTAGCAGAAAAAGGTACATGTTTGTTATGGCATCTCTTCTAATTACTATACCAATATTTAGAGCGATTCAGTACAACTCGAAAAAAGAGCAAAATAAATATCATAATTAAAATCCCTGTGCACATTTTTTATTCACTTGGGGTACCAAAAAGACAGGTTTTACCTCATCAAGTGTTATTCATTAATATGATGTTTTAAGCATTGGCAGACTAATGGCCAAGTGCCTACTTGCGAAATATGCACACCATATGCGTGATTTATACCCTTGACATGGTGATGAAGATATGCACATACAATGCACCCGTTAAAAATTAATGGCCATTACACTGTAGGAAAACAGGTTTTAACTTTCGCAGATGCCTTTTCCACTCATTGCGATAGCAAAAATAGCGGCAAAAAAAAATAAACGCATTTCCGCGGCTTCCCAACTACATGGTATATAGGTTTATCTTCACAAATGGTATCAAATCACAACAGTCCTATGAGTGTTCAACGGGTGTTTTTCTGTTTAACATTAAAATGTTGTTGTTTTTTTGTCTTAATTGCATGATTCCAATTTAATTTACGCTCATGAGTAAGATGTGCTTACTAATTAAGATGATTAAATCACTTGGACGTCATGGCTTTAAACAGCCCTCCTTGAAAAGTTTCTGGTTTAGTTCTTGACGCAATTTCGAATTTAATCTTTTCACAAATCACTTAGGAAGAGGTTTTTTGTATCTTCAATGTAAACTTTCAAAGGTAAAGATGTTTTCTTATCGATCCTGGGAAATGAATATGAAAATTTAATTTTGCGCAGAACGAATTAGTTTAAATTCTGATAGAAGACAAAGGCAGGTGTTAATAGCACATTTTGCAAAAGTAATTTATGTTTTTGAGAGTGAAATGTGAAAGACAACCAGTTCTTTTTACTAAAGCAGGCACCAAATATATAAGCCATCATTGACAAAGTTTTGCCAGTGTTGGTATCTTTTCACTCTTTTTCTATCAAGTAATTTCATTGCTTTATCCATCACACTTAACAATTTGCATTATAAATCTCAAAGAGTAACAAAAAATGATAATACATTGTGTTTATATCATCAATAGCCATATCCAGTTACTAGTAAATCCATTTAAATCTGATATACAGAAAATTGGTCATGCACTGGTTATGCATTCTTGTCGAACATTTGCACCCAGTACAGAGCCAAGCTCTGAAGCCTCTTCAGACACTTATTTATACTGTTTGCAAACTGTTACTTAATATCAAACATTTTCACATCAAAATCTATCGCATTAGCAATGGACAGTAACTGTTATCAATTTAAAAAGTTTATATGAAGAAAAATACTCTACAAGCCTGTAAAATTGAAAAGCACACAACCAGCACTTGCAGCATTTCAATACACTTGTTTCCCAAAGTCAATACAAAATAAAGAGTGCCTATTAACACATAATGTGAATTACTTCCACTACTTCCCACTTATACGAAAAAAAGAAAAAAAAAATCTTAATAATCGAAGACGTTACTGAACATCTGTTTTTCTCATTATTTCGAGACCCCGCATGATTATCCGCCTTCCACAAGTTTTTTGCCGCTGCTTACATACTTGACTAGTCACTTATTTCATCATCCATTCTGATAAATATTGATAAATATAAGGTGTACCACTCATAAACATGGGGTTGCAATGTTCATGGCGTGTTACGAAAATTGTTCGTTGATAAAAAAAAGTTTTAATGGATCGAAGCATCTTGCATGAAAACCAAGAAGAAAATTTAAATTGAAAACGCGTCTCTTATTATCCAGAATATATATTTCGTCCATGATCTGCCGCGATGAGATGGTCGGGGGAACCAATTTGAGAGATATGGTTATGGCTATGATTTTTTTACGCATAAAATGCAAGTATGCATAGCAACTAAAGTATCATAAAGCTACCATTTATTGTCCTAATAAACATTAAGTTCTTTGTTTATTAACTGTTGTAATGTAAGAGCTGGAATACAATTCATGAAAATTGACTTTCTGCAAAGGCCGTATTATAGCCAATAGGGTATCTATTTTTTTGTTTGGATTTTAGGTCACATAGTCACTATTAATGTTATATGGTGACTTCCATTCCAGATTTACTGGCACAGGAAGACATCAGGCGTCCCTTTACTCATCTTTTCAGGTACAAGCAAACACCTTAACAGAACCTGATCAACCTTCTGTATGCTCCTTGAATAGTTAAAATTTAATTACCTTTATACATGCTTCCCTGCAAGCCTTTGTCTTGGTCATGTTACAGCAGGGTCGCCCAGAGAATGTTCCCAATTCTAGTAATGCTGAAAATAGAATAGAAATTATAAAGTCAGGAAATCCTCAAATTCTAGCAAAACTTAATTAACAGGTAATACAATACAGATTTTGTAGATAATTGGAAATCTGAATACATGTAATTATTTTGAAGGCATCAGTTTAATTTTTATCAGTAAAATCATAAATTTTGATAAAATTGGGGAAAAATGTTTTATGTTGCGATTTGACTAAATTGAGAATTTTAAAGAATATAATTAAATGTAATTTAAAATCCACATACTGCAATGTAATTTTTAAAGAATTGTTATATATGTTTTGTTGTTGTTGTTGTTGTTTTCATATGTCTATAAGACATATAAACTAAATTATTTTTCTATTTCTTTTATGTATTTCTGAAACATTTTAAAATCTATACAATCCTTTTTCAAATTTAAACTGGAGTTGATTTCTATTTTCAAATTCACATTACATTACTTTGTTCACTGTGAAGAAACACAATATCAAAAGTAAGTTTTATGCTTTTGCTACCAGTCTAAACTTTCAAGTGTTTTTAAGCTCATTTTTTGTATTTTGATAATTATAATCGCTTTCAAAAGGACTGTGAAGACAAAATCACAAATTCAGCAGGTTAAACTAGGAATTGTATCGCAATAAACTTTAAGTTCGCATATAGATATAATAATAATTTCTGTGTATATACATTATAACAATATTTATGCCACATCAATCCAATTTAGACTCTTCTAAAATGATTTTATTTTTGTTTGAGGGAAATGATAACCTGTTCCTTATCAGAGACATGAGGCTATTTTTTCTTTTCTCCTTTTTCATTCTAAATTTCACACGATAACCAGTATTTCATACAGAATGAAAAAAAAAATTTAAAAAAAAACAAACCTGACACAAATGTATTCATGTTAAATTCATTTAGCATAATAAACTTTGTAAATGACACATCATCTTAAAACACTGCCCTTTGTGCAGACTGTGTGAAACAGAAGTAACGTCAATCCACTTTTATATGACAGATTAATTACGGAATTTAAAATAAAACTGCGGCACAGACTTTCGGGCATACATTCTTTAAGTGAGGAAACACGCATATTTACATAACAAAAACGTCTTGTAACGACCATTGTTAATACACGGAATAGGTGTACGAGTCACATATAGAACATGAAAATCGTCGTTAAAGTCCCCCTTACAAACCAACGTCTATGTGTGAACATGCTTGTTAAAGGTCCATTTTTATCATACTAACAGTTGTAATGGCTAATTAACATTGGTTGTTGTTTTTTTAAATGAACCGTCTGGGAAGAGACATAAAATGAACTACATGTATGTGCGTTACACTTAAATCTATATTTTGTTATATCACTTTGGACACCAAGTTATATGCAAAAAAAATCATCCATCAGTGCATAACTTTGCAAGGTCTCTTGTAATCTGCCACTTCTGGTCACTGTACTTTTTTGGGAGCATAATACGTTAACTTGTACCTTTCTTGTGATAACCAATAGCTTAAGTTTATTCACTTTGAATAGCATATTTTTAAAAAAATTCATTACCAATACGTTCACTTTATAACTAAAATAAATTACAATCTAAGTTGAATTCTTTAAACCATAAACAGGACTTTCTTAAAAGCGAAATTTGTTTTTTAAAAAGAACTAATTCTACTTCTCTAGTGAAACTAGATGTAAAATTATATAACATTTTTAGAATGAAATAAATAAAAACAATATTTTGGTAATTAAAATAGAATTTTATTATCCCTCTTTGGTAATGATATAGAAAATAATTAATCTCCTTTGATATTTCTAGACATTAATACATAACATAGTCAAAATAGCAACCTTAAAGCTACTAGGTCCCGCAAAACTGTGAATATGTTACATACTCTGTTTGATTAACAGATTTGAGCCAATATTCATGGACGGTTAGATATTGGATATACAAGCTACTGTCTTAACCACCCAAGCCCAACATACACAGGCTCTCTCAAATAATTGAAAATTGGTGTTTAATTTATTTTATTTAGACAAATCTGAAGATGTGCGTTCATATGACCAGCGTCATGAATTTATTATGCTCCATTATACATGTATTACCAATTCAAGCTTTTTTATTACAAAAATTTTTTTTTTAAATGCTCCTCGCAGCAGTTGCACCTGGCATGTGCATATAGTCACTTAAAATAAACAAATAATGAAAAATGCAGTAAATTTCACTTAACAGAACACCCTAAGTGCTCTTAACTGCATTATTTTCTAATTTACATGAGCACACCTAAATCCGTATGCGTCATAAAATGTCATAAAAATAATAGTTTAACTCTAATTAATATTAAAATGTCCAACAATAACCTATTAAGAAATATCTTGTATGGTACGTTTAATCTTTATTTTGACATTTTATATTAACTTTCCTGTCATTATTTTCCTGCCGAGGGTTTTTTTTCCTTCATTTTTAACTCTCCCGATTTTAATAACAAAAGCCAAAACTGACTTTTATTCTGTGCAGCACGCAAGAAATAAATAAAAATTCTAAAAGGCACCATTGTAATGCAAAGTGCAATGTTAACTGCGCATTTCATGAGAACGACTTTTAATTTTCGTAACCAAACACATTAAACTAATCTAATCTAAGTAGCTGATCTTAAAGCCGAAGAAAAACCATTGTGTCACAATAAAATTATTCATGGCGACACATCCCATTAGCATGTTATGTAAACAGGGCTGCTTAGAAAGACGGGCTTTTTTTTCTCGACTTTTATCTTCCGAAAATTTCTCCAGTTTTGTTGCATTTTATGTTAAATACTAAACAGCCTCTCAAAAATTCAAAATGACCTACTTTAAAGTTGTTTTTGTGATAAACCTGCGCTACAGGCAAAATATTCAAGGAGCCATCAACAAGGGACGAGCAACACAACTAAACCCAAGCCACACCACAGTTCATTACAAACATTTTGACTTCTTTGGATTAAATTTGCCCTGCTAGACTATGGGATTTTTTGAAGGGTTTAAAATTAAGTTATCAGTATAATAGATCTTGTGTCGGAGCTAATAATTACTGGAGCCCGGCTTTATAACGCTGATGTTGGAGTCCATGATCTCAAGACCGTGTCTAACGGGAACCGTTATTATAACACTCATTGTGTTACTACCTCGAAATTATCACATTACCCCACCCACCGCCGAAACATATAACATTTAACGCTCATTAGTGGTAATGATTTTTTACTTGCCAATCAATGGATATCAGTAAATTTTCTAAAATGATTTGTAATGCAATTTTATATTATTTTGTAAAGTATTACCGAGTGCTGTATATTTATATATAAACGGCCAATAACCATAGTTACATAATCCCTGCCTCTATGATGGTGGCATAATGCCTCAGCCATACTTAAATAATACCAGACACTAAATATTCAATACACAAAATAAAAGTCATTGCAAATAAACATCTTATAAATGAAAGCAAAAACGTTCTCGTTATCTTACATTCCAGTCAAGATTTTTTGTCAGATACATCGCAGAGACCACTAATTGGTTCAAACCTTGGACTCACATTTCTCACACCAAGGTGGCCTCTGCCTGTCAAAATTGTAACGGCTCCCTTTGTCAAACATTTCAAGACATTTGCAAAAACACGTTAAAACGCACAATTAAATCTTTTCATCCAAAACCCTGAATTAGTGGTAGGGTTATAACTTTAAGACAAAAGTAATTTGTTTCTTTAATAATAGAGGTACACAAAACCGCGTAATCTAACATCTTAAAGATAAACATAAATTTGACTGCCTAAAAGATCGAGGCCATTAAATCATTGATAAAATACATTACGCAAATTTTCTGATTTAGTGTGACAGGTACATAAAAGCTTTAGTTCAAATTATGCGATAGTCTGATATGTTTGCTGGCATGTACATATAAAGTATTAATTTATGACATGAACAATTATTTGCAAAAAGTGTATCGAAAAACGTTAATTACAATACTGCACTCAGTTGTCTACATAACTGAAGCAGACGACTTCCCATCAATGAGTTTCATGACTTATCATTATATATATAAAGCTGAGGATCAATTGATCCCTCGCCTGCCTTAAGTGGCAACTGAATCTACCCATGCAACAAGTGCAGACCAAGATCGCCAGCCGGCAAAGTCTTATTTTGACTTATTTGTTCGTTTTTATGTGGAACATATATTTCTTTATTTCCAATTGTTGGTACAGGCTGAGGGATTACCTAAGCAATAGAATTTTGCCATCTTCTAAATTTACACTCCTTTGAATTTGGAATATAAGTGGTCAGTATACATGGAAAAATGATACAAAATACTAAGATTGGGCTGCCATCAGTATATAATTATATTGATCCTGGTCAGACTTCCCAGATGTACTGTGAAGCTCAGGCAAATAACTTTCTCTTCCAGAACCTTTAGGATTACAACAACAAAGCTAAGACGTGCTTCCAGATGGATATTTGATAATGAGTTTAAAGAATAAACATAATATAGGAGCAAGATTGGAGTTGTCCACTAAAAATGCAGACAGCCAGACAGATACGACAAAAATTCTACGACCCCAACATTCAATCCAATTTAAAGCAGGAGCAATAAAAGCAGTTAGACTAAGTTCTAGAAATTACGCCAGTTTGTAACAACTCTATAAGGTCATGCTAAACACTCCAATTATTTTCAGGCTATTAAAGAATGCAGGTTTGGTTTTAGCCTAATGCATTTTCAGTTGCAATTTCTATATTGCTATTAATTTTATGTGAAAACTATTAAGAAACAGCATCAAATAATACAATTTGTTTAACTGTTAACATCGCAAATCGCATAAAAATGTTTAACAGCGTGCAAGAGTATCCTATAATGTTTTGTCGTCATGTAAAACACTAATTGCACCATGCTGACAAATGCCGACAACATAATGTTAATGGCATACCCTATGCTGACTTGTTCTCAAAACTGAGAAAATATGATTTTACCACTTTGTTAAGTTTCATTACTTCAGT